AGGGCATGATTTTGTGCACACTCAGTCTGTGGCTCTTCAGCATGCTACCCTGTGTGAACTTGAGGTCGCACTGGTCGCAAGAGTGGGGCCGTTCGCCAGTGTGGGTCAGCATGTGTCGGTCCAGGTGGCACTTGCGGCTGACTTTGATAGTGCACAGGGGACACTGAAAGGTGGCCTTTTTCTGCGAGTGGACGTTGGCGATGTGCCGCGTGAGGCCGCAGTTGAGGGTGAAGCAGCGGGCGCAGTGCTCGCACTGGAAGGCTTTAATTCGCATGTGCACTCGCATGTGCTCGCAAATTTTGGGCTTACGCGTGAACGACCTGCCGCACAGGTCGCACACAAACTTGCGAGGAAAGTGAATAACGCGGTGCTGCTCGAGGCCGCGATTTTCTTGGAACGTTTTGCCGCACACGTCGCACACGCAAAAACGCTTTTCCTTAAAGTGGCGCAGACGGTGGTCGTGCAGGTGGTATCCTCTGCGAAACATCTTTCCGCAGATGTTGCACGGATCCTTCGGCCTCTGACTGCGAACAGACAGTCCATTAGTGCTGGAAGGCTGCCAGAGGACGTTGCGATTTGATTTTAACTTTCATGGTCCTAGTGTTCCCCCCCCCCCCCCCCCGATAATTAGATACGTTTTTATCCGATTAAATTATTTTTCTTTCTTTCCAAAATTCAATGAATGAAGCAGATTGAAGTAAAAAATTTTAATCTGTAATAACAAGTTATTTTAAAACAGTTTGGCAGCAACAGAAAATCAGCCATTTTAGCAAAAATCGTCTATGTTAAATGCAGGAGTAGAAAACGGGAGATGTCGGAACATATTATTTTCCTTAAAATGTGTCAAGATATTATTCAATCATGTTGAATTTTGAAATTTTTAGCAATAATGATAAATGATTTTGTATTAAACGCTTTTGCGTACAACTGGGGTGCAATGCAAACACCCTACTCAACACAGAAGAACAACCCTTCACTCGCAGTCCCAGCATGAGAAATCACTCAGGTTTCCCTGAGAAAAATCCTCCTGGTGTGGGATGATAAAGCGACTGCCAATCAATTTGACGTAGAATGTTAATGTTTCATAATAATTAATACCTTTTAATTATTTCTGACAATCAGATCTATACAATTCAAACGATAAAGAAATATTGAAAGTTATTAACTAATTCAAACGTATTCAAAGCTCAATTTCAATACCAATACTGGCATTTGTGTTTCAATTTTAACTGCTTTGTCTATTAATTCATAATTATTCAGATGTTTTAATTTTTACTTTGAATATTTTATTTCCATCTAAACTATTAGTGAAACAGCTCTCGGTGCTTATTTAGAGCGGATTTTGACTTGAGTCCTGTGTTGCAAATAAGGCACAAGTGTGGCATGACTCCGTGTTTGCCCATTTTGTGAGTTCTGAGCTGACTGGACTGCGCAAAGCTCCACTCGCAGAGGTCACACGAAAACGGTTTTTCGCCCGTGTGCGTCCGCATGTGTCTTTGAACGTGGTACTTTCCGGGCAGCAGTTTTTCGCACACCGGGCACGGCACGTGGTCGCTCTTGTCCTTGAGGTGAATGGCCCTTTGGTGCCTCTGCAGGGCTTGTTTGCCCTTGAAAGTGCCGCCGCACATCTCGCACGTCCACGCGGCAGGGCAGAAGTTGTGCACGCGCATGTGGGACTCGATGCAGCTGCGAGCAAAGAACGAGGCGCCGCACAGGGCGCATTCGAACGTTCGCAGTTGCGGGAAGTGCGTGACGCGGTGGCGCTGCAGCAGCCGCTCCGTCCGGCACAGTTTGCCGCATACGTCGCACACCCTGCGAACCGCGACAATATATTTAACGCCCCATTTCAAGGCTAAATTTTTGAATGCATTATTTATTCAATTATTAATATTTTTAACACAACGGTCAGAAAACTTATGAAGGTTTCAGAGTTTGAAACTATATTACGTCATTTAGAAACCAATAGCAATTTTATTACTAAATCGTATTACGCTTCTTCCAAATTCAATTAAAGGAAGTGTTAGCCCATTTAAAGATTAAAGCAACAAAAATTAAAGTCAGAAAAGGACTGGAAAGAATTTTCTATACACAATCTGATGTTGGATTTTTACTATTTTTAATTAAATAACTTCATAATTATATACATCAGTTTTTAATTATAAGAGTTGTCCATGATCAATGCATGAAAACGTCTCATTGAAGAAAAAATTGTTTTAATTATTTTACAATTAAAGCAATTGAAGACTTTACATAACTAGAAAGCTGCATATATATGTAGGTTAGATCATAAATATATATAATTTAATTTTCCAGTCAAAATCTGTACCTACTGTTCATGATACCTAAGATTCACACATTTTTTTCTATTTTAAACTTTTAATATAAAAATTTGCTATGCTTTTACCTTTAATAAATTGAATAAATATAATAAATTACACTCCATTAATTTTCAAATTAAAAAAAAAACATATCATAAAAAGATAACTTGCAAAAGACTTCAATTTAAAAAACAAAAATTTATGGATATCAGACAATCCATGTTTAAATATGTAATCCGTGGACATCAAGGCTGTGTGCCAGCAATTCGCGTTTGATCCGAAAGCCCATGGGGCAATGCTTGCAATTGTGCGGCATGACCTTGTGTACCGACATTTTGTGCGAGATTAGTCGATTTCGGTAGCCGTAGTTAGCGTCGCACAAGTCGCAGGCGTACGGCCTCTCACCCCTGTGCGTCCGCAGGTGGCGGTCAAGACACCGTTTGTTGTTCAGCACTAAATCACACAGGGTGCACTTCTGAGGGTCGTTGTTGATGTTTTCGTGTTTGTTCTGAATGTGTCCGCGCAACGTTCGCTCCACTTTAAAGGCGGCGCCGCACTCGTTGCAGACGTACGTGCGGATGTCCAAGTGGGTCTTAATGTGTTCAAGGACGGCACCTTTCATGACGAAGCGCCGCTTGCAGAAGTCGCATTCATAGCGGCGCGGCATGTGTGTAAAGCGGTGTTGGCGCAGACTGCCTTTGTCCATGCAAACGCGGCCACAGACCTGATTATGGACCCAACAGTTACTCTCCAGAATAAACTATTTTTTTTTCTTCATAAAAACCACAAATTTGTTTAATTTCTTTAACAATATTTTTGTTATTTGTTATTTTTTTTTTTCTAATTGTCTCGAGTTTTAATTTAAAAATTTTCGAGATATTTTTCTGTCTTTACCTCACATATGGCAGGTCTTACAGGCTCGAAATGTCGCAAGCGGTGCCTATGGAGCCTGTACTCGCCTATGAACGTCTTCCCACAAACTTCACATGGCAAGGGGATTTGTTCCTTTGACATCGGCTTGCGCTCCTCAGGCTGGCTGCCACCCTTGTTGCGGTTGCGAATGCGTTTGGGGCCCAAAGGTGGAAAGAAGCGTTCCCAGCTGGGGTCCCACTGCTCCTCATCACTGTCGAACAGTGCTTACTTTAGTTTGGATAAAAAGCAATTTACAAAATAACCAAGTTTTGAATAAATGTGAGCTAATTTTCACTATAAAAGAGCTTTTCCTAGCAAAGAGCAGGGACCCCAAACGCTTCACAATTCGGCGCCCAGTACTTTAGAGCAAAATATTAGCCGTATTTAATTTTTCGTTACGTTGCACATATCAGTTTATGCTATTATAAATATAAAGATATAGAAAAATTCATTGATAAAAAACTGACTGTAATGTAAGTAGTTTAAAATTTGTATTACTGATTACAGTGGAATTCCTTTTTTTTACTGACTTGCTCTAAATGCAAAATATTAATGAGTCTAGCCATTTAATGAAATAATTTATTAAGAAATTACAAAGATATGCAAAATTGAAGTTTCTCAGATAAATTTCTGATGCGCCTCCTGGCAGTGTTGTCGGTACAGGGGTCTATTCCGAAAACCCTGTCCGCAGAATTCGCAGATGTGTGGCATGATGCCGTGCTTGCCCATCTTGTGGGTGCGCAGCTGACTGGATTGTGTGAACTTCCAGTGGCACATGTCGCACGCAAAGGGCTTTTCGTTAGTGTGGATGCGCATGTGGCGTTTCAGGTCCTCGCCGCGCGCAAAACGTTTCAGGCACACAACACACGTGAGGGCCTTCTCGGCGCTGCCGTGCAGCGTCCGCATGTGCGTGGTCAGGGTGTTGGATTGACTGAAGTGCTGGCCGCACAACTCGCACTGATATGTGACGCCCAAGTGGCGCTCAAGGTGTTGCCCCAAGTGCCGTTTGTACACAAACTGTTTCTCGCAAAAATCGCAAGTGAACTCGGGCGGCAGGTGCACCTTGAAGTGGCCGCTCAGGTGGCTGCTGCTGCGGTAACTGCGGCCGCACATGTGGCATACGAACGGCCGCTTACACCTGCAAGCACAAGCCTCCAGTCAGCCACCGAGGTGCACTCTCTTTGTCCGACCTTTCGTTGGAATCTTGATTTTCGTGCCAGGTATGAAAATACTTCTTTACTGCCAGTTAATTGATATTTTAAAATATTCTTAATTTTAGTTTTCAAATTCCTGCCTCAGTAATTTCTGATGTGATTATATTTGAAAATAGTTTCCAGTAGTTTTGTTATGTTTAGATGTGGAGGGACATCAGCATACAAGTGGGAGACCCTGACCTTTATATAGTCTGCAGAAAGGAGCTGTAGGTATAATTAAATTTTACTTTACTTTGTTTGAAAATCTAAAAAATTTGCCAAAGTTTCAAAATTTAACAAAAAATTACCATCAAAATAAATAGAAAAAAACTATGACATTTTTTTTTTTTTTTTAAATAAGAAGTGAAACCCAAAATAAATTAAATTTTTAATTGCAGACAGACTCCCTTCTGCAAAAAAGTTTAAAATCCTAACTAAAGCTCGTTGTCGATGCATTTTCAAATTGTTGCCGCGGCTCCGAGCTGAAAACCCTGGCTAACTCTATAGGTACATACAAAGTATCGGACACGGACAAACTAACTACTAGGCAAGCAAAAACTAACTTAGAGACACTCACCCTGGACTTTCTTTGTTGTCCTTTGGTTTGCGTCCGCGCTTCCTGGGCACCTTGGTTGCTGGGGTGGGCGTCTCGTCCTTCTTGGCTGCCTTCTTAGGAGCTTCCTCAACTTCTTCCTCCTCCTCCTCCTCCCTGAAGTCATCCTCAGAGTCGCTGTCAGTCTGTTTCCTCTTGCGGCCGCGCCTACTGGCCTTTCTCGCTGCCTTTCGTACAGGTCGCCGTCTCCTTGGACGCGATTGCTCTTCCTCCTCCTCTTTTATCAAAACTTCAGGCTCTGGTTGCTCTGGACTATCCGATCGAAAGCCATCGTCGGCATTGAAGTCATCAGGCTCATTATCCAATATCTGTAAAATAATTGTGTTAAAATATTGGAATAAAGAATTTTAAATTTTTTGCGCCAAGATTTTGATTTTGCGTTAAAGAAAACTGGCCTCAGGCTTGACCCCATCCACCAGGGATTCGAGGAGGTGCTCAGTCTTGACAGCTTTGTCTCTGAACTCGCTCAGCAGGTCCAGTTTGTATGCGCACTCGCCGCACATGATTTTGGGCAGCCGGTCCTGCTCTATCACCTGTCCAAATTTGACATTAATTATTTCAAAATCGTACAAGGCATTGTAAATTTCAACGACTTACGTGGACAGGAAGGCATTCGGCAATCTTTTTGGCAAGGCTCCTGGCCAAGCCTTCGGCTTCAAAAATCTGATGCCGCACTATGCTAAGGGTGTCGGTGCCGCAAAGACGGCACATATCGGCCACGTTCGACGCCATCTGCGCCGCAAAGCCACTAGCCAGGTTTACAAGACAGACTCACTGCCTTTTCGGCGCCCGATGAGTACATTTAACGGCCACAAATACCAACCTCCAGCTCCGAAAAGGGCGGACCGGCCGACTCTTCTCGTAATGGCGTCCAAATCCAAACGTCAATTTTAATCCCCGAGGGGAAGAAGAGGAGAGCAGCGAGGGAACGCGATCCAGACGCGATCCAACGCGATTCGGTGTTTTTTGGCCAACAAAACGTTTCCAAACATTTCTGAATGCAAAAGCTTCTCTCATGTCCTATTTCATTACAGCTCAAATTAATTTTTTAAGCCAATTTATATTTTTTATTATAAAGCTCTTTATTTGTCAGTAAATTAATAAAAAATATTAAAAAGTCCACACTCGAATTTATTTAAGTTATGTTGGCAATTTATTGATTGCTCGGCCTGATAATTCGAAAAAGATGCGCGCGAGCTGCGGAATAATACACATTTTACTACTTTGCATCGCGGAACGTGGATGTAACGCAAATAAGCGCAAATAAGTGAAGAATTTTCCGATTTATCTAATTGCAGGCAAAAATAAGGAATAGTACCAACGAAATTTCCCCAGTTACTAATATCCATATGTATTATGTATTTAATATATTATGCAATAAAATCCAAATAAATTCCCGCTGTTGTGGAATTGGAATATACTTATATTTTTAAAGAGAATGATATTATCATTTATAACTTATAACTCAATCTATCTACCGTGGATACCATTTGTAAAGGAAAAAGGAAAATTGGTTCATTGAGAATTATGAGGATTTTATTTTACTTTTTTCTTAAAAAAAAAAAATATAATTCAATCCATGATGTACAATTGTACATGTATACAGCGGTAAAAAAAATAGCTACATATTAATTTTAATTAAAAAAAAAAAAGGAAAAAATATTATTTAAGATTAAAGATAATTATAATAGAATTCATAAGCTTTTACCTTGTTCTTCTCAATTGTATTTAGCGTTTTGTTTTTAGTATCTCACGTGTTTCCCATAATAATTTGCAGTATTTGAAAAAAATATTTATTTTTTCTGATTTATCAATTATTATCCCATGTTACTCGTCTGTGTTCTTCATTAGCAGAATAAATAATCTGATTATAACAATTTGGAATTGGAACAAATAAACAGAAATAAGAAAATTAAGAAAATAAAGCGAAATAAAGTTTTAAGAAAGCATCACACGCTTTTCGCGGTCATTTTTTTATTCTAGACCGGTCTTCCGCAAGGTGTCTCTGCTGTCGATCGTTGCATTCCGCTCGCACATTGGAAAGGTACGTGTTCGGACATGTCAAAATTATTTACTAATTTTTATCTTTGATCATCCGCTAAATAACGTTTAATTTGGAAAAAAGAAACTATCCACATCATTCAATATATATTTTCCCCATATATTACCTTAATAGTTGATCCTTTGACGTAAGTTTTGATATTTTACAGGCGTCACCATGGGGCGACGTCCCGCTAGGTGGTGAGTACTGAATTCCTTTTATTAATTTGTTGCACTTTTCCCGTACCAGAATAGAATTTTTGAACAAAATCCTACAAAATTCCTGTTAGTAACATATTTTTGTATTCAAATTAGGACATGTTTACCATCATGAATAAAGAGCAGCCAGAATTTGCAGCATTTGTTTGTACATGAATGTTAGCTTCACATTCTCGCGCTGTCCCCTTTGTACATCTCCCATTATTTTAGGGCTACATATTTAGTATTATAGCTATTATTCGGTAAATAATTTTTATCAAAACCATCGTAGTTAAATGTACTTTCACTTCGTTCCTTAAAATTTTGTATTGCTTATTGAATTTTATTAATTTGTTTTCAGTTATCGCTACTGCAAAAACAAGCCTTATCCCAAGTCTCGGTTCTGTCGAGGTGTCCCTGACTCCAAGATCAGGATCTTCGACTTGGGCAGGAAGAAGGCTAGGGTAGAAGACTTCCCCCTGTGTGTGCATCTTGTGTCTGACGAGTATGAACAGCTGTCGTCCGAGGCCCTTGAGGCAGGACGCATTTGCTGCAACAAGGTTATTATTTTGCCAGCCTGATATGTAAAAGATTTTAATTTTCATTTTATATTAGTACTTGGTCAAGAACTGCGGCAAGGACCAGTTCCACATTCGCATGAGACTTCATCCCTTCCATGTGATCCGCATCAACAAGATGTTGTCCTGCGCCGGAGCTGATAGGTAATTTTATAGCAATAAAATTGTTCTCTTATTTATGAAACCTAATTCAGGCTTCAAACTGGAATGCGTGGTGCTTTTGGCAAGCCCCAGGGTACAGTTGCGCGTGTGAACATTGGCCAGCCCATCATGTCTGTGCGCTCAAGTGACCGTCATAAGGCTTCAGTCATCGAGGCTTTGAGGCGTGCCAAGTTCAAGTTCCCTGGTCGCCAGAAGATCTACATCTCGAAGAAGTGGGGATTCACCAAGTATGAGAAGGATGAGTATGAAGCCTTGAAGGAAGGTGGAAGGTTGGAGAATGATGGTTGCAACGTCAAGTACAGGCCCGAGCATGGCCCCCTTGATAGCTGGAAGAACTGGCAGAGGACACTTGCCGAAGCTTAGTTCTTATTTGTTATCAACCTTCCAATAAAGATCATTCTTTCGTGTAACTAAATCTTTTGTTCCTTATGTATATCCTACAGTTTAGTTAAGTGCACAATACAAGGAATTCAAATTTATTGAACAATCTAGAAAATCTATTTGATAATAATATCTGAAAATTTTATGAAAATGGACTACTAATTTTCAAACAATAATTGGCCAAGTTTCAAATCCTGAAAAATCTTCTTGGAAACGAAGCAGACTGCCTCAAAATTTAAATGCTATCAGTATAAAACAAGGGGTTGACGGCCATGCACTTCAACAACAATGACCTCTTGAAGTAGTTTGAAAATCAATTTTTTTAATTATAGTTAATCATCTTTTATTTGCATGCCTACAATTTTTGTAGAAGCTGTTATTTTTTAACATATAATACACAAGTTCAAAAAAAATCGGCATTGAACTTAATTTTAGTAAGGTACAAAAAAAATAAATGTACTTGTCTTTACTATGCAATCATTTTGAAAATAATAACTAATAACTCATTTTCCAGTTACATATAGATAGTATATAATATCAAATGCTGGGATGCTTGTAAATTACTCGGATCACACTGATTACTGTAATGCATATCATTTTTCAAGGGGTATTGCAGTTATTTGTAAAATCACATACATCTTGTGGATCTCAATCCGTACACAATAAGTCAAAATAATTGTTCTTTGAAGTTCAAAAAAAGAGGAAGCAGTGATATTACACAAATATCAGATCGAAGCTTCATCAAACCATGGCAATGTCATCGAGAGATTTGGACGACTCAGGAGGTTGGCTCGTAGCACCAGAAGTGGCCGCTCCACTAACAATTGCAATGGGAGGAAGTAGTTGACGGGTGGAACTGCTAGAGCTGAAACTGTCACCACTGGACCTGTGACTCGTAGCGGCACTAAGAGGCGTTCCTGGAGTCCTGATAGGTGTGTTACCAGCAGAAATTGCAGGTGCCACAGATCGAGAATTTTCAGGCTGTAAAACCAATTATTCAAACGTTACTTTTTAAAAATTATTCCATATTAATTAAACTGAAAAAAAAATCAAACATTTGAAATCAAAATACCTTTTCGTCACGATTGAAGCTAGAGTTCTTTTCTTCTGTTCCATAATACTCTGTATCATCAGCAGCGGTTGTTCCATGGGCTGTATGTACAGCTGGATGGCAAGCATTGAGTGCACCTCTTGGTGGCTTGTCTCCCCTAGGGCTTTGGACAGGACTCGAGCACACGATGGGGTCAGTGCTAGTACTGGCATCCAGCAACGGAGAGAGCTTCTCAGCTTCGCTGTCCGCTTCATTTTCTGAGTGCTCTCCAGCCTCCCTCTTCTCATTCACAACTCTGACCCTGTCCCTGACCTTGAGACCCTTTTCCCTTCGTGAAGGCCTCTTGGCAGACGAGGTCGTAGTTGGTGAAGTGGCTTTACGAGTCTCTTTTGATTCTTGTCCAAGGTCTTTATCACGACTGGGCAAACTAGTCATACGAAACTAAACACAAACTAGTTAGAAAAATAATAAAAATCAGTGGATCGGATCCATTACTTCGGTAGCAGGCCCATCTGATGATGGGCTGAGTTTATCTTTGAGGTCACCAGATCTTGAGGTCTGTAGCTCTGAATTTGATCTGTAAGTTTCACATTTTTTGGCTTAAAATTTCTTTTCGCAGAATTAAATTACTTCCGGTACATACTTGCTCAACGCATCTACAGCTTGGGTGGCTGAAGAATTTTCAGCTTCACCAGCCGCAGCTCTTTCCCTCTTTGAAAGCAGAGGTGGGTGCGAGGGTCGAATGGTCTGCACGGGACCGTTCAGCGCCTCAATAAGAGAAACCGCCTCATATCCGGCTGGAACTGCTCCAAGTGAGCTCTGAATTTAAAATTGTATAACTATCATAATAAAATTGGCTATCTTAACAATTCTACCTCGTTGTTACCAGCCACTGCTGATGCAATCGGAAGAGTTTGATTGTTTGTCTTTTGCAAAGCCCTTATTTGCAAGAGTGCTCGAAAAGGCGCCCTGCAGATGGGGCAGTTGTTGGCCTGGTATCTCAGTGAGTCTGCACAGTTGTTGCACAGGCATAAATGGCGGCAGGGCAAGATCAGAGTGTCTCGCCCGTCGCACATGCAAATCACACACTCACTTCCGTTGTCTTCCGTATCAGTGTCAATTGAACCCTGAATAAGGAAAAATTAAATAAAAACTACTGCCTCAGATACAAAAATACTTTCCCAACCTTATTTTCGTTGTTCTTATTCTCAATGCCATAGATTTCTTGCAGTAAATAGCACAGTCCATCCACATAGAGCTTCTGCTTGAGAGCTCTCAGCCCAAAAGTTCCATCAGGGTGTCTATCGATGACTGCAATAGTTGTGTGTGACTGGCGTGGCTCTAAAATTTAATGTTTTTAAATCATGTGACACTTGATTTTTTTTAATTATTAAGTATTTTTTAAGTCAGTACATCAGAAGAAACTTGTTAAATTTAAAAATTTACCATCAGCGGGCTCTTCAGCAACACAATGGATTGCCACAGGACAAATTTCTCGCTCCATGTTGTAGCTGAGCTGGTCCTCAGTTAAAACGGAAGGGTTAAATGAGTGAGAAGGTTGGCAAAAGGTCTGGCCAGACCCTTTCTTGTAATGGAAAGTCTCCGAAGTCAAAGTTGGATTGCTGGATACATAACTGAAATTTACACAATCAAATTAGATTTTTGACAGTGAAACAAAAACTTACGTTGCGCCCATGGGGGTTACCTCCTCTTGGCACAAATAAAAAATCGTAATTGCACATCTACAATCGCAGTCAAAGGTGAACTCAACGGTGAATCTACTAGAGTCCTCACTCTTAGGGTCCTGTGCAGTCCCCTTAGCCATGTTGTCTGCGGAGCCAATTCTGACAAACCTGAGAGACTCTTTTCTGATGTTGATTAAGCTTTTCAGAGTCTTGGTCGGCTCGGCAGCTTGAGGAGGTGGATATGGAAACTGAGATATTGGAAAATATTTTAGTTTTTGTTTAATTTCAATTAATGTGGATAGTATATATAAAAAATAATTTAATTTCAAGAAAAACTGCTGGAAAAATTAGGCAGAATATTTCTATATTAAACACGACTTGAAAAAATTGTCAACCTGGATTAATTTTCCAAACTTCATCTGAATCAAAATTATAATGAGATATGTACTCATGTAAATCAACTTACAGGTGTTGGTTTATTGCCCAGGAAATTCAGATCAGAATTTTCTCCAAACAAATAGGCTTCGGGCTGCGGTGTGTCAAACCTCTCACCACCCATGATAAAGTGACATCCGAAATAATTTCCTATAAGTTTAGTAACGGTAAATATAAACAAAGGGCACGTATGTTAGTATAATTTTAAATTTTTATTTTGACATCAATATGGATGAGTTCATGTATGGGGCAAAGTTGCCCTCAGTTTTTGAACCCAATAAACAAATTTCTTAAACTAATGTGAATGAAATCTCTGCGAGCTGATTTTGAGTGCAAAATCTGACAATTAAGCACTGATTTATGTACCTGATCGTGGAGGGTATTTGTAGGCATGGTTAGAGGAAACGTCTACTTCCTCGGGTCCGGCGTTCTGTCGGCTTGCAAAAGAGCCCATTTTTATGAGCTTCTTTGAGCAAAGTTGTGCGAAATTTTGAAAATTTCACTGGGCAACATTTGACAGGCCTCTCCACCCTGCCATCTTGGAATTCTTAAATTACAGTTATATTGGGCAACAGCTCGATAACCGGTATTTACCATCTCGTTTTAACATTTAAATTTGAAGAAAACCGGCGAGGAAAAATAATTAACCGGTTATGTGCAAAACAAAACAACAGAAAGAATTTTTCTTCTTTTCCACTTCTTGTGTTTTGTTTTTTGTTTACAAACTACAAACACAGACCAGAAATCATACACGAGTAGCTCAAATTTAAGTATTTTCCAAGCCAATCGTACATTTTTCATATAGGCGTAGGCGATTTTGATGACCTAGAAATAAAAACAAAAGGTTCAGGCAAAATGGCAAGCGATGGCGATGCTCGAAGGAGCACCGCCGCTCAATATTTTGCTGAAGATGATGACGAAGGTGGTTCCGAAAACAGGGTATGCCGGCTTCTATTTATAAAGCGACGTTTTCAGATTAATATCAAAATTTTTAGATTGTTAACCTGCTCAACGAAGCCATGATGGGCGATGAAAAGGTGAAAGTGGATAACTTGCGAAAAGTGCAAGAAATTGCTATCAACCTATCACCCAGTTTGCTCGACAATTTTCTGGACGAGATCTTAGCTTTCCAGCGAGACCGTAACTCAGATGCTCGCAAGATTATCGTGGGTTTTATTGAGGAAGTGAGCAAAAAAGAGCCAGACGTACTGCCTCGCCTCTGCAATTCCCTTCTGGCATTATTAAACGACGAGTCAGTCCAAGTTCAGAAAAGGGCAGTGCAATCTGCATCCCAAGTTTACAAGGCTACACTCATGTGGATTTCCAAGGCAAAAACGGTGTCCGAATCACACGACAAAACTTGGCAGCAGATGATTCAAATCAGAAACATGATCTCAGACATGGTTGATCATGACAATGATGGGTACATTTTGAGCTTTTTATGCTGAAATAAACTTACCAACTTAATTGATTTCTAGTATTCGAACTCAGGCTGTCAAATTTTTGGAGATGATTGTTTTGCTTCAAACCTATGTGGAGGCAGACAGTGTGAGAAAACCTAATGATTTTTCTCTGGATGATGTGCCGATGGCCCTGAAAATTGCAAAACGACGGAGACTAGAAGATGAAGCTGTGTATAAAACTCTATCCAGAAAATTTGTCTGTATTAATTTGTAACTTTTAGTGCTACGCTGGAGCACATAATTAAATTCCACGGCTCAGCTCACATAAGCAGTGTTAACCTAATGGCTTGCATGGGAACTTTGACATTGATTGCTAAAATGCGGCCACAGTATATGGCAAAAGTTATTATTGCTTTTGAAACTCTGCACAGTAAGCCCTGCTGCAGTCATTTATTATTTAAGACACTGGTTTTTATTGTGTAAATTTTTAGCTAATCTTCCGCCTACATTATCAAAATCCCAAGTAAGTTCTGTGAGAAAGCACCTTAAACTGCAGCTGCTCAACTTGCTGAAGCACCCTGCAGCTTTTGAGATGTTGTCAAATATCACAACACTTTTAATGGATTTGGGTGCAACCCAGAGTGAAGTAATTATCAGTTCTATTTTCTTTGTCAAATAATTCAATATAAATTAATATTTTGCAGATTGCGAAGAATTCTCCCAAGCCTGACGAGGTTCGTAAAAGACAAAAAAAGCTTGATGCTCAGCTACCCCCTCTTAAGAAGCCCAAACTCGAAGTCCCAGACGTGTCTACGGCTATTGATAATACAAAACCGTCATTGAGTAGTTCAGACATTGATCGGCTGGAAGGTTTTATTGCAGATAGGTTAGGTCCTGACATGGCGGCACAGCTTGTTATGCAAGCAATGGTAAATTTCTAAACAAATCAATCTTATCATATTTCATGGTTATTTTTCCTACAGAAATTTTTGCCAGAAAAGATGCCTAACACCTTCAGTTCAACGTACACCCCTATTGCTGCTGCTGGGACTCACGGTCAAATCAAACATGTTGCAAGACTGATGGCAACTCAGCTTGCATCTGCTGGTTTTGGGCCGGACTGCACAAGAGCCTCCGCAGCTTTGACTTCTGTTTTTAACAAGGTTTTTTTGTGTACCTTGTTAGCTAATTTAAAGAAATATAATTTTTGTTTTCTCTTAAATTTCAGAAATTACTTGAAGATGATGATGAAGACGATGATATTGTAATTCCAATGGACGCTGAGCCTAGCAAACCAATGGAGGCTCCAATTCCAGTGCCAGCCCCTGTGCCAGTGAAAATTGCCAAAATTCCTAAGATCAAGAATCTAAAACTGGCAGAAATCACAAAGCCACTCTCGTCAAAGGCAAGAAACAAAATGGTTCAAATGGCTGTCCAGAGAATTCTTAAGGTGAAAACTGAAAACTTTGTTTTCTTCACAATTCTAAATTTTACAAATCATGTGTATCTTTCAGGCCGATAATGATGCTGTTTTGGGAGGGGCAATGGTTACAAGATGCAAAATTCTAACTAGCCTTGCCTCCCAGTTTCCTGCAGATGTCAGAGATGGTAAACTAGTTTTTTTATGCAAGTTGCATTGGTTTCTAATTGTGTTATTATTTCTATCAGAAATTTACAATTACATAATTGAGGATGTGAGTGACCACTGCGATTTGGCACTGCAATGGCTCTATGAAGAGTACAGCTATATGCAAGGCTTTAATAGGAGCAACAGCCTGCTTAGGAAACAGAATGCTGAGGCTCCTGAGGAGAACTACAATAAATTACTGTGTGGAATAATCAATACACTAATTTCGCCCGAACAACCCGTCAAAGATCACGAAACGTAACCAATTTGCTTTAAGATGAATTTATATTTAATTGGATTGACATAGGTTGATGTGGAGGATTTATCTTGAGAGTCCGACTATAACCGACGACGCAGTTGAAATTCTCAAGGCACAATGTGGAAATGAGGATAGCGCTCCGTCGTGCATCGATTTGCTAGAGCATTTGGTCACCAAGCGCCCTCCCAAACAACTGCTTTTCCTCAACTGCCTGCTACTGTACACGGCCCATGAAAGCACTTTGGTAAAAATGTTTTGTAGTGTTCACATAATTATACTAAATCAGAAATTTTGATTGTTAGATTCGAACGAGAGCTATCCAAGCTGTTTACGATCTTTATGAAAAAGGTGTTCAATGCAAGGTTATTGAAGACTATGCAATCTTCTATCTTGGATTCTTGCGTTTGGCACACCCACCCGAGGTCATCTTTGGGGAAGACAGAGGTCGACCTGTAACAGTTAAAGATTGGAATGAGAATTGTGTCAAAGCTTGTCTTTATTTGTACTTGTCTTTGCTTCCTCTCAACGAAAGCATGATCCACGAGTATGAAAACCATTTCAATGTCATTGGCAATCAAGAATAATGATTTCATCTTTACTTTTAGGTTGGCGAAAATTTATGTGCAAACAGTAGCGGATGTGAAAAGAACAATCCTGAGACTGCTTGAACAACCCATCAGAGGCATGGGAATGGAATCGCCTCAGCTTCTGAAGTTGGTCGAAGAGTGTCCAAAAGGCGCCGAAACTCTGGTCACCAGGGTCATTCACATTTTAACAGAAAAAAGTACCTAAAAATATTTATTGAAATCCTCTTTAACATTAATTTAAAATATAGGTCCGCCAAGTACGGAACTTGTCAATCGTGTGCGAGACTTGTATCACTCTCGAGTGTCAGATGTTCGTTTCTTGATTCCGGTTTTGAATGGGCTGACAAAGAAGGAGGTGATTGGGGCCCTGCCAAAACTTATCAGTTTGAATCCTGTTGTAGTCAAAGAGGTACAATCTTGCTAATGGAAGAGTTCATAAAAAAAAAATCAAATCAATCTATATTAGGTTTTTAACCGTCTGCTGGGTACTCATTCTGAGGGCTCTAGTTACACTTCACCGCTGACTCCAGCAGAACTTTTAATTGCTCTGCACAACATTGACACGACCAAAGCAGATATGAAAACAATCATGAAAGGTTAATAGTCGTCTCAAACTTAATTAATTGCATTAATTGTTTTCCTTTAGCCACGTCTCTGTGCTTTGCGGAACAACAAGCGTACACCCAAGAAGTCCTGGCGGTGGTCATGCAAAGTTTAATGGAGCAAAGTCCACTGCCAACCCTGTTCATGCGAACTGTCATTCAGTCACTGGCTCTTTACCCTCGACTGATTGGCTTCATCATGAATATCTTGCAGCGACTTATTCAGAAACAAGTACTAGCAATCAATCGTAGTTCATAGTACTCTAAAGAAAATAATACATTTTAATTTTCTTTATCACAGGTTTGGAAGCAAAAGAAAGTTTGGGAAGGGTTTGTTAAGTGCTGCCAGCGAACAAAGCCCCAGAGTTTCCAGGTTCTACTTCAACTTCCCATATTGCAGCTCGAGGATGTTTTTAACATCTGCCCAGACTTGAAGAAACCTCTTTTAGAGCATGTTCAAAGTCTTACCGATAACCAGGCAATTAGAAAATGATTTTTATTTGTGAATTTTCAATAAAATTAATTGTACACGTATTTCAGAAAATGCATGTACCACCAGGTGTGATGGAAGTGCTTACCGGAATTAAGGTAGAGTTAAAATTACAATAAAGAAATTTTATTCAGATTGCCATAATTTCAGATGGAGGTAGATCCTGCAAATCAGCCAGGTCCACCAGGTGATGAGTAGAGCTTGGTAAACGCATAGCCTCATTAAATAAACTTAACGCATATTCATCTGATTTGTTTTATTTGTGAGCATTGCACATTATTTCTGGGCAGAACTTAAACAATATTTCCACACAGAGCACAAGAATAGTTAATTCAATCAGTTAAAAGCTTCATGAAATAATGTATGTACGGGAAAATCTTTAAATCTCGTAAAATAAAAGTCATATAAGTAATAAAACTTGTTGGCAAGGTTTAACAAAAAGGTCAGATTGAATTGATTTAAAAAAAAATGACAAGTCCTGATTTAAACACAAATGATCTTATAGTTTGCTAATAAAAGCCAATCATTGATTCCTGATTTAGAAAACAAGCTAACAGATAAGCAAGGTGATTAAATAGTCTATCATATCATTATCAAGGCTGAAAACTCGTTACTGAAAATACTTTTGGTCCAGATTCTACTTTTATCGGTTTAGAGTATGCACATTGAGATAAGTTATATCCATGTTATATCAAAATAGAAAATTGAATCAGGCAATCAAGGGTTTTTAGCTATTATTGCTGATTCGAATGCATGCACTTTTTGTTTTTGATTATACATAGATAGGCTATAGTATAGTTTTTTCCATGTACTATAAAGGAAACATGTAACATCCAAAAAGACAAAAATAGAATGGCTGAACTCATCTAACAGCAGTACATCTGTAAAGTGTGAATTCATTTGGTAGTCTAACACGCTAGACACAGTGTTGAATAATATTTTATTTATATATGTCCTTCGTGAATAGCGTTTCAATGCTATAGCTAATCTCGTCATTATGCAGCAAATATTGACATATATCATTCTGCTTAAATAATTTATCAAACATCACCCTGATCATTGTTGCTAATTTTCATATTAAAACTTAGCTAATTCAGAATTATGGAGGTAACCGTGTTTTTAATTTGTATCATAAAATTTAAAACAACACGGCTATTTTTATATTGGAGCACCAATTGCTAAAGTGAGCAAACACTTAGGCCAAATTATTTCTAAATTGAATAAAAAAACCATTTTATACTTGACAAATCTTTGTAATCTCACTTGGTGTGAAAAACTGCTTAGCAGAACACTTCTAGCCCCTTAATTAAATTAAAAATCAAATCGAAATCTTTATATCAAATAACCAAAAATATGAATATTGTGAACAAATTAAGAGAAGCACCGAAGGGCTAGAGAGATTGGCCTGTAATTGCGATTGATTATTTTGGTCCTGCTCTCCCTGGAGGTTACGACTAGACATAAAACCAACCTCCTTCCGTTTTCAATTTAAATTATATGTCCGTCTCCGTCTCGGACATGTCCCCAAGGCCCCGTTGGCTTTCACCTGACGAAGTGGAGTTGTTTCTTCCTCTCGGGCTGTGGACCAGCACAGCACTGCGACAGCTCGAACCAAGCATGGGATTGTGCGGTGAGCGGTAGCCAACCATGTTGTCGAGCAGAATGTTGCTGTGATTGGCGGGCAGCACAGTCACTGAAACGTGGTCAGACGTTTGCGTTGCTACATCCCGACTCCTCGTGTCCATAAGAGTGGGACACCGACACGACTCACAGTGCTGCAGTAGGCTCCTTTCTCTCTCCCGCTCTTCGAGAACTTTGGCCATGATTGCCGCAGAGACTATGTCAACTGGCTGCTCTTCAGGGTCGCTAAAATTTGCAGATCCATTGCTCTCTAAAAAATTTTATCGATTGTTATACAACTCGAATAGAATTATAAAAAAAAAATGTTTCTAAATTTCTAATAAATGTTTCAATTCACCTCCTTTGTTGACAGAATAAACCATGGCTGTTGGTGGGAAAGTGGGAATGGGAACTTTGATAACCTTAGGCTCGGGCCTATTCTGAGGAACGTTTCCACCTCCATTTGGTCGCTTGCTATTTACATAGGTTTTAACTTTCTGTTGAATGTCAGAGGGTAACTAGATATTGTGGTTTGATTAATACAAGGGAAACAAGGCATAGGTGATAGAATTTACCGAGTCAAATTTTTGAGGCATAAAATTCCCTGGCTTGCATTGCAAGAGTTGAATTGTTAAATTTACATCATTTCTGTATCTTTCCTGAAAATTTAAATAAAATTGGTTAGATTTTGTTTAAAAAAAAAACTAAATACAAATACATTTTCAGTCTTAAGTCTTGAGGTCTTTATCCTTTCTTCACTCAGTGACCTTGTTGTCGTGCCCAATTCCCTTGACAACACACTCTTTTCCGTCTCGAATTTGTCTACTATCCTTAAAAGTTTGTCTTCAAGCCCTTGGTTTACTTTTTGCAGCTTCTTGTGCGCTTCGTACAACCTTTAGAAAAGTAAAAAAATAAAAATGAGCTTAAAATGTCCAAACTGGATTTCAACCTGTTGTATTTGTCCTGCCAAATCGCCACTTCCTCCATCATTGCGACCACTTCTCCGTCAGGATATTTATCAGCTTCTGACAAGAAATTTGTCTCCATTTTGACAATGTGATGTTCTTTCTCAAGAAGTCGTTGTTGCAGGTTCTCGATTTCTACGTGCAAGTGCAGGGACGTGTTGTCATTACAGCCTTCGCACCGACACCCGCATTCCTGAAGAAAATAATAAATTTAGTAAAAACTGTAATTGATGGCGGTCCTTTGTCTACGTTGACACTGACGCTACGTGTGTTGTGTGTCATTGAAAGAAGCATATAATTATAACCTTGAGACTAAACAAAACTATTAAATTGCTGAGGGAAACTGGATACATACAAACAAAACAACAACATTTAAAATTAGCAGAGTGAAAATTTACGCCATCATAAAACAATATATACAACGTATGTATTTGAATTTTGAATGCAAATTTTAGGCCGCTGCTGTTTCCCTCCAAAGATAAAAGGAGAAATAATAATGATAAAATGACCTACTTTACATGTCCGTCTGATATTGTAGGCCATATCATGCTCGCACTGGCTGCGAGGCGGAACACGCTGCGATCGTATTTCAGACACTTTTTCCACTTCCCTGCGGTCCAGACTCCCTTCAGACACTTGACATGCTCATCAAGACAGTGGCAACTGTGGAAAAACGACGGTTCTGTGCGTTAGGTGACGTGGAAAATAAAAATCGTGGTAACAGAAGTCGCGTCTCCAAAATTGTCAAATGAAACAGCTGGAGAATCGGGATTGGCGACTGTGCTGCCACTGTAGTGGCCATGCGGCCACGCCCGCATCGCATAATGTAAATTATGCATTGTGCTAGTCAATGCAGTCCAACGTGTTGCATACGTCGTTGCAGTATAAAGTTCCTGGGCGTTTTGAACACGCAGTTTTATAACTTAATATAATTTAAATGATTTTCATTAGTATTTTACATTTTTATTTGTCGGAACCAAAATTTTTGCTCTTATTTGATTTAATATTTTATATTACATCTATTGACAAAAATATTTACATATACAATTTTAACCTGTAATTAAACAAGAATAAATTTTCAAAATTTGCATTTGGAGAAATTTAATGAAGTAGTAAATGACACTAAAATAGTTCGTTTGTAATAAATTATTTATTATTAGAAACGCAATTGTCAAACTTAACCAAAGTTTTTGTCGGTTTTTGTTGTCACTTACAGACAGTGGAATGCAAATTATTTACAAACAAAAATACTTAAAATAAAACTAGTTCAAATTAACTATTGAGGGATTTTCTAAAGATTATTAAAAATAGTAGCCACTACATCTGGATACCAAATCCGAAGGAACTAATAATTTTTACAATGGAATAAATACGCATGAAGTTCAATCATCAAGGAAAACTTCTTCTTTGATGCTAATGGAATCGAGAGAATCATCTTCTAGCATTGCCGAATCTTCACTGGAGTAAATAACCCGACTCTCTTCCTCTAATTGCGATTTCGACTCTGCCTCATTGTTTTTGTCGGCCTCTTCTGGATGAGAGCAAAGAATGTGTCTAGCCAAACTGTTCGGGTGCATCCACTTGCTGCAAAACCAGCAACAAATCCGTTTCCATTTGCCCTCTTTTTGCTCAATGAACTTGTGACAGGATTCCGCTGTTGTCACCTGGCCCGATACTGATGGGCGGACGGCCAGTTTAGGGAGTAATTTAGGCAAACTGCGCCGCGCTGGCTGCGCTCCCTCGCTCAATGTGCCGCTGAGCCCAAGTCCCGCCCCAGCAGTCACTTGCATTGCTTTGCATTCTTTAGTGTGCTCTGCAAATTTTTCACTCGCCACTGGCACCCCACACACTTTGCAGAACACTCGGGTGTCTACAACTTGTGTCAAAACTGTGAAGCTCGTGCCCTTGGGATGGTTCTGCACTTTGCTGTGCCGACAGAAGTTGCACCGAAGAAGGACCGTCCCGCAATGGTTACAGCTCACCTTTATTTTGTGGTTCGGAAGTTTTGGGAGAGTAGGGGCGGGGGTGGATTCCTCGATAATCGGTTTGATTATTAAGATCGGTGCTAGTGGTACTTCAAGCTCCACAGGTTTTGGGGCGTGTTTTTCGGTGAGGTGGTCGACCATCTCAGCAGGGGCCACTATCTCATCGCAGAAATCGCATTTCCGACCGCCTCCCAATTTGAGTGAAGAGTCTAAGATGTCCATGTCCATGTCCTCATCGTCGTCCGAGTCAAACATGATTATTTCATCAGACAACTTTGGTTTTTCAGTTTCCGTACTGTGGGGTACGGGCACCTCAAGGGCCTCTTTTATGTGTACTTTGTAGTGGGCCAAGGATTCAGAGGCAAGGACGTCCTTTTGGCAGTGGTAACAGGTCAGGGTGTCATCCACTGGATTACTTGTGGACACATTTTCCTTGGCGTGGACCAGCTTGATGTGTTCGGTCACATCCTGCATTTTGTGGCAGTATTTCCGGCAGTAGATGCAGACAGTGTCCAGTTTCCCCTCGTGGTCCTTCTCAAAGTGCTCCCGTGCCTCGTGCTTCTCCTGTAACTTCATTGGGCAGTAGTTGCAGTTGTAGATCCTGCCATACCGCTGGAATGAGAATCTGCAAACCAGGGCCTCTTTGTGAGCTGTCTCGAGGTGGCTGATGTAGATATGGGATTTGAAAGACTTTCTGCAGAAGTTGCAGTAAAGTATGCGATCAACAGCAAGTTGGTCTTTGAACTTGGGGTCGAGCAAATGGTCAAAGTAGATGTGCCAGTGAATGTGGGCGTTTGTATCGAACTCCTTGTTGCACACCAGACACTGCTTTTCAATGCTGCCTTCGTTGCAGCAAAGTATCATGTGGTTGTTGAAGTTGTTGGGATTGTTGAATCTTTGTTTGCACTTGCTGCACTCTATCCTCTTAGACCTTTTATAGACCCTCCCATTCTTCCTACTCTCCTTGGCAAAGTACGCTAGGACCTTCAGGTCCTCAGGAGCTTTGATCATTGGGGTATGGCATGACTTCTTCGATGTGTGACGAAGGTAGGCCGTCTTGAGGAAGAAGTACAGGTTGCAAGTTTCGCAGTGGTAGCCCGATTCACCCAATTGGTGGACAGCGCTGAAGTGGTATTTCAGGTTCTCCAACGATCCCATCAATTGTCCGCAGAACTTGCAGGCGTGCAGCAAAGGGTTGATGTGGCATGCGTTCATGTGACTGCTAAGGCTGACCTCGCAGGGGAAGTAGAAGTTGCACTTTTCGCACATGATGTCCAAGTGGGCGTGGCACACACCCTTCAACTTGGTCACCTCCTCCTGGCCATGCGTCAGCAGAGTGTGCACAAGCAGGTCAGCCAGGGAGCAGAATTTTGTTTTGCAGACGGTGCAAAAAATGCTGCACAACTCGTGCATTTTTTTCATCGTTTGGCATTGTGGGAAAACGTTGCAGTTTTTGTCAGCGTGCCCTTCGACTTTCTTGTGCGCGTCCATGAATTCTGTGTACATCTCCAAGCCGCAGACCTCACAGATGGCCTTTGGCTTTTTGCGGCAAACATGGTACTGAAAGAGCGTTTTGAAGCGGAAGTTGGTTTGACAAAATTGGCACTGAAATTGGTTGGCGTCAGGATGCTCCTTGATGTGGTGCTCCCGAAGACTCTTGTCATTGTCTGCGTTGAAATCGCAGAGTTGGCACTTGACATTCTCGAACTCGGATGGTTTTGAGGCGTGCATGTTCAAAATATGACGTGCAAGGATGGCCTCGTTAAGAAGCTTAGAGCAAAAGGTGCACTTCATCAGCTTGGCGCCAGATGGGTTGACGGTAGCAGTAGTGTCTCCCTCGACAAAGAAAAGTTCAAATTTGTTCTCACTTTCGAATTTGTGTATCTTCAAATGTGATTGGAGGGGAAGAATTCCAATGAAATTTTTGTCGCACGTCCCGCATTTGAAAGTGCCACTTGTAGAACTTTTGTGCACTTTTTGCATGTGTTCATCAAAGAATGCCTTGAGATTGAAAGATTCCACGCAAAAGAGACACTTAAAATCATCCACTGCTTTCACTTTGGGTTGCGTGACTGCATTGTCCACGTTTGGACGTTCCAGCACACCCTCAAGGAGACTTAGAAGAATAGAATTGTCTGAAACTTCCAGATCTTCACTGGCCTTGATGCAGGTTGCAATGTGCTTCCTCAAAAGACCGCCACACGAGAATGAGGCTTTGCAACTCTCACAGGTTTTGCAACTCATGTGCTGTTCAAAGAACGTCCCTCGGGGACCTTTCTCTTGACAGTAGAAGCACACCACCGTAGGCTGAATTTGAGAAGCCGTGTCCACAGGAGAAACAGCCTCAATAGTGGGTATCTTTGGTGGGCTTGGTGGCGGAATCTCATCGCCAATTTCTTCTTTGCCTGTGGAAATTTCGTCATGTTCTCTTTTCTCCACTTTGACGACAATTTCCTCATGACTGCGGGCTGCAGACGTGGATAAAGGAAATTCTATTTCATCACACTCCAGCTCCATCTTTATTTTCACCGGGTGTAAATTCAGGCCAGAAAAGATTTCTTCATCTGTCAACCTTTTTAATTTAACGGTGCAAGTTCTCATCCAGCCACCTGTAGATAAATGATGAAATAATTATTTATCTCATAATCTGATCATTTTAAAAATACCATTTTTGTAAAAAAAAAATGTAACATATTTAAAATAGAAAAATCAATTTATTAATTATAAAAATTTCATGTCGGTAAAAAAATTACACAAAATTTTTTAGCTGTAGAGAAGCTTTTATAATAAGTAATATAATTGTTTGTTCTGTATACGAAAATATTGATTTTGATACAATAAAATCTCATAACAGTTAGTTTCAATAAAAATGAGAAACTATCCGAAAGGGAAATTGTAGCAAAATAATGTTTGAGAAAGTTAATTAAAAGCAACACACGTTTGTAATATTCGTAGAAAGGGTCTTCCATAGGCCACCAAGCATAATCTTTGCCATCATCATTGAGTTCGAATAAACGTCTGAAACACCAATAATAAATTATATTATATTTATTTTTAATAAAGTTATCACTAAGCAATAAGCTTCATTCATAATAAATATTTGACCACAGCAAAAAATATAGTGAAAAATAAAACATTATATGTTTCTCAATACCGGTATAAATAGAGCAAGCAAGGGGAAATTACTATGCTTACATTAAAAAATTGCTCTTTATCATACAGCACAAACGTCATGTAGCCTTAAAATATTTTTGAAGAATTAAAAGAATTTGCTGTTAATTAAAATGGAAAATGTCCATAAAATTAAACGGTAAAGAAAAGCTTTAACAATTTTTTTGTTTTTGTTATTGCCGGGCTCAACGCGCATGAAGTGTGTAGCATTTGGGCTATACATAAAAAAGTGTGTTAAGTTCCAAATATCTGAGCTGTTAATAAATAATGCCAGTGGTTACTCATTCTCGGAGGAAAAAGAAAATCACAGAGAATGATTTTGTGTGATTTGTGACGCACCTCGCCTCCCGAGCACAATTCATGCAGCTGCGCTTGTTTCGAATCGAGTTTTCGCAGACTTCCTCGCCTGTGCCGCTTTTCCACCACCTCCTCAGCCTGTCCAAGTCCACCTCGGACAGTACGATTCCTCCGTCCACCACTGGGGCGACGCAGAACACGCACACCGAGACGTCCACGTCCATCGGAAAGCTGCGAATTCCGCTCAGCATGGAATTTTGTTTGGAAACATAATATGGTGGGATGGGAAGTGGATTGGAATTTGTTTTCGCCCGATGGCATGCCTATGCGACACCAGCGCCCCGCTACGATACGTGGTGGCCATGAGAAATAACGCAAGCAGCCGGTCAGTCCCTCTTTCGGGAATCGCGAAAAAACGGCGGGGAGAGCGAGACGGTGCTATGGACATTTGAAGCTTCTAATGTCCATAGACGGTGCTTTCGCGCGGAGCAGTTGAGGAGCATTCCTGGGTCTCTTGTGGATTATGAAACTTTATTTGGTACGTGGCTGCACATGCCTTAGCATTTTGTTGCACTTCAATTTGAAAAATTCATAATGAGTGATTTTAAAATTAAAAACAATGGAGGTGCCATAAAAAATAACAATTAACAACAATGAAGAAATATGAGAAATTTATTTAGTTCTTGTTAAAAAAAAAAATTACCCAAGTAAAAAATTAATCACTATAATGATTCAATTATCTAATTTTTATTTATCTGTCAAAATTTGGATATAATTATGTGCTTGACATTGAAAATTTTAATTATTGAAAATTAATATTTTTGAGGTCTCAAATTTTGTTCTCGGTCACCGAAATTTTTTTTACATAACATAAAGGAGACTTAATGAATATTACTGCATAACTCACATATTATTTGATCTTGGAATTAATACAAAATATAATATTTACAAAGGTTTAAATTAGTTCCTTACAAAATATAAAATTCTTAAATAAAATATTAAAAAATCAAGTAGGACGCAGTTAAAAGCATAAAATTTTAAAATTTCCAACGTTTTGAACAATTTTCTTCAGTTATGAAGGAGGCAAAGCCTGCTCTAAGTCTTGCATGTCTATTGCAGTAGGGGTGTTGATTATGCTAGGGGCTGTCGCTCTTTGGTGCCAACCAGACGCCAGTCGTCCTCGCCCACGTCTTCCACCACCGCCGAGCACCTGAGGAGTTGGATTTTCAGAAGCAGGTTTGCAGGGCTTTTTCTTCTTAGGCCGTTTCTTAGGCTCCGAATCAACTTCCATTGAACACGAGTTGAGGTTGCTTTTTCGAGGGACAACGTCATATCGGAAGTTGGCTGGAAAGTTGTGCATCTCCACACAGTGGGCCATACGCTCTTTGGCGTTCCATGATTTGAGTGGACACTCAATGACAAAACAGCTGAACTGAAAATGAGATGATTAAACATTTTAATTTAAATTCAAGTTTTCTCTAGACCAAACTAACCATTGGTGTTTTGGACGATTGCAATTCGAAGAAAGTGTCGTGTGATTCACAAATGTGCAAGTCGAGGAGATGAGCTGATGCTAAGTGTTTGTGGCACTGATGGCACTCGAACCTATGATTTTTTTTAAGGCTGAGCTTTGTATTTATTCGGAAATGTTACCTGTGCACGGTATTATAATGCTGCTCCAAATCAAGGACACTTGAGAGTTTTTCGGAGCAACCGTGCACCTCGCAAGCAAATTCAACACTCCTGAAAAAAATTACTTTTTAAAACTTAAATTTTTTTACAATTGAACGTACTCATTTTCAATGTCAATGTCGATGATCCCAAGAACTTTATATGGACCGCAAATTGCATCTCCGGCGGCGAAGTTTGGGTCCGAAGCAGATCTCCTTCCTGGGATTATTTGGTTGACTTGGACAAGAATTTCGTCCATTTTTGGGAAATTTTTAAAAAAATTTGAACAAAACTAACGGGAGAGTTAAAATATCGATTAAAAGAACAGCTAAGATTAAAAATTTCCGTTGAAAGAATTCAATAAATAAAAGAGCTGAACACCTCCTCTGCGTGATTTGTTTTCTTTCCATAGCAAAGCACGACGAGCGGGCAAAACCAAAACAAAGCCCATGTGATATCCCCTCCTCCGTCGCGGCCAGTCGCGGCGCCTATCGAGGGGTGCCATGCGCACTGCTGCTCATTTCAAATGAATGGCATACCTGGTACATACTTCTGAAATACCACAAACTGGAGAGGAAATCAGATTTAAAGGCTTTCGCCTGGGAATGAAGAGTCGGTACCAAGGACGGCATTTGTCTGCGGCAATAGCACGTCATACTTTCATTAAACCAGGACGCTCCGTTTTTATTATTTTTGTCATGTGCAATCCGTGCAATCCATTACATTATTTATTTTTGTATTCACAAATCAATTTATTACTGTTTATTACTAATTGCCGTTTTCAAGTAATTAATTTAAAAATTATTTTTTATTTATAGGATACTCTGCTATTTCTTTTGACGAGGATTTTTAAATGCATTAAATACAACAGATTTTAAAAGGAATAATTCGTATTATAATCATTACAAAGATAAAAATAGTCGATAGTTGCGTCCCTCGCTGAGACAGGTGAATCTCGGTCAGCTTTTTCTCCTTGCTGCTGCTGCTCCTGAGAAATTGCAATAATTGTATTTTTCGTTTGAAATAATTTAGCTCTTTGACGAGGGCACATATACTTGAGCACGGCGCGCGCTGCTTATTCTTTTATGCTTGATAAATTTATTTCCGCTCGCAAATGCATGTTTGCATATTAAATAATCCAACAAATTTGCAACTTTTTCCCATTCAGATCAGCTCTATGCAGCTGCAAGAAAAAAATTTATGAAAAAAATTTGCATAATATAAATAAATGGCATTTTTATAATAATTATTATAAAATAGTCAATATTGTTTCAAAACAGGTCAATCTCAATGAGATTATACAATTTATGAGTATTCTGAGAAACTTAATTGATAGATTTTAATCCAGTTTACGGAGATAGCAAAAATACTGGATGCTGGAGAATAAAATAAAAATAATTGTTACTAAAATTTTTATTGTGAATTTACGATTATAATTGCATTACCAAATTTCAATATTACTGTATCCTAAATAAATTATTTAATGTTATTATCATCTTTCTTTATCTCAAAATAGAAAAGCGTGACCAAGAGATAAATTATATATATAGATAATGCCCTAGCGATAAAATTATGCCCTCAATCAAAAACAATTTTAAATTATTTCTTCTCTGAACTGTTGTGCTTAGCACAGGTCTTTGATGACTATTTTTAGAAGCACATATCGTCGTGGAAGCGCAGAAGTTCTCTAAGTTCCGAGCGGCAAGGGCGCAGATGTTCTGGCAAAGAGAAAATCGGCAGCCGGAAATTCTCTAACTTCCAATTTTGCCAAACCGATTTTCTTCATGATTTATTATGTATATCTTGCAATTTAAATTTTGAATATTAGCAAAAACAAACTCCTAAATCATCTAGCTCATTTGCAGAGGCTGCAGTAAAAAAGGAAATGCACGCGGCACCTTCTTTGAAAATCCCTCGTCTTGAGGGCGGCCGCGAAGGGTGTTGTCGAGCCCGGCTGAAAGGGGGCAAGTGAAGCAGGATTGCATGCGGATGCCCCCGCTAAAACGATTTATTCTGTTGCTCCGCGTGGAGCGGTGTGCGTTCAGCTCGAGCGAGCCTTATACCCATTCCATTTTTTCCGTCAGTCTGCAAGGATGAGTCGCTCGCCGCGGAGGTGCCTATTTGGCCGTCCGGATATAGCTGTGCTGGAGGAACAGCTCCAACAACTCGAGCGCGAGGCGGCCGTTGAATTTCGCACACGATTGGCAAAATATGAAGTTCTCCCTGCCGACATTTTTGTCGCGATTGCCGAGCCGGAGCCAAACGCCGATCAGCAGCCGCACAATGGTATATTTTCAGGATAAAGTAAATTTTATTTATAGATTAGAAAAAAAAACAATTGGATACGTCAGCGTAAGCACGCAAAGAGAGGAAGTTGCGCAAAAGGGCTGGCCGCTGGATACCATTTGCGGAGTTGCACTACTTTTCATCATGAACGATGATACAAAATTACTCAAAGCCATAGATATTCATCCAGAATTTCCTATTTTTAGTTCATTGATATATTTTACATTAATCTTATAAAAATTATTTATAATTAATTTGGCATGAAATAGATTTGAAAAGCTTAATTAAATGCGTGGTGACGAAAATCAAGTGTATACGTAGTTAAAAAAATGCTTTCCTTTAACATTTAAATTTACTAATGCAAAATTAAAAAAAACCTTTTTTTATCAATTTACTTAAATACATTTTGTAACTACACATTTTTTTTATTCATTATTTGTTAACCTAATCATATCAGAAGATAATAAAATGTTAAGTGGAGCTATCCACGTTTGCATAATTATATTGATAATAAAATGTCTTTCTTGTACTCTGAAGTCGTAGATTACTTGCGCAACAAGCTGTAAGCCAAATAAGTAAGCGATCATGGTCCAAACCGATCAATGCACTTGCCATATTAGTGGAAGTTGGCAGGCAAGTTACGGTGAATGGATTTAAGAAGACTAGCAACTCAAAATTAAATATAAAAATGCAAATTTTATCTAGTAATTTGATTTTATATTCAGAAATGAATTTATTTTATTAAATTTAGATAACACAAAAATAATGCGTACTCTCTTTTCCTTCACGCCCCAAACATAAAAAAGATGTCTCTTCGCCCAAGTACCAAAATTTATGTTCTTGCACGTCGAGTGCACAAAGAAGAGATTAATTGTTGCATGGGAGTATGAGTCGGCCGACTTGATGTAGGCCGCGTTGAAAAAAAGCCAGGCTAATTGGGGCCTCCGAGGTGGAGTGTCGTCTGCGCTGCCTTTTCTATGACCAAACTCAATCTCACTCCTCGGAAGGAAATGGACGTGGGAACAGCACTCACAGGGGCCCACCTCATTCACACCCACCTGAATGCCAGACAGACACTCCATATTAAACAAAATAATGCGCGGCGGCTCGAGCTGCCGGCAATCCCATCAAATTAATTACCGGCGCACACGACACGAGTGGCCGTGAACATGCGCTTCGACTATGAAACCTTTCTTCCCACGGATTTTGTCAATCAGCTTGACACGCGAAAAATATAGGAAACAAAATTTTATTCCTGCGAATCTCAAGTTGGATGTTAAATTATTGATTTCAGAGCTAAACGACAAGCGAGAAGAGGTTGTAGCTGCTGAGGCTCCAGAAGTCGGTACAGAGAGACTGGATATGAGTGAATCTCCACATCGCCCAGACGAAGAATCCCAAAATAATCTAAGTCCTTTGCAAACTCCCGAAGAAGAACTGAGCGCAGAACCGACTGACAATGAATAGCTCCCGAAACTCTTCACTCTAGTATTTCCAGCAGGGTTCAAATAGTCAGTTTAAGGCGTCACTTTTCTTTCTCAGTCAGCAAAATCACAACCCTAGTCCCTACTATGTGTGACCAAAAACCAATTTTAATTATTAATTTCTCAACGTGAGCCTTGATTTTAACATAAATCAAATCCAAATAGCCGTAGCGTAATTTATGCTGATTGTATCCTATTATACTTAATGAAATACTTAATTTTGCTGTGCTAATTTATTGGCTATGTTACAACAAGTAAAAATCTTGATTAAAGAAGAACCATTATTAAAGAAGAAATATCTGCTTTTTATTTGCGCAATGAAGTAGTGGCTAAATTCAGTCATCTGTCAATTCTGGAGTTCAACGTGCTGAAGAATCAGTCAGGCAAAACTGGTAGGTACCGTGATCATTGCGGTTGAATTAATTGAATACCTCCAGAACAATAAATTTAACTTTTGGGGCAATCAGAAAATGAGTAGAAAAATATTTGATTCCCTAATATTTTTATTCATTTTAATGCTTATGAAAATACGCGTGTCTTTATTCATAACAATAATTATAATATTATTACTAGTACGATTATTTGCTACTTTATAATTATTTACATTCAAAGGGTAGGAACAGAAACAGCGTTTTGTAAAAATACATGTGTCTGTGAGTGAAGGCACTTCACAGGAGCTGAGTAGTCAAAATGTTGGACATTTGAATTTTCCTGTCAGAAAGTAATTTAACTTCTGTTACTTTTAAATCGAGTCAATCTTTTTTAACCGTGAACCAAAAGAGAAAAAGGCAAACAAAAAGGGGTGAAAATCTTATATTTGAATGCAGTGCACTAGAGTTGCCAACAAGTGAGACAGGAAACAAAGTTTCATCTCTGAATAATAAGTAAAATATAAAACTCAATCAGAGAATTTCTTATTAAAAAATTAAGCACAAAAATTTCCAAGGGAGTGGGTCAAAATAAATAGCTGGGGGCAAACACAGAAAATTTCATATTGAGTATTATGTGCAGTTCACATAATAGAGAGTTCATTCCAATTTAGTAAATAATTTTAATAGTAAGGCGGCGCGTCCACTCCCAAGGCAAAGACGAGCGTGTCTCTATTTACAAAATAATAGATAATAAACCAAAATTATTTAAGATCATTGATTAACGTTCCAATTTTGCTGAGCAGTTTCTGTTTTAAACGCCGTGTGCCTGACAATATGACTCGTTCCTACGTACGTTTACATTTGAAAAACCTGAGAATAATTTATCATCTGGAATTCTTACTCATTACTGGCGACTTAAATTTTCTTGTTAATTTTTCAGGTATAGGTTGAGCAAAATATTAATAGGTATTAAGCTCTGTTCTCCTAATTCAATCATATGTTTTTATAAAAATCACTTTCACAGCTATTAATTATCCAATTGGTATGAGCACTATAAAAAATATTTCTTTTCCGCAACAATGTCAATACTAATAGCGTAAAAATTCGAATTTTATCACACTTTCAAGTCGCGCAGCAAAGTTAGAATCCAGAACTCAATACAGCAAACCTGGTAAATGAAGGCAGCTCACTCAGCAAGGGAACGAACGTCACATATCCGAGGGCGGTCGAGATCCTCTGGTTCTTCACCCAGACCTTCGTACGCCTCAATTCTGTTCCGCACCGAGGTGCAGTACTTAATGCAAGAAGCAGGGGCTCCTGGAAGGGGTCCCAGCTGTTTGGCTCTCCAGAAGCCGTCCAAAGTGATTAAGTGTTTCACATAGCTTGTATAGCTGCCAAAAGGCTCTTGCCTAAAACAATTACAAAAGATAATTAAAATTTATTCTTTGGCTACATGCTTTATCTTTAGGTGCAATTTTATGATAAATTAAAAAATGGTTTGTCTGAGAGTGTAAAATTAATGATAAACTTGCCTTTTCTTCCACTCGGCCAAAGTGCGATCATCCATCTGAATGTCCGCTCTTGTTGTGTGCCACCGGCCTCGAGGAGGTCCAGTTTCTCCAAGCCATTGAAAGTTCAAATTGGGACCTTCGTTTCTTGCCGTTCTCTTGACCAGAGGTCGCTTTGCTGGTGCGGTGACGTTACTCACATTTCCCCCAACAATGCGAACTGTTATTGCTTCTTTGGCAGGAGCAAGTCCCCTTGCCTTCTTGTTTGGAGGAGGTCCTTCAGCAGGCACAGGGATTATTTCAACAGAAGGCGTAAGCAATGTGCGTTTGGGCGCAGAATTAATTGTGGGGGTTGAGGAAGACGTTGATGCCGTTGGTGGGGGTGGAGTCAGTTTCTTTGACTTCGGAACCTCAGGGAACACCTCTGCCAGAGCCGACGTGTCTAATGGGTTGGCGGTCTTAATAATTCTGTGAAAGTAAAATTTTAATACCAAAGTAATATTTAAATTCAAGTTTTAGTACTTTTCCCGGTGCTGCCTGAGGAAGGTGCGATTGGAGACACTTAGCTTGGTGTAGTCGGAGCAGCGAAGTCGAAGACTTGAGTAGTAACGACACTTTTTGCAAAGGTCAGCCTCAGGTTGCACTACAATGGGAATCAGGTCCTGCCTGAGGACCTCATTGAAGCGATCTGTTGCCTGAGGCTCAAGACAATAAAGTTGGGAAGAAGCGGCTCGCCGTCCACACAAAACACATGCCCCAATCTTTGCTGTTTCTTGGTGGTGTTGGTGACACAAAAACAACCCGCTCTGCAATTATCAATAAGGACAATTAACATCTTTGCAAATTTGATTTTAAGTTACTTTACCTTTGGGTCCAGTCCTCGAGCAAGGAGGCCTCGGACACGTCTCTTCCACTTGCGAGCCAATGGATGAGGGGCTGGTTGCTTGCAACCAGCAAAGCAACAAGTGGCAGCCTCCTTTTGCTTGCGGATTTTAGCCTGTGGAGGCCGCCACGCAGCCACAGAAGCAAGAGGTCGGTCTAAGTGCCGGAAGCAGGCGTCACAGATGCAGGAAGCCAGAGTCAGAACAGGCTCTCTTGCGAGGACTGCGGACTGCTTCTCAATTCCACCCTTGAGCTGAGATACATGAAGAGGAGTGTCGTAAAGGCCAAACTTGTTGTGACAGTAGCAGCACACATCTTCACATGGACGACCTGGATGTACGTTGCTGGCAGCAGTTTTTTCAGGGATCACCACCTCGTCACGCTTTTTGGCACCTTTCTGTCCACTGTAAAAAATTCAAGTGGTATATTATTTTCCAATATGGGTTGACAATCAAAAACAAACTGCACACAACAACAGAAGAGTCAGGCAAAGGTTAGATTTTGCAGGCCTAGAAAATTAGTAAGAATGCAATGTAATTAAATTCATAATTACAGTTCAGCCTCTGTATCGAGGCCATCACCGACGCCTATGCCGGGCTGGGGCGGTTTGGCTTCGCCCAAGTGCCGGCCTATAATCAGATCCGAGATAGTTGGCGTGGTCAGGATTAGTTTGGCCAGCTCACCATTTGAGATCGGCAGGCCAGGGTACCACAATGCCTTTTTGCGGTGGCTGCTTTTCTGGCCTTCTTCACCATCACCCTGAAAATCACTCTTAATTAAACCAAAAGTTCATTTCAAAACTATTAAACTCCAAATAATAAAGGAAATAAAAAATAAAAATTGAGCTTATTCTCACCTCGTGGCAAATGGCATAAGTTTTCTCGTTGGCTGTCTCACTTCGGTGGCCTTTCTTCTTGGCCGGGGTGGGCCTCACAACTAACTTAAGTTTGGGTACTTTGGGTCTCTCCTGTTGAGCCAAGCGTGTTGATTGAAGACCTAGTGCTCCAAGAACACTCTCCTTTGCAACAAGGTCTTCATCTTTGGTGGATTCAGGGCTGGATGTTTCTCCGTTAAATTTTGGACTTGATGAAGACTCGGAGCATGACGTAGAAGGCTCTGAAGTGTCTTCCTTGGAAGGTTCTACTTCAGGCTCAGGCTTGGTGGATTTCTCTTCATTAGATTTTTTGGCTGCAGCTTGCATCTTTTTCTGATAGTACTCCTCCCTTTTCTTTTTCTTTCTTTCGCTCTCCTTCTTGGCTTTGGAAAAGCGCTTCAGTTTCTCTGCCTTGCCTTTGGGTCCACTTTTCTTTACAGCTTTTGGCTCCTCCTTTTCCTGGGTAGCCACAGGCACTTCATTTTCTTCATTGACCTTCTCCTCCTCCGGGACTTGGTCAACAATGTCCGGTCTCTTGGATATTTCTTTGGGTTTATCTTGCTTCTTGGGAGTTTCTTCCAAGCAAGCAGCAGCAGTTTTATTTTCCGCAGTTGGTGAAGGCTCAGACCCATCTGATGATTTAACCGGCTCAGACAGTTCAGATGGTTTAACAGGCTCAGACACTTTTGGTGGGTCAACAGGCTCAGGGGCCAAGTCAGTTTCAGTCTCATTCTTCGTTGTCAAGGTTTTTTCGACATTCTCGTCAGGCTCGAGCTCTGTAGCCAAGACTTCATCCTCTGTAGCCAAGACTTCATCCTCTTGAGCCATCTGTTTTTCTCTTTCCTTTTCCTTAATGTAAATCTCCTCCATCCGTCTCTCAATCTGAAGGGCTTCTTCTCGAGATATCTTAGTGATATGCTTGTCCGGCGAAGATGCACTTGACTCACTTTCGCTCTCGCTTATCTACATAACAAAATTCATTTAATACTTGAAAAAATCTGGGGGAAAAACAAACTGACTCTTAGTTCTTCCATTTCCTCCTCAGCATCTGGTTCTCGACGAATGTTCTCCTTGAGAACAACTTCGTTAGGATCCTTCCGCAACAAGTCCGCAACCTTATCCTTAATACACGAGTTAATTGGTGCAAGTGTTGAGTATCTCTTGTCAATTTTCCAACGGTATTCAATAGGAATTTCACTTGAGTCTTTCAGGAAGGATGAGGTCTGTTTAGCCGCTGCAGATAAGGAGTTAATGATTGGGGCTGCAGAGAGGGGTGGTATTGGGGGTGGTGGGAAAGCAGTGGTCCCTTCCTTTGCATCGGCACTTGGGCTCTGGCTCATTTTGTTCCTCAACTTGGCTTGCATGAAAAGCTGTGGAAAATCTTAGTTATACAAAATTTCACTTCATGAAATATATTTTACCTGGAGATTGTTTGGAGAAATGACAGAGTGCTCCATAGGTTTGTCAACAGGTCTGTCAGGTGGAGTGATTGTCGCGCCTTCAGGACTCCGAGGAACAACATCAAGAGGCGCAGGCTCTTTCTTCTTACTTTTTAACTGCTCCAGCTTGCGACACGCTTCGGTCAGTGTTTGCATGACATCCACCTTTGGTTTTTCGTCCCTCCTGACAACTTCCTTACTGCCTTTTGAGGCTTCCTCGGAGATCTTCAATATATCTGCTGGATCCTTAGGCATCTCCTTTGCAGCTTTGACAGGCTCCGCCTCAGCTGGAACAGGCTCTTTTGGTGTTTGGATCTCCTTAGGAGACTCTGCAGAAATGGCTTCCTTTGCTGAAGCGTCTGCAGGTGGTTTCTCTATTCCTTTTTTGCTTTTTGGTGTCGGTTCAGACACAGTTTTATTACATTTTGTATTCTTTGGAGTTTCCTTTTTGGGGACCAACTTGAAGTCAGTCTGGCTCTCCACGCTTTTGCTGCCGTTGGTTCTTGACTCCAATTGCTTTGCTTTGATCTCAGTCTTCTTTAAAGCTACAACCGCCTTTTTAAGTTTAGGGTCACTCTTCTTTGCCACCAGCTAAAAATATTCAAATTTAAAATTGATTCCTATTAATTCCTTCAAGTCTATTTACCTTTGTCTTAGCCTTCTTAATCTGTGTTTTGGTTGTTGACTTGGCTGGCGTCTTTACCGGAGACTTTTTTGCCTTGGCCAGGGCTTTCTTAGCCCCCATAGGCACTTTATTTTTGGTTAGTTTCTTCTTGCTAACCGCTTTTTTAGAATCATCCAGAGCAGCGGCGCGACGCTGTCCATCGTTAGCGGCTGAAATCAACAGCCGCTCTAGCTCGTTGTTTCTCTTTTTCTTGGGTTGAGGCGTCGAAGGGCGGCTTGAAGGCCTGCTCGGCGGTCGCCGCCTTGTTTCAGAAGGGGACGTTCCACGAGACCCTCTGAGAGGTGTGGAGGAGCGAGACGAACGCTCGCTTGAGGCACGTTGGCGGGGCTGTCTAGGCACGGGGAACTCAAACGCTGCATCTCGGCCCTTCTTGGCTGCCCCTGTAATTGAGAGACGCCGCACAGGCGGCGAAGCGGCCACCGACGTCATTTTCTCCTTGCCAGCCATTCTGTAAAAAGTAAAACATTGTAAATACAGGATTGTCTTTAAATTTTTTTTATTTGTAATTGCCACTTCAAATTCAATAGTTCTTAAAATGAGTGGCTGAAAAAGTCCAGCCGATCATTATTTTAGAATATTATGAGCTGATAAACCAGATCTTTTTTGATTAGAAAATCCAGTTAATAGCAGGAGCATATTCCTTGCTAGAACTGCGAAAAGTCTATTTAAGTTTATGTCCCTTCAGTTTTCAGATAAGAAGAGCGGATAAGAATTATGATACGCAATTCAATAAAAGAAATTAAAGAAGGTTGAACAACTTTTCCGATAAATAATAGATTACGTTTGCGGTTTTCTAGTTAACATTATTCACACAAAAATCAATGCTAATAGTTATATAAGTAAAGTTAGGAAATTAAATTTTATATTCTTGAAAATATATAATAACTAATAACTTATTAGGCCTAAGGCCTTTAAAATAATTTAATTTTCAGGAAGTATAATTATTTTTCCTCAAGGCAGCTCTCAATTTCAATTCAAATGCGAGAAAACTTCAGATATTTAGATCATCGTTTCCGAAAAATCCTACAATCTACCCACATGTTGGCATTGTAAACAAACCTTTACCACCCCCTTTACTTTTCTCACCGGCGCGTATAAAAAATGCTAATTCGCCAAAACGCTGCCCCAAGTTGAGAGAACCCTTAAAAATTTCTAGAATCGAACCTCTTTACCACTTCCCACGGGAACAAAAGCTAAAAAAACGGCGGATTTTCCAACAAAAATAATACTGCGTCATGGGAATGTCCGCTGTGTTATGCAAATGCCGCCTCCGTTCCCGCCTCCGAGATCAACAAGTGTCACGGGGGCGGCCTTGTAAAGCATCACAAGAAAAGCAAAAAAATATTTTAACAGGAAAGAAATCGTGGCGAAACTTTTAAGGTGACGGTCGGCAAAAGGCATAAACGAGCCGCCTCCGACTCTGCCCCCGAGCCCTAAGAGCTGTGCAACACGGCAACAGTCTGGCCGAGAAGCTTTAATCACCCAGAATCGGCTGTGGATGCGTTCGGACGCCAAAGTGATAGACTACACGGATGCTCAGGGGTCTGAAGACGCCATCGGGGGCGGCCACCAGAGGCGGCGGGGGCAGTGGAGAGCGGCTGGAGGCCGTGAATACTCACGCATTGTGGCAAGCCAGTGACTCGGTGGGAGCGCGCAAACAATGGCGGCTCACGTCAACAGCCCGCCCCCTTCATGAGCCTTCTCCATACGAGTCGGCCGGTTTTCGGCTGGAATTCGCTTTCAACTCGTTCGGCTCAATCTTTCGAATGCTTTTTTACAGAATTTTGGGCGAACGACAGCTGAAAAGCGGAGCGAAACCGGAGGTATGTGGTGAGTAAAAAGTTTACGTAAGCCGCGCTCCTGGAAGGTATACCGTCCCGCAGAGCACGTTTCCTCCTCGTAACCTTGGTTTTCGGGGTCGATTTGCAACCTGGGAAGGTCACGGGTCCGCGATTTACTGATTGCAATCGGTACTGGGTAACGCGAACTATCAAATAATACTGTAAAATCAACCCACAATGCAATTTTGGCGCGGATAAATGGAAAATGAATTGCGCGTTTTGCGCACCCACGGGGAGCCTCCGGACGCCGTGTCGTCGGCCTGCTTTGCTTTCTTTGACTTGTGCTAGCTCTATCGTCGGGAAATTCTTCACAGTACCGTTTTAAAACGCAATTAGCCCTTCTGCGCTCGCCGCCTCGGCCCTTGCTCTATTGGCAGAATTAAAAACTCAACTTTCCTTTACGGGGAAAGCCGGAAAAGCGACAAATTTTCATTGGAAAAGTGGGAAAAAAATTGCTTTTAGAAATTAATTAAACCGGATTCACGGATCCGCCCTAAATAAATTTATTTTTTGAATTTATTTGTGAAACTCGGGTGTGGACGTATGTGTCACGGTTGAGAGGGCTATAGTGGATTATATAGCTCTGCGATTCATTTGACCTTGCTGCATTGCTAAACACAAGGCATCCTCTCTCGTCCATTTTATTTTACGATGTTCTCGGAGCTCGCTCTCTCGCTCACCTGCAGCACATACACATTTCTGTGCCGCGCTGCCTCGTTCGCTGTGCCGTAATCGCCCTCGATTGCATCGCTCTTCGTGTGCTTCCATGCGACTCGCACTTCATGCCTGACTAAGATCCGTCAGGAAAATTAACTTAGAAACACAATAAAATAACCAAAAAAATTATCTTTAACTACAAAAATATATATCACTTAAAAATACACTAATTTTTCTGCAATATATTAAAACTAAAAGAAATTTTTTCCAAAATAATTCTATTATTTTGGAAAAATTTCTTTTATAATTATCATAAAATTGGAATTTTTCGTAGAACAAAATTTCAAGTTCGCTTACGCATCGGATTTTCCAGGGACTTAAATGCGTGGTGCAATTTCCCATTTTCCAGCTCTTCTTTTATTACAAACTTTACAACTCGATAAATTGCATTATATTCTATGAAGCCCTTAGCGACGTGTAAATTATTATTTTTTTATGACATGAGAGGTCCTTTTTTCATTCGTCATCGTAGTGACAGCACGATAAAAAAAAATACCAGCACAAAACGCGATAACATGTCAACGACCGCCGCGCGTAATTCTACTTTACGAAAAAAATTGAAATAAAACGCATTCTGCGTTGTGCTTTAGTTTTCGAATAAATTATGAATAGTGCTCTATGTGTGCTTCGCTTTGTCGGGATCTCGCTTTCCGCCTCCCCTCTTCTAACTATATGCGCAATGCGCGTGATTTTCATTTCCAATCGGTGACCTCCTTTCGGGCGCGTCGCTCGGAAGGTCTTTGACCCGAAGGCCTCCGCAGGAACCGCCTCCGATGCACGCAGCCGCCTCCGTCGGCGGCACGAACTTATTTTTTCAGCCGCGATCGGGCCTCTCGTCGTGCGTCAGCTTCAATTTAAATGAGAAAGTCGTCGGCTAAAAATAAAAACTACCGGCGCCGCTTGACCCAGATTCCGCCGGCTAATGACTCTTTTAAATCACAATTCGCTGAAATTCGCGAATGGTCCGCCAAATGCCGAACTGATTCGGTGGCCGATCAAGTGTTCGGGGGCAGCCCCAGTAGCCCCTGCCGCGGCTGAAGTCAAGCTATGCAACCCGTTGATCTCGGTTGACCGCCTGGTTGCCTATCTCGACGTGTGGCAGGCGTTACAACAATGATTAGTCCTAGGTTTCGATTCGATTTAACATTCAATAGCGTTTATTATTTTTAGTCGTTATACATTTTGAGATTAGAAAACAGACAATATAGGTTTTTTTGTACGAAGACTAAATGCGTAATGGCGTCTGATGCTGACTCGATTGGTCCGACTAGATCCAGATTAGACGAAGCACTCTTGCTTACTCCCCAGGTTGTATTCAAGCTCTTCGTTCTGGTACATTTCCATCAACTGGGAACAAAAATTAATAAATTATAATTTAATTGATCAACATTATTGCTTTCTAAATTCATTATTTAAAATTTCATGTTGGAGCTGCTGAAAATAACTGAAAATTTAATGCCAATTTAAAACCCAAAGAAACCACTCGAAACCGGAAATAATTAAATTAGTACTTATGACTAATCACCTTTTCTGTGGAATTACGTTTTGAGAACACGATATGTTTGAGAAAAAACCAGTGTCTCGAGTTCTCGAAACAATTCCACGTAAAAGGCGATTAGTCAAAAGTTAATAATTTAATGAAAATTTAATGTTGATTTTGGTCTGCTGAATTTTTTATTACTGTTGATTAATGTGACTTTATTATAAATTAACCAATTTTTGTGTGTAAATAATACCATTTTATTTTAATGTATTAAATTGCTGATTTAAAATATTAAAATCTAAATCTATTAAAAATAATTAATTAATAGTATTTGCTATTGAATCAAAATATAATAAATTAATCTTAATTTTGTTAATAGTAAAATATTATTTCATAAACAAAAACAATATAAACGCTAATTTAAATTATTCTTGGTTTTTAGTTCAAAAATTTTAATTAGTTTTCTCAGATAAATTTTGGCTCATTTGGTTTGGAAAATTAATTCGAAAAAAAAAACACTTACGTTGTGGAAGGTTTTGTTGAGTTCATCAAGCTGCTTTTCATGTTTCTTACGTAGACGCTCCCGTTCCTTATCCTGCTTCATTTTGGCCACTTTCCTCTCGTCCATGAATTTTTTGGTATTATTCTGCTTCTTCTCTCTCAACTTACGGTCCTTATCGTTCTTGGTCTTCAGCGTTTTGTCGCTGTTGACCTCACGCGCGGTCTCCACAGAAATGCGTGCTTGAGACGAATTCAACTCTTTGATGTCTCTGTTAATGACTTTAAAATTAATTTAACAACTAATTATTCAATGGTTGCTCGCCTCTCATGTTTCGCCTCAAGTTGCTTCATCTGGGCACCCTGCACGCCCTCCATTAGTTTTCGCAGCACCTCCTGATTGTCACGCAGCTGCTGACGAAGGGTTTCCCACCTCTCGCGCTGCTGCCGTTCCACCATCTCCGACCACTGAGCCATTTGCTCTACCACCAATTTCCGCACCGCAGGATCTTGAGCCGCTTCATTGGGCCTTAAATTTTTTGTGTTAAAAAAATGGGAATTCAAAACAAATAATAACCCACTTTTTTCCTTTGACTAGTTTTTCAATGGCAGCAACTTGCTGTTTCTGCACGGCAGCCATTTCTTTCTGGTGGCGCTTTTTCAGCGCCTCAAGGTCTTTCTGCTGTTTGCGACCAACTTTAGAAAACCCTTTTTCAGCTTTGAGGCTGTCAACGGTAACATCCTCAAATCTTAGCTCTGTATCCTCAGCTAATTTGAAGTTGGTGTTAGATTGAAGAAAATGAAAAAAAAATTTGCAACCAACCTTTGCGACGCGCTTCCTCTCTGCGAGAACGCTCGGCCGCTGATTCGAGGGTGGTGTTGGCTTCCTCGATTCCCATGACCTTGAGACGCTCAGTGGGTGGAGCTTTTGGTGGCATGACCGCGCGTCGGGGGTCGGACAATGCAGCCATAAAATCTGAAGGTTAATGATTATTTAATATGGTGATATTAAATTAAATGATAATAATAGATATTCTCAAAATTGCAGAAGTTGATAGCTATTTAATTAAATAGGAAAATCAATAAAAATTTTGTAAACCGAAACCAGCGATCACTTATTATTTAGAGATTATGCAACCTGGCGGACGCTCACGCGATCGGTATTGATTGCAGCAACAAGTTGATGTAGGCAACTTGCGCGACACGGTTGTCCACACGGTTGCATAACTTTGTTATGCTTTCGTTTTGACTGCCGTTTGTATTGAAGCTCCTAATATTTAGGAACAGAATTAAGAAGGAAAATATATATGGCGTTTAGTAATTGAAATTTTTTACATTTAAATTTTAGATTTTTTGTCATTAATGACTGAAATAAGAAGAAAATTTTAATTTTACACTCACCTTCAAATCCATCTGGGACGTAAATCTTAAGTTCGATGTTGCAGAATAACATGGGCAGAGACATTGGAAAATTTGCCTCTGTGCGTAGGGAGATGTGCCTGTAACCAGCCTGCAGACCGTCGAGCGGCAAAATGCGCTGGCCTAGCAGTTTGCCATTCTCATCGTAGACGCCAAAGCGCAGCACAGCAAGATCAGGTAACACCACCTATTTTTAAATCAGGATTTTACGCACGCTCTGACGTTAATTTCATAAATATATAATCGGTGCTCTCGCCAAAACGCAGCACGTGCATTTATTCATCTCACTCACCTTTCTAAAGAGGAAGGGCTCTTCATTATAGACCGGATTCAGTCCGTTTGCCGGTACCATTCTCGTTTTGAACTCCTTCTTTATCGTGTCCGTCGGCAGTCCGTACATGTCCACCTCAACATAGGTACCAACCTTCTTGTCAGACAAGAACTGTCCGGCGATAACCTGGACACTGCACTGGGCAGCGATAACGCCGTCAACTGGAGATTCGGCGAAAGGATCAAAACTGCGGTCGGAGCGCCGCATGAAGTCTGGTTTCAGGAGGTAACCGCAGTTGCCGTTGTACTCGAATTTACCCTGGTTCAGCTGCATAGGCAGGTCAGGGGTTTGGAAGTTCAGAGACACCATTTGGCACCCAGCGTTCCAGAAAATCTTTAAAAATAAAAATATTTTGAGGTTCAATGAAATAAAACAATTAATTGGCCCAAAAATTATTTACCTGTGGCATGTAGTTGGAAGAATCAGCCCTGGTTCCCTTGGGATAAATCCTCGACATTTGCCTTTTGTTATAGTTGACAAACTCAATGGCCTGTTGCTTCAGCAAATTCAATCCTGCTGTTTCAGCAAAAGAAGACATGTTGTGGTGAACATTTTTCTCCTCGGCAGCTTCAAAGCTCTGGAATTTGACGGGCTGTGCGTAGTTGACCATGGAGGACAGGTACGGGTGCACATTGGTAGTGGAGCCTGTGTATTGCACCTGCACCGGCAACTCGGTGCCCTCGACCACCACTGACTCAACAACGTCCACGGACAGCACGGCCGGCTCCTGTTCAAAAAATCCATTTTTTGTTTTCCTTTCAACTCTATTGATTTTAATCTGACCTCTATCTTCTTGTCTGTAGCAACGGCAGCCAGCGTACTAACGGCGCTGGCATCTTCCTTTTCCTCGTCTTCGATCACAAACTGACCCTGTTTGAACAACTCCAGCTCCTGCTTTTCCACTTCAGGCTTGAGTCTCTTGTTTTTTATGATGATTTTCCGGCGCAACTGATTTGGAGACGGAAGTGGAATTCCAGGTTCGAGCTGTTGAGAAGGATTTAGCACATGCAATTTGCATTTTAAGTGTCAGATTATACCGGAAAGTCGGGCAAGGGCTCTTTGAGAAGTAGGTCTCCGAGGATGTCTTCACAGTATTTTGCCAGTTTGAATTGCTGAGCCTTGCAGCAATGGTTCTCAAATGACAAAATGACCGGATAGTCTGAGGTAACAAAAGCTGTGTCTCGCAACGCGTAAATAACATCCTTTAAGAAGATTCAATTTGTTGTGTTAATTCTGTCATTGCCTTAATGAGAATTACCCACTTTAAACAGAATATCTGTGCACATAGCCTTCCCGTGCGTAATAATAGGCTCTTCGTCCTCTCCCTTTCCGTCCCAGCAATCAAGCTCAACGCATCTAGAATTTCACATTTAAATTTTGATTATCAAATTTTGGTGTCAAATACCTGCACCCAGCGAGTAGCACCTGTCTGTACATTTCAACAGAGGACCTGCCTCCAAACTGCCTGCCAATGAGGTATGTGTTGTGCGATGAGTTAATGTAGTAGTGCGCCATTGATTGGTCCATATCCATGAACAGATCGAGTCTGTCCAAAAACACCGGAGCATTCTCATCCGACATCAAATACCTATTTTCCAAATCTAAATTTATTACAAATATTTTCAAGTTGAAAAGATTTACCTAATTAAGCCATCTTTACTCAGGAGACCCTCTTTCCTAAGATCATCGTTAGGTTCGTAGTCGATGACAATTTCCCGTGCTCTCTTCTCGTCATAAAAAGGGTAGAGAATCTCATTCAGTCTGGGGTCTCGCTGCTTTTCGTTCAAGAAGTAAATCAACTGCTCCAGAGTGATGTGCTCAGTCGTACCTTGGTTACTATTAGATGAAACTTCAATTACAAAGTAAATCAATTTTTATTTGAATACTAACATGACTTGGAAGAGCTCCTCAATATCATTCCTGGGACAAATCTTGTGGTAGAGGCTGTAGAATTTATCAAAGGTAAAGTCCTCCGGCTCAATAGTGTCCGATTTTCCACTTGGAAGGCCTAGGTCGGAGAGGCACTGGTAAACGAGCTTCTCCGTTTTGCCCGACGCGAATGTGCGAGCGATCACTTTGACGGGCACCTTGCCTTTGGCAGTTGTCAAAAAGCTCAATCGCATCCAACTGAAATTTTTAATTTTTTTTTCATTTAATTAAAAAAATTAATTTAAAAATAAATTTGCAAAACTCACTGTTTCTTGAGGCAAGTCATAGGACAAGCGTTGTTGGCCTTGACATTGTGCGTAATTGACCTTAGACCGTCTAGCCATACCTTTTAAAGCACAATAATTTTTGAAGCGATAATAAACTTTTTACGACTTTTTCATATTATCAAGAAGCTTTTAGAGCCAATACAGACTAGACTACATAACTATTCTACCAGTCTACAACTTGGACTAAAATATTATCTTACTTTGGCCGTTTCAGCGTCAGGACACACTATGTGCTGGTAATTGATGTTGACGTAATCGTAGCCACTGCAGATGGTCAGCGACCTGTCCTCCAGCTGCTCGCCGTGCCTGGTGACCAACTGGTTCAGCAGGCGCTGGTCTCGGGGCACGCCGCCCGCCCTGATGTCGCTCACCTGGAAATTTGAGTCAGCGCGCGGTTGATTTGATCAAAGGTTGGGAGAGTACCTGGCACAACTCGATGACATCGCCCTCACGCGCCTCGCTCTTCCAGTATATGAAAAAGCCGTATTCATCAACCTTGAATACGCACTGTGATTCAAAGTCGATCGAGTCCTTTTCCTATGTGAGTAAAAAATTTTCTCAATCAAAGAGAGATGATATGTATGCATTTATTATTAGCAAAAATAGCACAATATTTTCAAATTATTTTCAATTTAAAGAGATTATTGGTTAATTTGTGCATTAGTTGATAATCACTTCATTCAGTCGGTTATAAATTTTATTTATATTAAATACTTAAATTTTAGATGAATTGTTTATTAATAATAAATCACATTAAATATGATCAAACTGGTTGCAAATATTTTCATCCAAAATAATTATGCAAATAGTAATTACTATCTTTTAATTTATGCAACTATTTTTATTAACCTTTGTAAATTTTAACTTTAAAATTAAAAGTAAATTATGTTATTTCACTTATTATATATTTTCAGTTTTTTAAAATTTTAATTTACAAAAATAAATAAGTTTGCACATTGAAATTAATTTTAACAAATCTTCTAATAAATAAGTTATGAATATATTAAAATTATTTTATGTAGAAATTCCCTGTTTTTGAATATTTAAGAGGTTTTTAAAGGATTTTAGTTGAAGCCTATTATTTTAATCCAAGAATCGAAATTTAACAGGTGCGCAAAATAGGCAGTAAGCATTAATTAGCACTGAAAAAAGTGAGCCAGAATGACATGCCGCACTCATGTAATGTAAAATAATTTATTGCTGTGTTATGCAAGGTTGATTAATTTTATTGTCACGATTTATTGCTCTACTAAATCAAAATATTTGAGATTTTGTGTCTTTTTTTTAAAGAATATTTTAAAATTGCTACCGAGCTGTAAAAAAAACTATGGAAAAAATTTTGAATTTTATCAAATATTGAAAGTTTGAATCTTCCTCCTGAGTAAATTAAAATGTGAAAATTTTAAGTTTGAAAAATCTGACCTCTGTCCATCGGTCGAAGACGCCGCCCTCGAGCAGTGGCTCAGGCACGGTGATTTTCCAGTTGAACTCGAATTTCTTGGTCATGGCTTAGTTGGGGTGGTGCTGGGTCCACATGAACAGGCAACCAAGCATCCGGGCCTCACCCCATAAAAGTGGTGGCCCACTCTCTGCAACACACGAGCGGACGATCAATGCTTGCTTTGGGTCAGCGGGACGCGGTCCGACTGCTTCTGATCCTTTTCCTTTGAGCAATTAATATAGCCTCCTTTCCTTCAAAACCTCCCCGGGGAAAGTAACGAGGCTCTCCGCTTTAATTCGCGTCAAAACCAACCGCACGCGAGACTGATATGATAATGATCCGGCGCATGCTGACGAGAGTGCTTAAAAAAATGACTTTGCCGTTGGCGATAGGGAAAGAAAGCTTCCGATTTCGGTTCGTGCGAAAAGTACAACAGTACAACGGTATGTCTGACAGCATCGTGAAATTTATTGTTTTCGATAGTTTTTGAGGAAAATGGTGAAAATGAAGCTATTTTTACCAACAGGGCCAACTGTACACGTGTCACAGGATGTTGAACCACTAATGCACAAAATAAAAAACGCCGCAACTTTAAATTCATATATCTTCTCAAATTTCAGTTTTTTTTTTGTCAATATCTAAATTATGTAGTTGGGCAGAGATTGCCCGTTAATGTGTAAATAAAAAACTAAATTTAAATAATTTTATATTGAAAGTATTTTTTTTTTAAATTAACAATCGGAAATTGGTCGTTATTTTATATTTAAGTCTACAATTAAATTTAAATATTTTTTTTTTAGCAAATATTTGTTCTTAGAAAATAATGAATCACTCAGATTCACATTTAAACGGATTTCCCTTCAAAATTAGGACTTCCCGTTACAATTAACTGAATGATTGTAAGCACAGCGCGGCTGGATCATAATCAGAAAGAATTAGAGGAAGTGCGTTAAACTCAAGAGATCTCGAAGGGAAGTTTTCAATGCCAACTGCATGATGCATGAAGCGTTTTTGCGCCGCGATAACTTTCACGTTGGCAAGCTGTGTGATCTGCGAGCAATTTGTCAATCAATCCATAAAATTCATTCAACAGTCTCAGTGTTGTTGCGAGCGTGTTGCTTTTGTTCGTCGGCCTATTCACTGCCGCGCGCACACACTGTCGACATTACGCGCCGCATAATACATACATAATGAATTCGGTCAGATAAAAGTAGCGAGATACATTTTAATGCTTTTCAAATGATAACACGGTGAGAGTCCGTTGTGGAGAAAAAAACTCCAAAGATCAAACTCCGAATTGTACAACAGAGGCAGTGTGAATTTCAAATCGTAATTAAAACACGTCAATTAATTAAAAGAAGCGAATTTTTAACAAAATTAAAATTTCACTCGCAGATTTTTATCTGACACCCAGAGATAAAATTATACACGTAGAGTGCATTAATAATTAATTCCGATGCAAATTAAACGCGTTCCGAGCACGAAAAACTCACCCCTTTCTCTATCACCCCTGTGAACAGCAACTACCGCATTTTCTCAAAAACGAAATTACACAAGAACAATTTTCTTGATCTTTTTGCGCGACAAATACTTAGCTGTGACCTGAATCGGGGTCAAGTCACCCCCAGGGGCCATAAGCGAGTGCTGCCCCCGTCACTGTCAAAGTAATCAATAACCCTCCCCTGTTCTCCAGGCGCTCAGCGGTCGACCCGCGTCCCGGCCGAACCAACTTCACTGGCCAGGGCCCAACTGTCAGAGAAACGAGGGCCACTGAGACCCCAGGGGACCAGGGGGTGCGTTACCTGTGCGTCCGGACTAGAAAATAAGCAGACTGACGGGAACCCAGCCCCTCGGTTGATGTTGGTGCTCACGGCCGTGAGGCGCATGCGCTGAGCACCAAAAGCAGAGCCACCGGTGTGAACGGCCTTCGCTGGAGTCTTATTTTCAGATGTTGACAAAGTGATAATGATCCTCTTATATAAATATTTTCATCAAACCCAGTCACACAGATATTTTGCAACCTTTTTGAACAGTTGGATATCCTTTTTTGAGTTGAAAATTTTTATTAATCAAAAGTAAAATTTTAAACAAAAAATTTAAAACATTTTTATAATTCAAAAAATCATGATAAGAATTACAAGAATTATAATTACTTTTCTAAAGAAGTTATTCTTTTTTAAAGTCAGTATAATTTAGAACAGGCCTCATTTTGAGTTGTTCCTGCTGGCTGTGAGAGCAAGAAGGCCACTCCAAGGCAGACCTTACTGAGGGCACTCACTCTTTTATCATTTATTTATTCGCTTATTTGAGTTTGCGCTCGTTCCACATTTCCAATTAAACGGCGAAAAAAGCGGGGCTATAATTTAATGCCGTCGCTCTAGGCAGCACCTTTTTCCCACAGGTGTTGTGCTCCTATGACGTCAACTTGCGGTGAGCGTAAATATAAAATTGGGCGTAACAATTATTGTAAATTATATCGAATTATATACAATGTGCGCGCAGGAGACTTGGACTCTTTTGGAGCAAGACTTTTCACTAGATTAGTGGACAAAAATGCAGTTTAATTTTAAAACAAAAACCCTTTTAAAGCTGTTGCAAAAGTGAGATTGAAGCAAAATTTAGAATGTAATTTTTTTTAATCAGTAGTATGAACTGAAAATTTAAAGCTTTAAATAATACTTGTTTACGTTTAATCACGTTTAATTATGTTTTATTCTGAAAGAACATTTTAAAGTGGTTTAATTGTAGGTTTAAATATGTTGGTTGAGTTCTCATGAGTATAAATAATTTATCAGAAATTTAATTACCATGAATAGCAGTTTAAATTAAAAATTATAACAAAGGTACTTAACTTCAATGCTAAATTGTGATCTACTTTACAAGTGCAAATCAGGTGAAAAAAATGCGGCTATAGAGAGATAAATTTTAATAGCAGAGAGCTTAGAGTGGGGGTGCTCATAGCAATCATAGTGCCTGCATTAATGGCATTTAATTGTTTTGAGGCATTGAACTGAAATTGTTAAGCACACATGAAAACAAATGTGTGGGATATATTTAAGGCAAAAACGTGCACACACATATGGAGCGCTGCTGGCGTACATGGATAATAATAACAGAGCTCTACTATATCGAGGGCAGCAGACCCTTGAAAATGTTGCGCGCTGACCTTTCCTACTTGCCTCTAATTAACTTGTACGTCAGTCATGATAAAAATATATCAAAAGAGATTTTGAATGACAATCATGGTTTTTACTTGTTGCGGTCAAAACAAGTCAAACTTGAAAAATAATTCGGCGTCAAGGCCAATGGTAAAGAGAGGCAGTTTCTCTGTAAAATAAATTTCTGAAACTGGCTCAAGTTTGGATTGAATGGAAAAAATTTAACAATTGTTGAAATATGCAAGTTTAGGAAACAAGAGCATATCAAGCATATTATGGAAATTAAAAAATATAAGTAATTATCATATTACGTTTAATTTATAAGTAAACCCTTTAAAGTTTTTGATATAAAATTCTTTCGTCAATTTTTATTATAAATCTTTGACAGAATTGGTATTATTGTTAAATCTATTCGATTTTAGACACACTAAGTCTCTTATTTGGCAGTTAGCAAATTAACTGTTATTCAATAACATAGAATTTCCATTCTTTTCACCTCTATACAAAGCATAGGCACATCATATTTCAATCATTGGTCTCACAAAAGAAGGCCCCTATAGCCCAGATATCTTCTATTGCTGAAGGATAGGAATTAGGTAACTTGCAGGCAGAGATCATGCTCTTGGTGGGATTTTTAAATCACAGATTAATTTCTTTAAATAATTTCACTTGGCGAACTGCTGTTGTTAAAAGTTTGCTAAAAAATGTTCATTAAAAAAACGTTAGAAAGAGACTAGTATAAATATTATCCAATTAACTCAATTGAAGAAATCTGGGCGCTTGCTTGCTACTGGATAATATTGGAGTGAGATAAATTATATAAATGCTGCAAAATCGAGTCACAGGGGGTATCTGGCCTGCAAGTAGGCATATGCGTGTTCGTAGACGAGCAGCATGACGGCGCCGCCCGGTCCGAGACGCATCACTTTTGGCACAAGACCCTTGTAAAGGGCTCGCCAGCCCTCTTCCGCCACCACGAGTCGCATTGTCGCCACAGTGGAAAAGTACTTTCGCCCGCTGGCCGGCTGAGGCCCTTGGATGCGACTTTTGGCCACATCGAATGGGATGTTGAAACACGACGCCAGGGTGCCGGACACAAAGCCGAGAAACAGTTTCCGGCTGAATTCTAACCATGGGTCCTGAAAATTGAATCAGATTTGAGAATTTATAACTTGAGATTTGAGAGTTGAGTAAAACTGAATGAATTTATTTAAATTAAAAATAATTAACAAAATTATATTGTTTATCAATCAATGGTCTATAAATTTTTAAATTTAACCTATTTAACTATTAAAATTTTTAATTTTTTTGAAATTAAATATTAAATATAAATTTACGAACATGTGATTCTGGTAGATAGTTTTTGGCAGAGTGGTAGAACCCAAAGTAGACCATGTTAAATGCTCCATTCCTCGCAATGGTGGCTGTAAGTCCTTTGTTGAGTCCTCGAAGTCCATTGTCGTTGACAATTTTCCTTGTCACACTCCACGTTGAAGGCGCCTCGGATTTGTTGGCTTGGAGGGCAACTTTTACCACCTCAAATGGATTCACCAAAATTGCCTCTGTGATTCCAGCACTCAAGCCAGCCAATGAGAAAGTCTACAAAAGTTTGAAGTGTTAATGTTAGAAATTCTCAAGTTTAAACAGAATTACCAATGGAGTTGGCGTTGGTGACCCAAAGAGGAAGAACTGTTTGTACTGTTCAAATGTGAAAAACTGAAATATAAAATGTGGAAGTTCAATTGAATTTGTCTCACAAGAATTACTTTTGATATTTTTGATAACAGAAACAAATAAAAGTTTCAAAATTCCAAAAGCTGCTGTTGCGTAACGATAATTATTATTCTTATCGACTAAAGCAAAAAGAGGTGGGTGGTTTAACAAGTAGGTTATGACTGTGGGGAAAACTAAAAGTAAATAAAGTGGGCTGTCATGCTTGGGCGTATTTTTTTTTAAATGTTTATTAACATTATCTACTACTACTTTGATAGAGTGTACTGGAGTGTACTAGCAATCATAATTAAAATTAGGTGATTGCTGATTTAAAAAAATTAAATAAATTTCTAGAATAGCTGCAAAAAGGTTTAGTTTTTTCGTTTTTTCTTTAATTCTCAGGACATAAGAAATTTGGAACGGCTGCAACTGTAATCAATGACACAGATATTTCCCGCACAAGGTAGGTACGGAGCACCGAGTCTAATAAATCACAATTTTTACAGAATTCTCACTGCATGGTAACAGATAAGATAAAAAAATTTTAGCATTATTTATAAAGTCACCTTGACGGCCCTTTTCGGGGTCTCAACGAGGATTGGGGGCAGCACGCCCTTCCAGTAGGCCAGGAAGCTCTCGTGCCGGTACATTTTGCGAAAACAGTCGACCACCCCATTGTAGAAATGAGGGTCAGAGGCGACCCCGACGGCGGGACCTCTGCGGGCCTGCAGCTGCAGTCGCGTCTTGACCAAGTCCAGAGGGTGCATGAGGCAAACCTCAACAAACCCTGCAATGGAGTGCAAAATTGTGATATATTGTGGCGAGGGGTGGTTTTTCAAACTTACCGGCAGAACCACCGGCCGCGATTTGCATGGCCGCCTGCTGGGCCATTTTTCGGGTCTCCGACATTGCTGACCCGGTATCTTGTCGAACTCTTGAAATCGACTGCGACGTCTGGCTCTGCGCTGCAACCTTGTTGTTTACAATTAAGTTTGTCCGACCGTCCGCCAGGGGTCCTCACCGGCTCCTTATGCTGGTGCAAAATGTTACACTCTAATTAAAATAAAAAAAAAAAAATAGTATTGTCAAGATAAGCAAGTGTTATTTTTTTAAGGAAAGAGCCCCATAATTATGATATTATAATTATTATAATAAACACCAAAAAATTTTAATAGAATTAAATTTATGAAAATAATTTTTTAAATTAACAGTGTAACTGTATTTTTGAAAAGTTAAATAAAAATATAATAAAAAACTAATTATTTATATGATTAAAAATTGAAATTTGTACATAAAACATTATAAATTATAATATTAAACATTATTTTTAATTTAAAAACGCTCCAAAAACATAAAGGAATATGCAACTCGCATAACGGATATGCGTTACAAGTTGCATAACGCGGAATATGCGTTTGTAAGCTCCGTGTTAAGGTCAAACGTAATATCAATATCATATATGAGATGTGCAAATCTAATGGGATAGGGGGCAAACAATTTTAGAAGTTAGAAGGCAATATAAAATAGTATATTTTGGCCATATTTTATGATGTAAAAAAAATATTTAGGGAAAGCAAAATTTCTGAATTTTATTGATGAAAAAATAAATTGTTTTACGGAGAACGATATAAGATATATATAAATATATTTTTTTTTCAATTTTTTACTTTACTCAGCATTGACATTTTATTTAGTTGCAAAGAGGTAAAATTACTATACATAAAATTTGCTAAATTATAAATAAAATTTTGCCTTAAACCTTAAATAATGCCTTAAATATAAACAAATTGAATTTTTTATATGAATATTCTATCATTTTTATTTGCAAGTGTTGTAAAATAAAATAATCAATGAAATAATGGCCAACAAATGATTAGTTGTTTTGTGATGCCAGGATGTTATAAAAAATTATCTGAATTTTTTTTTGTATAGATTTAGGTATGAAAAAAGTGAACTTATTTTTTACATTTCCTTGTTTCTCATTGCATTTTAAGTTGCCAAATTTATTTTGAACAATTGCAAACTCTTTATCTCCAATCATTATTTGTGCATTATTAAGTTCATAAACCTCTGAGATAATTGCTGTTAATTGAATAAATAAATACCCCGATAAATACATAAATAATACACAAAGTGCAATTATTTCACTTTAATGTGTATAATTACTGACGACATTGGCATTGAAAGCGCAGTGGAACGATGACGGCAAGGATTTATTAATTGATTAGTTTCGCAGTGGACTGGAGAGCTGTCCGAAACCAAGCGATTTAATTTAAGTAAGGTTATGATTGGTACCAGGCACCATAAGCTCATTTGCTTTTAATTACTTTATTGCACGACGGAGAGGCAATTAAAACTACCAGCAGGCTCTCGGGCGCGTGTGCATTCATAATAACGTTGAGCTCAAAGGCCGCCGCGCCCAATTCAAGTGTCTCTTTATTTGCATTAATTCACCCACTTGACGTTTGACACACAGGACAATAAACATTTTTTGTAACAAAATCATTTTTTTATTTTAATAAACCGGTTATTTTGTGTGTTTCTCTTGAAAATTATTTTTAATTTATTGTATCATGAAATATACTTACAGACCACTACAGACTTTAGTCAAAGCTGTTAGAAGCATCATCTGTTTCTTTCCATAAAATCTCAACGAGCTGTCAACGAAGATAGCTTTAAATAAGATAAAGTTTTTTTTTCAAGATCGTATTCTCGATATTTCTATTTGTTTCCTTTTATTATTAGTTTGAAAATGTTTTTCTTAAGAATGACAGATTTGTGATTTATCTTAAGGGTCTCATCCTTTTAAAGAATTGATGAAGTCTTCATTAAAAGTTTTTGAAATGAATTGTATTTTTGCAGCAGATAAGATTGCGAGGCGATAATTATGCTGGGGTTAAGCATTTAATTGCAAATGAACCTTACGAGTACTTGATAATCTAAATTGCGGTGTGCAATTTGTTTTGATACGATTGCCTGACAATTGAATTAAACTGACACCTGATTTTTTAGGCTAATCTTATAATCACGTGGCTGTCACGTCTTTCGAAAATTTCCATACGCGCGCGGGGCCACGGCCGGCTCTTCCTCGCTCTCTCGCTCGCACGCACGGCGCCTTTTCATTTCTCGAATTGCAGACATAGGCGGTGGATCCCCTCTCCATATATAATCAAGTGGCGAACCTTGAGTGAATAAAAAAAACTAATATAATTCAGCCGAAAATCCCCCGCGAGTGCAGAGTGCGATAAAATGCGAATCCGAATATTTGGTCGGGGGCGGCACATGAAAGAGGAGGCCGCGGAGGCCGTGGAGGCGCTGGCGGGCAGGCTGGTGGTGTTTGCTCAGCGATAAGGGCCCGCGAGTTAATTTATGCACGCAGTCATGTCGCGGCTCGAGTGGCTGCTGCTGTTCCTCGTGTTCGTCGTGTACGTGGTGCTCGGGGGCGTGGTGCTGATGCACCTCGAGGGCCAGAACGAGCTGGCCCAACGGGCCCAGGACGAGCAGAACGCCCGCCAGTTGCAAGGTGAGAAAAATCAAACTTTTGCCACTTTGGTGACCTCAACGCGCGAGCAACCCTGTCCGCAAGTTTTAACTGTCACAAGCTCCTTTTGGCTTTTCAAAATGTTTTAAATTGCAGAAAAAATTAAATTGCAATTCAGTTTTCCTTTTTTTTTTTTTTTAAGAAAATGGTCTAATTGTTAATTAAATTAAAATTTGTATACAATGGGAAATTAATTATTTTCACTTACTTTCATGGAAGTGTTTGAAAGTAAAAATGTTTTAATTTTTGGCCGAATTCAGAGAAAAATTGCAATACTGTAAATATGTGATAATTTTTTTTTCAACACTAACAATAAGTAACAAAATAAAATAATAAGTGTAAATTACACTAATTCATTTTAAGTAAATTTTAAAATTATTGAGATATGCTTGTGCATAAACAGTTGATGATAGATATAGTGAAATAAGTTTTCTTGAGAAAAAGAATCCACTTTACATGGTATATTGTAATAAAAAAACTTTTTCCGGATTGAGAGCTAAATTATGTTATGATTTTTTTTACAGCATAAATAACCAATAATAACATAAAACTGTCTATAAGGAGCAAATGTCAGATTTGATTTTTAAGCTTTAAAGCATCTGTTGATTCATTCAATCTATTGTTAAAATATTTTTCATCATATTTACACTTAAATATTTGCGGAGATAATATTATTGTCGTGCAATGACATTTTGATTATCTTTCAAAGAAATGAAGTAAAAACAATAATGAATTATGAAAAAAAATTTAAGAAAATAAAAAAATGTAATAAAACTTTAAAATATTAATTTCGTTAAAACAAAAAGTTATTATGTAATCAAATAAATGCAATGTTTTTCACCTTAAAATCGCGTTTGAAAGCAAAAACAGCAAAAACAGATCCCTGCTTGCAACCGTGAATGGGAGGTTTGATCGCAATACGCTGCATTATCCAGCATAAATCGACTCGCCACTGCCGTGCAGAACAATAATGAAGTAATTCTTCTTGCAAACCGCAATAATAAAGATCAAGGTCTGCGGATTTTGAAAATGGCGATACATACTTTTAATGTGTATCGACGGCGATTCGAACAAACAACCTTCTGCCGGTGCGAGCCGTTGCGGTGAGTTGAAAGGTTAGCCAATATCGGCGACCCAGTTCAGCCGCACACCACTCTTATACATTATATATTGTCGGTGAAATCAGCTGAGCAATTAATAATTATACCGAGTGTGTGTCAAGTGAGTAGAGGAATCGAATCGGCGGACGACACTAACTTCTTTGCATTTGCGACACGCACGTGATTTATTGCCCGTCGGCTCTCATTGTGCTGGCGAGACCGTTTTCAATCACATAAACGGGTAGACCAACCTCCGCCTCACACCGCTACTTTTCGGCTTAGGTCGCCGCTTTAGTTCCTGAAAACGATTATTCTCACGGAGTGACCCCCTTTTGAGGGAAATCCCAGTCCGGTTCAAACGTATTTTCTTAAAAATACTGAAAACTGTTAATTAATTTTTTAGAATAAACTGATCATGTTTTGATAGAAAATCTTAATTAATTATTTAATGGAAATGTTTGTATTAAGGTAAAAAAGTTGTCATTTATTTGACTAGATTTGACATGAGCGAGATCTAAAAAAAATTACGTCCGAATGATGGTTGAATAAGACTGGAAAAATATTTTAGAAATTATTTTGGTGTGGAAAAAAAGGTAAAAACTCCCTAAAAAAGGATTATTTATATAGAATTGGAGGATCATGGAATTCAAGACCAATTTTACAGCCAACTATATATTGTTTACCAAAGCATATAGGATATACAACTTTCCTTAAAATTGGCAAACAAAAATTTCGAATAATTAGAATTTATCATTATTTATTTATTTACACTCTATTCATTAAAAATGGCAAAAAATGTTCAAATTTCTGAATCTCAATACATCAGCACCACTGTTAAAAAAATCAAATTGCTATTTTTTCCAACATATCTTTCCAATAGGTGTGTTTAACATAAAACGATTAAAATTAAACCTATGCCTTTTAAAATCGTTTTATCGCAAGTATCATAACTAGTTTATTTTTATTGTTGTTTTCTTTTATGTCATCTTCACTGATGAATAAAGGATGTAAATTTTTCTTCTTCTCATATCAATTAATCTACTTGTACTCAATATTAATTTTAAAAAAATGCCTGACTTATGAACTGACGTAAATGCGGGTGTCAGCTGATATTTTAAATTCATTTTCACACTGCCAAGAATTCCGTGGCGATTGTTATGCAGAGCGCGCGGTTGCGTCGGTGTTTTGTTATTGTTGAGAATTTACATTGAGGGCAGTCTGGTCCCATTGCATTTTATGACAAACGGTTGGCAAATACAAAACTGATTTATCTAATAGTGGTGTCAAAGGAATTCTCGATTGCATATTATTTAAATTCAATGTCAACTGCAGTGCTGATAACTTTAGACGCTTAAGATTGGCAATAAAGTTTGCTCAAAATTTTTTAAGATTTTGCCTTGCGATAAGAACTAATCGCTCAAATTGCTATTTATAAGAAAGCACATGCTGTTCACTATTTAATATTAAAACTTGATATGTGGTATTTTTATGAGCTGGAAGTAATGCATTATGTTATTGTACGTTTTCTTTTTCATTTTATTCACATTAGATAGTCATTAACTTTAAGGATAGTGCAAAACATTCTGCAGCCCTTAAAATGACAGTGAAATAATTTTTTCCAGAGCTGATTAGCCGTGTTGTCAACCTGTCGACACCCTCTGAGTCGAGACAAACAATCTTTAAGTAACGTTTGCATGCGAGCTCATTCAAATGCACTTTTACGGAAAAAATGCAAAGTGTGAAACAACCTGCAATTATCGTAATTGAGCAAGAGCAAAGTCAATTGCGACAAACTCCGGTCAAAATTTTTTGCCTGACATGCATATCAGCAGGTGTGGATTACTAGTATCAATAAATCGATTAATCACCTAGGAGATGTAATAATTAATCAATAATTAACATAAAATCTTTAAGCGTTTTTTTTTTATCAGCTGTGGTCTGTTAAATGACACTTAAACTTATTATTACTGTTTCGAAGAAATTGAAGAATAAATTAATAATTAAATTTTTTTATTGATTAAAAAAGAAATATATGGTGTAAAGCTAACGAAGTGCAATTTTTGGTTGAAATTGGCTCTGTGATATACTTGAGGCTTAAAGTAATAAAGTGGGTGTAGGTGATATTAAAATTTCAGTTACTAAATTTTGAGGGTTTTGTAGCACTTTGTGAATAGTCAAAGTATGATTATTTTGTCAACAGATAAAAACAAATATTTATTTAGATTAATAAATTTATATCTAATAAAACAAAAATATCTGTCTATTCAAGAAAATATGGGATTTACAATTAACCCATTAAAAAGAAAATAATGTAATGAAAATAGTCTGTAGTTGCCGCATGTATTTATAGAAAAGATTAGGCTTTAACCTTTTCCACAAATTCAATGCAAATTTGCAATAATCTGCCGTGCATTTATTGCGTTTTTACAAAGAATTGTCAAGAATAATTTAATAATTTCAATTTTGATTAACTTAAAATCAGTAATCAACAAATCTTCTCCAAGTCTAAATTTTAATTCTAATAATAAGCAAAATACACAATAAGTTATTGTTTAGCAAATTTTGTTGACAATTGGTTTTGCTTCCAACCCAGTGACCTCCTTTTATTCAAATCAAGTATAAATTATATTCAAGCCATGCCGAATACATTTCAACAGGTTATTTTTGTGTTGTGTCACTCTCCATTGTCTTAATTTATTTTTTCGTGTCTGAGCAAACAGAGTGTCTACTTAAACCAGCGCGGATTAAAAGCGAATTTGCGTGGCAAGGGCGCGCCTCAGTGCCGTTGACAATTTGCACGCGCCTCTCCAGCGATATTAAATTTATAAACACCGGCACACAAACTGTGTACACGTTAAGCACACACGCAGACAAAGTTAAGTTGGTTGTTGATACATATACAAAAGTGAGTGAGTATGTGTGCAGTTTGGGCGCTTTTCCGGCATGCAGTCAGCACCACGCTGGTGCGCGCGGCGCGCGTTTATCACCGACCTAATCCCGCGGCCAAACAGCGCAGAGCTCTCGCGCAGTCAGGTCTGCAGGACCCGTGTTTGCTTTGTGCGTTGCCGAGGCTGAACCCAAACAAGCCTCAATAATACCCCACAATAAATAAGTTGCGTGCATAATTACTGCACACACTGATTGCCCGAGATTCTTGACAGGGTCTTTCCACTTTCGTTTTTTATTTGTCAAATAACAATAATTGAGGATAATTGCATTTAATTAAATTTGTGTTCAAAATTTGTTTCATCTAATTTTGTGCTTGTTTTATTGATTTTCTGTGGATTACAAAATCTTTTCGCAGAAATAAATTATATTTTGCGAAAATTAATTTATTACAAATAAATATTATTGATAAATTTGGTACTAAATTTAACAAATGTTTTTTTTTAATTGAAAGATATTATTTATAAGCCTGGGCTTATTGCTGACTCTACTTAATAAGTTTTCAAGTGTACAGCAAATAATTTTTCCATTATTTTGATAAAGCATTCTATAAGTAAATTTGGTCCTGACCTGATAATAATGAATTAAATACAGTATATCTGCGAAGAATATTTATTAAAAACATACAATAATAATTGATATTTTTAAACCGAATAAAATATTATAGTGTGCATGATTAAAGTTTGTTTTTGGGTACATCACAAATCATCATAATATTTTATTTTTCAATATGTTTCCAATTCCATTAAATAATAAAATTTTTTAGATCTGGTGCAAAGGACTCTTGTTAATGGATCTGCAGAACGTCTGCAGACCCTGCACAAGGTGGCAGAATACTGCGGGAAGGCGCTACTGCCCCAGAACACGTCGCTTGACGAGGAAAAGTCACTTAAGTGGGACTTTTACAACTCATTTTTCGTCGCCGTCACCATCGTTAGTACAATAGGTAACCAAACTTTCTTATCACATTTCCCCCAGTATTATAAGGTGCAAGGACAGCCACGCTTTTTCGTTTTCGTTTCTCCAATCTTCGCATATAAAAGTGCTCGGAAATTGTCCATTAGGAAAATATACACTCCAGCACAATTAAAATTGAGGTGATTCCAGTACGGTGTTGTTAAATGTGAATAGATTAACTCCAATTTATTATTAATCAATATTTGCAATTGACATTTTTCTTGACATAAATATCAGCATTACATATTGAAAATAGCATATATATATAAGAGACTGATTGTAAATCATTACTTCAAGTACCTGATGCAATTTGTTCGTCTCGTGATAAACGCACAAGTCAATCAAATTAAAACAATTTGGTAATCCCGAATATTATCAAACTGGTTGACCGTTATGTGGAAAATTCTTTAATAACATTTTGGCGAATGACATTGACTTACTTTGGGATTAAAGTTCAGTTTAATCAGAGGAGAAAAAAAAACTAATTGATAATTTAAAATTAACTGTGCAATTCGCTTTTGCTCATGTACTTCATAGTGACGTCAAAAGTGAACGTCCTAAAAGTTAATTTCCTTGACAATTTCTGTGAACACTGTCCGCCACAATTAAAGGCTATGGAAACATGGCACCGACGACGTTTGGCACGAGAATGTTCTGCATCGGGTACGCGCTGGTCGGCATTCCCTTGAACGGCATCCTGCTCGCCGGGCTCGGCGAATACTTCAGCCGCACATTTCTCAGGTAAATGAATTTTAATTTTCTCCAGCGCGCGCGAGATGTTGCACAACGCATAATTTTACTCAAATCACGCACCTGCAATTAGCCGAGCAATTAATAAATTACAATAATTTTCACTCTCGCGCGCGTGTTGCTGCCTGCCAATGAATGTACGAACGTGTTTGCAGAGCGCATCACCGTTACAAGGAGGAACCGCGGGGCAGATGCCAACTGCTGCTCAAGGTGGTGCAGTACCTGGCGGCGGGCATCGCGCTTTTCATCCTGCTACCCGCGGTGCTGTTTGCCCTAGCCGAGAGCTGGAGCTATGAGGAGGCTGTTTATTACGCCTTCATCACGCTCTCCACCATTGGCTTTGGAGACTATGTTGCAGGTAATTGCAAATTAATTTTATTTGAAATCAGAGCACGTAGAGTCTACCTGATATTTATATGACAGTGAGCGTTTCTATTTATAAATTAAATGCACGATTTTAACTATCAGAAAAGTAAAAATTTAAATAATAAAAACCACTTGGATTATAGCTTACAGTTCTTTTAAGACAAGAGAATTATACTCCTTATACTCTTCTTCACATTATTAGCTGGAAACTATTTTCCTGAAAATTCAAAGATCCTCACCCTGGCGATCTGGGAAGTGCTCAGTCTATTTCGACCCATAGGGAGGATATCTGTTGTGAATGTTCCCTATTAATTTTAAATAAATTTTAACTTACTTTTAACTAATTACCATTAAATACTAGGTATTTATTTAAATTTTAACTAATTAAAAATCGTTTGTTGCGGCAACTATAAACTTAACTTTGGAATTAAATTAAAATAACTGATGAACAAATCATTATTTCTATTTGAGCATCTTCCCGCAATTTAAATATAATTACAACTTTATTGTGTACCTTTTTGTAGAATTTTCAAAACTCATAGTGAAATTTTTGTCTACAAATCAATCAATGAACATGTTATGATATAGTTTTATATTAGAAGATCTTGAAAGTATTAAAAAATATTTAATGAATTTGAAATAAAATGGAGATAGTTAAATTTAAGTTACTCTAATTCTGTTTGATTTCAGGTTTTATGACAAACCAAGAAGATTGGAGGCACAAAGAAGGCCTTCTGGGCGCGTACCGCGCCTTCATCGTGCTGTGGATCATGTTTGGCCTAGGCTACCTGGCCATGATTCTCTCTTTCATAACACGGGCGATGCGTTCGTCGCGCCTTCGACGGCTCGAGCAGCGTTTGGCGCGACGCATCAAGAGCGCGCGTCTGTGGAACACAGGCGAGATCGGCTATCTGAGACGGGTGCTGAATGAGCTGTACCTGCTGAAATTCAAGGTGCACGGCCGTCCAGCCGTCAGCCGTAGTGCTTGCAGCCGCCAGAACAAAAAAGCAGCTTACCTAAAATGTAGTAACAGTAGTGGTAGTCCTAGTCGTACAATTAGTTGCGCTTCAGAAAGTAGTTACTTAGTCAGCCGCCAAGCCTCAAGCCGTAGAACAGATCTTAGCCATCTAGCCACTCACCTTTCGTACCTGCTGCAGCCCGTGTACCGCGAGCGCCGCTCCCTGGCCGCCGTCCCTGCCCAGCGCGGCCGCAGCTGCAGTCTGACCCTGGAAGGTTTGCAGCCACAACGGCCGCCGCCACGCAGCCTGTCCGAGTCGTGTCTCGACCTGATTGACCGCGACGCCACGTTCGCGGCGACCCCGCGAAAGGTCGATGCCTCGGAACTGCTGGCCACAGTGGCCGCGGCCGCTGCGGCTGTTGAGGAGCAAGAGGCCGGCGCGCACCACGGCCTCCCTGACGAGGACATCCTGGCTGATGAGAGGCCACCGTCCGCCTCCTCGCGGAGGCCGAGTCTGCTGTCCAGACTGAGCGGCGGCTCGCGCAAGAGCAGCACGCCTCCCTCTCGAAGGGGCAGTCTGGTGCCCTCGAGGAGGGGCAGCATGTTGCCGACCTCGGGAATGACCAGCGCTGCTCCATCGAGGAGGGGCAGTCTGATCAATGGGGACGCTCGTCGCACGAGAGGGTAAAAATTTTAATTATAATAATAATAATTATCTTGTCATAACATCTTTTAATTTTCAATTTTCAAGTCACTCTTTAATACTTTAAAAAGTTTCTTTGTTCCTGAACTTTGATTTACATTATTGAGAATTCAAACTTTCTTATTTGACTATAAAGCAAATTAAAATGCTAAATCCTGTGATGTGACATACTGCGCGGAACCTCTTCTAGAAAACATAATAAAGGATTTCAAAACGTATTCTTTATTACTATAAAGTTAAATTGATAATCAATGTACAATTCAGTGAAATTTGCAACAGATGATTATTTACTCTTGAAATAATTTATTATAATTTATGTAATTTGATGTGCGACATTAGTTTATAAACAATTTAGAGCTATAAATAATTTACTTAGCAATTAATGCATGCATATTATTATTAATAGGTGTAAAGACAGGTTTGATATTTTTAATGAACTAAAAGACTTAATTACATGAAAATAATTAAATTACATTAATCTTATTTAGGAGTAAATAATAAAAATAATAATAATTATTTTGTTCTTAGAAAATTTATAAAATTAATAATTTTAGACGCTCGTCTCTGCGCCGCGTTCTGGCGGAGCGAAATATGTCTGCAAACTCGCAGCAAAGCTCTCCAATTCAGGAGCGCCGGCCATCAATCTCAGGGTTTGACGCTGCTACCCGTCGCATGTCCGAAGGATTCGTTTTGAGGAGTCCGTCGGAGGAGCCATTTTCGGAGGTAAGTTTAATTTATTGGGTTATTTTCTATAGATTTTAGATTACCTGTGTGAAACTTGATTTTTGATACTTTTCTGTCATTTCTGTTGCTTTCTATTTAAAATCTACGCTAATTTAATTTCCAGAGCTCTATATTATTGTGTATATAAATTTCATATTACATATATTATGAAAACAAGTTTGAGGAAATTTAACCAATTAAATAGAAATAAATCAATTTTAGGATTTTTCCTTATAACTATTTCAATTATTCAATAAACTTCAAATTGTTAAGCAGGTATTTAAATGGTGTTATAAGTAATGACTTTTTTCACACGGAATTCATTTTTTTTTTAAAATTCCACTATAATTGAATTCAAAAAATTATCCTTGCAACCTGTGGTGACGTGACGGATAATTTGCAAAAAATTCGAAGTTTAGAGGCTAACAATTTTCAATATTGCAACCTCAAAAGCTTAAAGAAAAATTAATAGGAGGAATTAATTAAATGAGAATTTTTCATATTAAATTTCATTTTTGAAAGATTCGTCTAAATCGTGATTTATTAAAGAACAGGGCATCACAATAGCTTTCCTCTCTCTTTCACAAAACACACTGAACCTATTCTCTTTGGACTGACCCGAACTCATACATTTGTGTTTTTGTAGTTTTTCCATTTTTTGTTGTTTTACATTTGCGGTAAATAATAATTTTACATTGTCTCTGACTAACTCGCTTTCATGCCAAACTGGTGAACACACTCGTCGCACACTACTCTCAGACAGTCAGACGCGGACACTGTCCGGCAGCGTATTTATAAGTACTGATCAGGTTCGTTTTTTTCTCGCAGCTGGACGGGACGACGGTGGGCGACCTGCTGAGGGCGTTGCACGCACTGCACTCGCGCCGCGGCTCGCTGCGTCCCTCGCTGACCTTCGAGGACGAGGTCAACGGCGGGGTGACCACCCGCCCGGACGACAACGACGACGACTGGGACGGCAAGTCGGTGCAGATCTCGCGCCTGTGAGGGCACCCGAGCGTCTGAGGCGGCGCTGCAGACATGACTAAGTTTATCACACTGGACGCAGTGTCCGGTCACTGCACATCAGTAGTAGAGGGTGGAGATTCGCGCGCACTGAGAAACACAGAGCAAACGTGCTGGAGCTGCTAACTTCTGTCAAAAAACCTAGTGTCCCAGACCGAGAGAGTGAGAGTGACTTGGGTCCGCTTTTCAGGCGGACGCTTGTGACAGTGCCGATTGAGTAAATGACGCAAACCGAACCCTTCCGCCAGCTGGGCAGCTTTGACAATTGTTTTTGTTTTTATAAATTTCTGGAGTGTAAAAGCCGGGAGACCTGTTGTCACACACATACACATGTACGTTTATTGTATACTTCTAGTCACTATGGCAAGATTTCAGAAAAAGGAGAACCAGCAACGGGCTGCACAGCCTCTTTTTTGTATTTCGAGATGAAAAAATTTTAAATTAGACTTGCAAATTTCGATAAAAAAAAAATCGGATTTAACAGCCACCTTTCATTAAAAAATGAATTTTGTAGATTAATTTGGATTTGGTTTGTCCAAAATTTTAGCACAAGGTGCTGAGGTTGTCCCTGAAAATTGATTATTCTTATATAATCAAAAATACTTACAAACAAACAAAAATTTCAAAAATTTAAGTTATTTATAAATTGAGTTTCATAACAATTGCTCAAATATAATTAGAAGCAGATCTAAAAAAATTTGAATTCATTGGAATAAATATATATTTTATCAACAAAAATTACATTCAATTTAGCTCCTATTAATATTAGATATTGGCTGTTTTTAACCACATCTAGTGTGTTTTAGGGTATTACAATTCAGTCTAATAAACAGTTTGATTTATCCACATTTTTTGTCAAAAATTTGCAAGTCTAATTAATATTAAACTAAAATACATAATAATAATTATCATTATTACATAAACAGGATCTCCTCGGCTGATAAAAAATTTCATTTGAAAAAAAAAACAGCCACCCATCAACGGGAGTCAAGAGGACGGATTTGCGCGCACCTGAGACATCAAATTTCAACTTTTTCCCGGATACAAAATTAATTCCTCTCGCTCTCTTACAAAGTATCATATATATTTTTCTTCCGCGGACCGGACGGACACCTCGGTCATAAAAAAATCATTGAGTTCGCTCTCTGTTTCTCGATGGATTCACGACGACTGTTGCTGCTGTTGCTGCTGGTGTTGTTGCTGCACCTGCTTGAATATGGATAGCAGGTTGTTGACGCCAACTAGGTAGCCATCCTCGTGGTTGCCCACGACCCAGCGGGACGCGTGGTCGATCGCCAGGCCTGACGGGAGCCGCGTCGTCTTGGCAAAGTCGATGAGCCACACGTTGGCGTTGGTCGCGTCGTGCACAAACAGCAACGAGCTCCCAATTACTTCGTGGCCGGCGAAGAACTCGGACACTTCCAGCGTCGCCCGAATCGCCTTCAACCGCTGGATGTACTTGGGCTGCAAACAAAGTGCATCGTTACTCTCTAACACATAATGGACAGTTTGATGGACAGATAAAAATGTGTGCTTCTTAATCTAACTTTAGGGTTTTCCACTTCAAAAGTATTTAATATCAATCTTAATTCACTTTTTAAGTCCCAATTCAATTTTCCATGTAACAATGAAAGGGACGCTGAGGGTTAACATCTGCATTTAGTTCACATAATATATTTGTTTAGTTTGATCGATTTTTGTAAAAAATTTAAGAACATCACAAGTTGAACCCAGATGGATTTTAATTAATAACAAGTGATTGTCCAGATTTCAGTATAAAAAGTTTAAATTGGTGGAATAATGACTAAAAAGTATGAAAACCTTCAATTTAACTTGTTATTTCAGATTTAGATTATTAAGACGTTTTGTGAGGTTATGATGGAACATGATGGAATTTAAAAAAAAAATTAAGGACAAAATACTTCTGACTACAAATCTTTGTTAAAATCTGTTCTACAGATACCTTCTGAATCTATCTCACAGTTCTATCAGATCCAAACTATTAAATTGTGAAAAGTGTCCTACTTTGTTTGCTATGCAAACTATGAGTTACACAAGTCTAAAAAAATTTAAACCGCCCGAATTCTATTTATAAATCAAAATGCCTTGTGAGTGGAATACTCTGTAGAGTGTGTTGTTGTCTCCTGCTTGTTATATATGAATGTATTTATGCTGTTAAACGATTGTGCACGCGTACGTGTGCAATAATAACTTGCGTGGGTCGCCGAGGGCGACCTTTGGCTCAATTATATTGTGATTAGAAGTCAGACGGCCGAGTCAATAGATTTGATATTATGCGAATCAACGCTTCACTGGTATTTATTTTGCAACCCCCTAGCGTGACGTTGGCGGAATCTTTATGCAACTGGCAGGACCCGGAAGTATTGCATGTTGCATAGAAAATTATGAAAGGCTTAGAAAGTTTTTTCATTGAAAAATTTTTTCCAATAAGGTAGGAAAATTATCTTAAAAAGCTCATTCTCTTAAGCAATGATATACTCCACTGGACAAAACTATAGGATTGAAATTCAAATACAAAATAGATCTACTGGATTTCAATGTTTTAAATTGACATTAAAAGTATTCTACAACAGTGAACTATTAAGAGTATTAAGGTCCACTTAATTTTTTACGTAAGCAAATTAAGAGACCCATCATTTCTCATTACAAGGATCCTCTTCAATGAAAGGCTCCAATCTTATCAATCCACTCTTACGCTCAAGTATTTTCAGGGGCAATGTTTTCGTGGGGATTTAAAAGTGCAAAAATGATAGATTGTCCACGACATGTAAGCGTCTCAATGATCGAGATAAAAAAGTAGTTTCGTGGCCGATTTTTATCTTTGATCTTATTATTGCAATTCTAGAGCCGTTAATTGGTTTTTGAAAACTTCGGAAAACTTTTCTGTTCTAGGAAAGAGGAGCGGAAACAAACAATTGGTATTTGGACATTTTTTAAATTTTTATAATCGAAAGGAAATTGGAAATTTAAGTGACCGATATCGAGTATTACAATAAAAAGCAGTCAGTAGTAAAATTCTAAAATTCTGAATATTTTTTAGAAAAAGATTTTTCTAAATATGTAAATGTTAAAATTTGAAACGATCTTTTTGGGTTATGCATCTTAATTTTGTAATCAAAAATTGTTATTATACTTGACGATTAATTTCTATTTTACGCCCCACAGAGGTAAAAGATTTAGATATGACATATCACATTTTTTTATAAGATCAATTAGTTTTCAAAATTGACTATAAAATTGAGATAAAATTAATATTTATAATATAATATAATATTTATAATATAATGTAAAAATTAGTATATTATTTTTTAATACTTCATTATTTTTTCAACTTTACTTTAAAAGAAACTTATTTTTTTGTTGTATCACTAATTTTTGAAATTAAAAGCTATTGAAAGAAAATTTCAGTAAATGGAATTATATCAAAGTGTATCAAAAATGAAAAATATACTCACGATGGCGTGCGGGTAGCCGGCGGTAAATTCCCTGAAGGCGTCGGCCACCTGCTCCCTGGCCTTGGTGGTCTTAAAGTCTTTGCTGGAGCGGCCGTCGGCCTGTCGGATGCCCTCGATCCGGAAGCCGAGGGTGGCCGTCGACGAGATGGTCTCGCGCCACACCATGTACCGCGGCTTGGTGACGCCCTTCAGTCTGTGCTCCTCGTCGGTGGGCGCCTGCGAGTCGATCTGGATCATCTTGTCGTACATGTCGCGCCGCAACTTGGGCTTCTCCTTGGCCTTGGCCAACTCGTCCTCCAGGTAGGTGCGCACCCCGATCTTGCAGTCCATCACGCACGGTGACGTAAAGTCGCCGAGTAAGTCTTGCAGCTGCAGGTACTCTGTTTAATGCAAAGGTCAAGGAAAACGATCGCGGCAAATTGATCAAACAAATTAAAGAGTAATTGTAGGCGCTGAAAAGTAATTATTGTCTCGAGTGATTGTGTCTTGTGTCTGTGTAAGGTGTGCGATCAACTATTTTTCCCAAGCCCATTTCAGGGTACAATTTATGCAAACGAATCGCAATAATTCAAACTATAAGCTAAACTAATATCAGCCTTTTAAACACAACATCAGCAGTTACATTTTTTTCATATGGTAGCAAAACCGATGGAGTATTGTCTGTAGCAGAAAATTATATTTTCATAAAATTTTCAATTATAAATGATTTTTTTTAAATTGATTAATTCTCTTGATTGGGTGAAAAGATATTTTGAAACCTAATAAATAAAACACAAATTTCACAAAAAGATTTTAATTGAAAAATTTTTTTTTTGGAATATAAAACATTGAAATTAAAATAAAGTCTGAAAATCTGTTTCAACTATAAGAACTCAAATTACGCGAATATTTGATTGTTTTGCAAATAAATTTTTATCCAGATTGTCATAATAAAAGACATTGCAATAATAGCAACGAAATATAGTTATATTTAGACAATTAGTTTATATTCTCCCATTTAATCTTTTGATCACTTTAGGCCAAGTTTGTGGTTAATATGGATTTTGTACTTAGATTCCAGCATCAAGGAGAATTCTAAACCGCATTTAATCAAAACTTGGCCACATAACTGTGTGACCTTTCGAAATGTTATAATCATTAAATCGTCAGCTGTCAAGGGAGAGAATCCATCAGATAAAATAAAGAAAAAACACGTGAAAACTCACAACAGTCCCCAAATGCTGCTCGTAGTTGACATGTTTTTGTTTTCCATTAGCAGCTATTGACCCACAATTTTTGAGAAACGCTTTTAACGGAGCCGACAAACGAATCCGCTTACTCATTTTTTTTGTTCTCTAGAGAGTGGCTCAATGGCGCGCTAATGCGCAGAGAGCGCCCTTTCGAGTGCGTTTTAAGTGGCCTATTAATAATACGCACGTTTCTCATATTGGTGACAGATTGACATGGGAGAAGAAAATATCGGCCCAAAGAAAAAAGATAAATAATAAATATGACTGTGTGGTTTTGACACTCACAAGGACTGAGGAAAAGAAAAGTTTTTCTCGCCCTTTTGGAGCAGGAAAATCCCACCCTGAATGGCCGAATTATCGGAGACTTGCCTTGTGGCGACTTTTACACTTTTCCTTCGAATTTGCTTAACCCGCTTTAAATGGCCTTTTGGAGGTTTCTGTCGACTCGAGCACAGTTGAAATCATTAAAAAAGAAGCACTTTCATGATAATAGGCAAGGTTTTTAATGAGATTTATATTGAAATTCATGAAAAAAATGGTAAAAATAGATGTAATGTTAACAAAGACACCCTGGGGCCACCACATGAATTTTCCCACCAGAAATTAACAGATGATTACACCGATTACAGTCACATGATTGGTCAACGAATAGCGTTCATTGTTTACCAAATCGGGGATAAATCACGTCAAATTGTAAAAAAAACGCGTGTTTATTCTGTCACAGTGCCATTTTAACATGTTTTTTCTAAGATTTAAGTTTCGAAAAGGTCTTTACGTGTATTTGAAGTGTTGTGGGATGATATTGTGCCATGAAACATCGGCGGAATTCACAGAAATCGACGATAAATTTGCCAAAACTGGATTCACCGGAACATGAGGGCAAAGGTGAGATTTTAGCATTTTGTCACGAGTGAGATTAATTTATGTACTCCCATCGAGATTTTGACACCCAAAAAGGGCGAGAAAAAATGACCCTCCGCGAGAGTGAACCGTCACGAGATTGTCGAAGTGGCCATTGTTGCACCACTGGCACTTTATCAGGCAGGAGTCGGGAACAAGTTGCTAAACAAATTAATTCCAGTTGCCTTGTTTGTGTGCGTACACAAGTGCGTGAAATTTAGCCACGAGGCTAAATCCAAAGCTAAACTGGCTTTTTCTGCCTTGAAATGCGTCTCCCGCAGCAAACGATGATGCGCATTTTGCATATAGGCTGAATTGAAAAAGGCGTAGTATATAGAGATAGGGAGCATAAAATACACCGCATGCAAATAGAGCAGAACCGTTTTTATGTGCGTGTTTTTTTTCCGCGGTAAGCAAGGAGAGCGAGCCACACCGCGTGATCTACTGCTATTTCCGATACTTGTGTGCGAAAAAAAGTGTCTACATATATAGTAAATTAAATGCACCAAAGTGCACAGTTTGATTTCCGAGTAGCTAGACAAAGAAATAAATAATATAGAACGGAGGAATGCTGTAACAAAACCGTATTCAAACAAGGTGATAAGGATGCATTTAAACAAACGCGGGACAACGATTCGGAATTGCGCACTTTGGTTATTATTTAGGGCTTTTCGGATGAGTTTCACAAACGGCGGGATACTTTATGGTGTTTGCAAAGTGAAGCGCAGCTGCGGTTCTTTGAAATAGCCGAAGGTTGATTTGCCATTTATAGATTGTATTTATTTTTGTCTTTTTTGCTTTTACACGCTGGTTACTGGTTTGTAATTAATTGTTATAACTCCTACGATTATGGTAGGATTGAGATAATTTAAGTGGCTTTATCCATTGATGCACTTTATTGCGATTCACTTCGGTTTAACCGTAGAATTAATAAAATAATAATATTTAATAAAAAAAAATATAAAATTATTATTCGAATAAAATAAATCATGAAAATTAAAACGATTAAAACAATTTAAAAATTATTTTAATTTTAAACACAAGTTTTTTTAATGATATACAACTTTTTAGAAAAATAATTTTTTAAATAATAAATTATTTATTTTTAATTTTATTTCTTATTTTATTTTGCTTTTAAAAGTTTAATAACACAATAAATGACTTTAAAATATTGATATAATAAATAGTTTAAAACAACATTAATTATATCATATCAAATTTCAAATCTCCCTTTCCTCTTATGGTTTTCAGAAAACTCATTTCTGTATCAATGCAAAAATGAATAATTATAATTTACTCTAAAAAAAGTTAAAACAAGTTTCATAGCAATAATAACTACACAACTAAAAAATTCTAATAAGGAAAAGCATTAACTTAAAGTTTGTATGAAATTCACCACGAATCAAGCCAATTTCTCTACAAAAGTGTTTTGTTTACTTAAATTTCTTGAGCAACAATAGAAATAATCGTTTACGAATTGGTGGCTAGAATAATTAACTCTTCAGCGCGTAATTAAGCGAGCAGAAAAGGTCGCTGCCAGTTTTTAATTCAGTCGATATTGCCATTAATGGCCGGCCAATTACCATATCGATTTTCCACCACGTCAAATCGCTCTCTAATTAACAATCAGGTCACAAGTGCAGCGAGTGTGGCATTTTTTCTCAGAGAGAATTGTCCATGCAACAAACAAACTTGATCGACAGTCAGATAATGGAAATGTAAAACAAGATAGCAGGTCTACATCGACGACAGAGGTTAACGATATTAATTATAATCTGAATTGAACTAAAAATATTATAAAAAAAATTGTGTTAACACCCAGCTTTTGATTTATAAATTAAAAAGAGCGGACAGCTGCGCCGCGAACCCTGAACCCTGAGCGCGACAAATCGACTAACACAATTTATATTTGCACGCAGAAGAGCGTCAAGGCCTCGCCGCTGCAGTGTGTGCGAGCGGAGCCGCGAGAGTGTGTGTGATTGTTGTTTTTATCGCAAGCCGCGCGTCCCCCGCGGCCGTGTTCCTTGTTTCGTGTGCGTCACAGAATATATATGTGTGTGAGCGAGTGTTGGAAAAAAGGATACGTTCGCCGTCGTCGGCGGTGAAGTGGCCCTTGTACTCGGGCACATAGGGGCGCAGCACGTCCCGCATCAGCGCCTGGAAGCACAGCTCCTCCTTCGGACACAGCTTCTTCAGGATGGTGCCCTGCTCGGGGCCGGCCTTGAAGTTGCCTGCGAGACCCAAAAATTAAACTAAATAATGCAAAGCCCTGTACAGTTTTTATATGGAAAATTAATATACATGAATAAGTTTTGTATATAAATGTGTGTTTTGAGGTTTCGCTTGTAAAAGCAGAGAGATAAGAAAGAAATTTTAGAGCTCCATCCTAAACAGGAAGCCGGCCGGATTGAATGAAAAGAGAAATTCATAATGACCTAAATTTGTAATGGAGATAGTCGCTTCTCATTGTTTTTGATTTGCGTCATACCGCACAAAAAGTAACAGTAAAAAGTGTTGTGTCAGCCTTTTCTCTCGGCACCATCACGTAATTAACGAGCGGGCGCGTAAAACAAAAACATGAACTCCTTTTGTTAAATCAATTTAAATAAATAATTAAAAAACGCTGTGATTAAAAAAAAAGCAAAATCGGCTGTTGCGATCACTCACCCTGGTGTCCGGCCAGCTGAATCCAGAGGTAGCGTTTCTTCTTGTAGGTCTGGAAGAAGGGCGTCCACTGGACGATGCTGCGCAGCTTGCGCCACCCGGACGGCTGAAACAGACGGACAAAGTTAATACGTGAGTGTCTCGGGACGGACGCGGCGGACCGGAACCTTGACAGGGGTGACGGGGGTGGAGGCCGAGGGTGGCTCAGCCGCGTCCGAGTCCCACTCGGAGCTGAGATCGTCGCTGGAGGCGTCACCGTAGTCGGACGGCCACGGCACCCCCAGCAGCGACTTCTGGTACAGCTCGTAGCCGCCGGGCTCGGGGGCCGGGGCGTGTGCCGCCTCCGGCTCGAGCGCCGTGTCGGAGGCGGCGCGCACGATCACTCGGGCGGCGGCAGTCGGGGCGGTGCAGCGCGCACACCCCGAGCAGCAGCAGTACATGGCGACGGCCACTTGTGGAATGCAGTGTTGCCGCCGCCCAAAACACTCTAAGCAAGAGTTTAACTCTTTCCGAGCCAACCGGTTAATTGCGTTCGCGCGCCCACCGTCCTGCCGGGCTGACCCTGCTTTTCCCGCCCTAGACTCGGGCACCGTTTGAGGGGTGGTGCGAACAGGACGTCTTTGCCGATTGTATCGGTATGGTGAAGGATGGCCGACTGACTAACTGCCACCGTGAGTCGGCCACAACCGGTTTTAGCGCGGGACGCAACCTGTGTTCTCCGGCGGTGCTCAGCAGAGGTCGGTGCTCATCCCTGTGTGTCGTTGGAGCGGCGTTGCCGCGGCGCTGTGTGACGCAACGACCAACATTTTTTTTTTAAATTCATAATTATGCTAAGTGTGTGCTAAATTTCCAGAAAACTTTTATTAGCATGAATTTAAATTCAGCAGTACGTGAAAATATTTTAAAACTGATTTCTTATCAATTTTGGATTTCATTTAAAAAAAGAGACAGAAGGCTATTTTTAATCTTATTTAAAGAATTTGTTTTTTATTTATATTATAATAATTACTTTTAAATATTTTTTTTAAATTAAGTAAAAATACTTCATATTTTAGATTGGCTTTTGATTTTAACAGATTTTAAGTAATTCTATATAATTAGTGACTTTTATAATTTTAATTCTCAGAGTAAGTACATTAATAATATGTGTTCTCACAAAAAAAAAATTAATAAAATAAATAAAAAAAAATGCTAACAAATCATGAAAATTTAAATTTTTAAGTGAATTTAAGGCAAATGGAAAACTTACGTCCTGAATTAAACGCTGGCGTGTTTTCAACCTACCAATTAATATTTAATTTATCCAATAAAGATAATAATTTCAATAATCCTCAATGAAGCAGCGAGAGATTTTTATAATAATAGTAAATCATTATTATTTTTTAATTCGTACTAAAATATTTCAAACACTTTTAAATTTTAATTAATAACAAAGAACCATGTAAAATTTGTTTTACCCAATTAATATTAATGTGGAAATAAGTGGAAATAATAATCTTAAAATTAAATCCCAGCTACATCACTTTTTCGAATGCCCTCAGAGGGGTACCATCATACGCATTTGAAGCAGGGTACTTTTGGTCTTGGGTACTATTGACCTACAATCATCTCGGGATAGCAAACCGGTTGCCGCTTTGCCAAACTTCACCGATATTTCATTTCGCTCCCAACACGCGCGATTTCTGCGGCCGGTGCAAAAAAGAAAGAATTTATTATTCCACTCCGCGGGCGGGAAGAGGCGCACCCAATAAAATTATATGCGAAACCGGAAGGGCATTTTAATTTCAGAAATTTAAATAATACCTTGAATGGCGCGAACCAAGAGCGTTGTGCCGACGGCTGCTTCATATCGAGTGGCCGACAAATCCATACGCGGCATCTCTCTTTTGAATAACAAGTCGATTAATCAAATTCGGCCCTAACAAGCAGAAAACGCAGCAGCCACAGCAGCAACCTTGCATTAAGGTCAAAGAGTTGCGCCGATTCGGCATTTTCGGCCAAAGTTTTTCGTCTGCCGACATTTCCGGTTGGACGAGTCGCCAGGTCGACGCACAGGGTCCGGGGGCGGCGGGGTAGGCGCGTGGGGGCCGAGACGAGTGCATTTGCGATTGCCGACCGCCTCGACACACTTTCGCGAAGGTCACGGCCGCCACCATTCAAATCACCGCGCGACCAGGGGCGACCTTTGCCAAATTGAACGAGGGAGGCGGCCCGCGTGTGTCGCTGTCTCGGAGGCGGCCCGAACCAATTGATTGGTCATTAAGCGGCGAGCTGCGAAAAGGACGAGAGCACTGTCTTTATGTTCAGTATGGAAATTAGTCAAGGCTCTGATCAATCAAGTCGTTTCGCTCATTCACGACCGTGTGTATGTGTGCGCGCGCGGCGATGGCCTGCTATTTTTATTTGCGCACAGCGTGCGAGGGCCGAATTATTTAGCGCAGCAGCTGGTCTTTGATTCGGGGCAGAAACGAGGAAGAAGGGGTTGGCCATTGAAATTGACAGGAAGAGGAAATTATTATTTGTGTCATGCTAATGCCAAACATGCTGATCGCAGAAACCGCAAGTGCTGTTGCTTTGTTTTTGTACGTCGTCGTTTCCCAGTGTCGATTAAATTGTTACTGAATGCGTTTCATTGCGACAAAGAAAAAAGCTCCGCGAAACACGCGTCAAGCTGACTAATCTAATTTTAATTCAATAAGGGAATTGTGGAATGGAGCATGCATTCACTTGTAAACTAAATAATGATCCTATAATAAATATAACCTTAAAAACTTTGGGTTTAAAAAGGATAAGAAAATGATTTTTTTTTTTAAATAAAATTTTTTATATAACAAACACCATATTCCCATCAAGATCTTTTCTAATAATTTTAGATTTATAAACAAACTTAACATATCTGGGCAAATTTTAACATAACGAGGGAAAATTTTTAATTTTTGTTTCTTTCATTAAGTTGGAATGAGTTCACGTATTGAACCAAATAAAACCCCTTTGGAATCAAATTAAATTAATTATTTAAAAAAAAATATTTATATCAAGCAAATATATTTTTCAGTTTTAATATTGGAATTTGGTCTATTTATTTTGTTAACCCAAAGATCCCATCACTACACTCATTAAGAGCATTTCTCAAATATGAAAGTCTGATAAAAAATATTTTTTATTACAAAATAAGTATCGCTTTTTACTGCCCTTTTACTGCCTTCACAGAGCTTAAATTGCATGATTTGTAGAGACAAATTATACAAAAAAATTACCAACCATTTTTCACTTACACTTTACAGACTTGAGGTTGTGGGAAAATACGACGATTCACCATTAGTGTATTATTTGATTTAACATGCTAACGAAATGAAGTGTTTATTTGCCATAATTATGCATATATAAATTATATAATTTATATTATATAATTAACAATATAATATAATTAACAAAAAATTACATTAAATTGTATATTTTTTTAACTAATTTGATCCACTGTATGTTTATTATGTACTAACAATATTTTTTTTTATTTTTTTTGTTAATTAATTTTTTGATGAAATAAAATCCAGCCTCCTTGGTGAAGACGAGCAGCTTCATTGTTTCTGCATGATACAGAAAATCCCTGCTCTACTAGTTTCGGTTACGGGTTGCAACCCTAATTCATGAGCTGTTGAAATGAAATTAGCTGATATTTAACCAATTTTATGTACACTTTAAAAAAATTTCATGCAAGTAAGTGTTAAAAAAAATATTTTAATTTACGTTAACATTTTTTTAATCTTATTTGCATGTTAATTTTTCAAGGTGAACATACAATTGGTTAAATGTCTGGTTATTTCATTTCAACAGCTCATGAATTAGGGTTGCGACTCGCAACCGTATAATAGAGCAGGGACTTTCTGTATCATTCAGAAACAATAGTTGCTCATCTTTACCAAGGAAACTGGATTTTATTTAATCAAAATAATATTTTGAAAATATGAATACAGAGCCGAAAAGTTCCACAACAACAACTACAAGAACCTCTATAGAAAATTATTTATAATTTAATAATAAAATCTCCACTACACTAAATTAGAATGTTTTTACTCAATATTACAATTGTGTTTAAGTAATTTTATATTTCTATTTTAAAAAAAATTATGTAGTTCATGCCAAACATATCAGCTTTTCTTTAACGCGTCAGCTCAAGTAATGATCTTGCAAAATCTATTTTACACATGAGTAAGAGCAGAATCGTGTATGTTCATATAATAATTATAATTAACAGCCTTTCCCGGTGAGCCTCTAGCTCTTCATTTGAAGTTCTCATTCTCGCTCCATTATGTTGTGGTATATTAATGGAATTTAAGTAACGGTAGAGACTCGGACGGAGTTGCTGGAAACGGAATTAGGCCCGAAATGTAGTTCATCTCTCGGCATTGTGCTCGGCGGCAGGTCGCGCTAACAATAAGTGACACAATCGAGCACGGATGACTGACGGCTGCTGGGAAATTTTTCTCGGATCGAAACGCCTACGTGCTTGGCGAATTACTTTCTCGGTTTAATTTAGAAATTAGCACTTATTAGCACAAAACCGTGCGCTGCCGACCAGGCGGAAATAATGCCAAAGACGTCATAACGCGATTTCGGAACAGGGAAATTATAATTGCTGGTTAGAGTTTTGAGGCTTTTCAAAAGAGATAAAAAAAAAAAATGGAAAAAAACCTAGGTGGTGACATTTCCCCATATAACTGCCTTGGATATGTAGTTTTGTAATTAATTCCTTGCCTACGAACGAGAGGTCAAACTGCGGTCAGCCCTATAATTTAAATTAATTATGCCCATTAAAAGCTTCATCCTCTTGATTGGTCCAATTGAATTAGCAATTAGTGGGGCACTTCAATTTTAAATTGGTTCCTTTATCAGCACTTCCATTGCTATTAAAAATATTATTTCAATAATTAACTTAAAATTGTTATGGAAATCTTGCGCACTTTTAATTAAAGTGAATCAGTCCGGTTTATTTATCTCCGTTAAAATATCTCAAATTTTTTGCTCCGTCCGTTCGGAGCTGGAACAAAGCCTCCTTAATCTTGCGTGTAATCTGCTCAAAAAGCTGTTTGGCCAAATTTAATACATTTCTACAATTCATTGCTCTCAAGGTCTTGGTCGCCCTACGCAAAAAACCTGCTTCTTCTTTAAAAGTCTGCGCTGCTAATCCGCCGCGTTAGGAATAAAACACGGCGCTGGCCAAATATTTCCAGCCTCACGCGCTCGCGGGAAGGAAAAATAGCGTCGCAGCGAGAGTGTAATGTTACTGCACACATAACAATAATAATAATGCAACTCAATGAGTATAGTGGAGAGTGTTTTGTTACGCACGAGATGATGAGTTTCTCTTCGCATATCTATCAGTCACATCACGACGCGGCAAACAGCAGAGCAAATATTGCGAATTCATTTTTGCACTAAGAAATTTTGCAATACGTCTAAAGAGATGTACGCGCGAATCGTCGGAAAGTCTGTTCATAACTTCAAATTTCAGAATATAAAAATGTTGTTTTAACGAATTTGAAATCAAACCATTAGACAGGAAACCAACAAACTACAGAAGATAAGACCAAGCTCCTTAACAGTCAAACAATTTAAATGGAAATACGAATTCCAAGCTAGAAACTCAATTGAAAATGTATATTTTTAGTCAAAATAATCTAAATGTTTCCTTCTTGTTGTGAAATAAAAATTTCAAGTTGCTTTAAAACCAACTGTTGCGTTCGTGGAACAATTTCGTAACATTTTTACTATTTCCAAAGGTGCCCATCTTTAGCAACAAGTGAGCCAAAAATAAATAAATAATGCCTGCTGAGTGGCGATAGTGGAAAAAGCGAATTGGAACCGACGAGGCCCTTCACCGATAGAGAGTGCGTTTCACGAAATTTTGGAGGACGCGCGCCGCGCCGAGATACGGATCGCAAAACAGAATTCGGCAACAGCATTAATATATCACTGTCGCGCGCATTGCACTAGAAATAATTTTTTAAAATACAAAAAACATAAACACCTTTGATTGTCTGTTGAAGGTGGCGTCGGACGTCGGCGAAGACGGCTCTTCATCGCCGCTGACGGAACTGCACGTGCTGCAGTCTGAGGTCTTGCGTTGGGGCGCGCACAGGGAGCCACCACACGACGAGCAGTCGGACAATTGGGACAGGCGTCGGCTTCGCTCGTCATCGTCGTCGGCCAGCCACGGCGTCTCGTCACTGAAGTCGCTGACAACGACGGACGGCGTGCGCCACGCTCGCGCGGCGGCCGCGTCAACGTCGTCCTCGCACTCGTCGCAATCCACGGCAGAGTCGGAACTGGCGCAGCGTTGCGAGCGCCACGGCGTTGACGTCTCGTCGTCGCTGTCAGGGGCGTCATCCGGCCAGCTGGCGGCGCCGCCGGCGCGACGCTGCGCGAACGCACGCAGCTGCGCCACGTAGCAGGCGGCTGCGTTGCGTTTCGGCGGGCCGACGCCCTCGACGAGCGCGCTGCTCACCGAGAAAGACATGCCGTAACTGAACCTTTCGCTGCTGTGTTGCTCGATCAGCTTCTCAGCGACTCACTGACGTCACCTTAATGGAGCGAGCTGAGGCCGCCGGCGGTAAGGCTGGCCATTGCTGCTTTACTTAATTCGATCGCTCTCGCATCTCTCGCTTACTCTGGGTACGCGCAGGATGCGGCTGGCCACACTTCTAGTTGCGTCGGGTCCTCCGTCCTTACTAGCGCCGCAGTCGCTCCCACCGAGCGTTCCCTTCTTTTTTTCTGTCTATACTCCTGCTCGCTCTTGTTGCGGTCTCTGTTATAACTATTGTGCTGTGGCTGCTTTGCAAGTTTTTCTCCAACATCCTTGATAAGATAATATAGAAATGCGAGATTTTATCAGAATTTTTTTGTACTCACAGATGTGCGTATTTACGTGAAAACAGGTCGGCGCCACCGTTGCTTTTTTGACAGGCCAACGTCAAACAGTCTTACTCAACGTGACTCATACTGGCAAAACAACACAAATTGCGTTTGACTTCACCTTTTCATTTATTTTTTATTCAATTCACTTCAAAATGTTATACGTAATAGTTATTATTGCTTGATGTTGATTAATATTTTATTAAATTTACTTAATGATTTTTTCCCTTACCTCAAGATAGCATTCATTAATTTGGTTTAACATTGGATTCCTAATACTGGCGTAACTGGCATAACAAATTGTTTTACTTATTTATAATTTGTGAATCGCTTTTTCTGATCTGTGAAACAATAATAATTATAATTAAATTCAAAATTCACATGATTTTACTTAATTCTTCAACGCGGAAAAATAAATTAAACAATTAATGATCGATCTTAAATAATCATAAATTTTCAAATAATTTAATTTTTAATTGAGATGGTTTTTAACAGCAACAGTAGTGGTTGAGAAAGTTTCAACAACGATTGATGACAAAGATTGTGTGAAGTTCTATCTTGGCAAAATTCAAAATGATCCCTCGATACTCCGAGTCGTCAAAACATTGACTTTTGGAATAAATTATTCAAAATGAATTTATCGCTACCATTTCTAAGAGTATTCTAACAACTTTTGTAAATAAAAGTAGCGGTTTTTTTCAAATTTTAATATAATTAGCAAAGTTATAGCAGTGAATATCTTTAATATGAAAAAGTGATGTGATCCTACATTGACCGAAATTTGTCCCTTTGAGGGGTACATACAATTTGTTATTAAAGTTATTAACCCATTATCACTTTCAGGGCAACCATAAAGGGGATTTTTGCTAAATCGTTCCCGAAAAACTCATTTTAATTATTGATTAAATTCGTGGTTGCCAATGAAAAATGATATATAATTATAATTTTTTTCATGTGTTTCTAAAGAATTAAAAAATCGATCTGATATAAAATAAAATTATCATAAAAAATGAAAATGAAGTTCCGTAATTGACATTTTTAATTTTAGTCCTATCTCGGGGATGGGGGGGGGGCAAAAAATAACTAGAAAACTCATTCCAAAAATGGCCAAAAGTAAATTTAACCGTTTGAAGCTACATATGAAATGGAAAAATTGACTTGACTCACAAGTAACAAAATATGACCTTAAGACAAAAGATGTTGCTCTTATAATTTAGTTAAAAAGTATTTAAAATCTCGAATTTCATACTGATCAATACTGATCAATATAATTATGCCCCACGTGAGTAAATTATTATTGAATTACTTTGAGATTTGAGACTGAGATGTAACTCTGAAGATTATGGATAGTAATTGGCTACCCACCTGGTGTCACTTGCTATTTTTGCATTGATACGGTCTGTTATATGTTCCAAGTCAAGCACTTTATTTAGAAGAAAATAAGCACTATGATTTATAGTTTTTGTAAAATTTCGGAAGTGAACTCAATGACCCCAGGTTAACCCGTTTCTTGCTGGGACATAAATATAAAGTAACTAAAGTTCTGCACATTGAACCATGTTTACACTCTCTAGCCAGACGCAAAGAGCATTATAACTACACGAATTTGTACTCTAGCTTTTTGTCAGCTTGGGCGCTGAAGCAGAGGCGCGCTTTTTCGCTTGGAGGTATAAAATGATTTGGCCAAAGCAATTTCCTAGGAAAAAGAGCAGCTTTTAGGTTCAACTCTCTGGCAGCATTTGCGTCATTCCCGGCTCGTAATCAAAACTGTTGTGCAGCTGCCTCGTTTAAAAATGCTAATCTCAAATCTCCTGTTTTGTGGCCGAGGTGTTATGCTTTGATACCAGCGTAAAACCCACCCAAACGTAAATTTGATACCAAAATTAATTTTCGTCTCACTTACGAACACCTGCGTCAGAATATCAAATTCGGATTCGGCTCGAAATCAAGTAAAATTTATAAAAATAAATGGGGAAAAAACGATGGAGGTTGAATTGGAGACGCATTGCGCGTCGACCGCAAAATAAAATAAAATTCAAGGTTTTCCTCAGTGTATTTTCGCGTTGGGAAAAGAGTTGGGTGTGATTAAAAACGTCATGCGAAAAGGAAAGCAAAAAGTGTAATGAATATCACAAGAACATGACTAGGAGATAAATAGGTAGCAACACATTTTACAACTTATTGAGTGTTATTGAGAATGTAAATCTGAAAATCCCAATCGATTTTTTCCTGAAGCTGATTTATTTCCATTTTTTTACCTTGGGAAAAAGAAATTTTATATCACAATTGACGTGTACGTCTTTCTCTCTCCAGTGCGTTTCTTCGTATGACTAATCGGGACACATGTCCCTTTACAATTAGTGACAGGGAATTTCCCCCAGCAGGCAATAAATAAAGAGGCTAGAAATGAATAATATAACCGTATAATGCATTTAATACAGTCGTGCGTGCCCCAGCACACTTTTTCACCGCATGTTGAGAGAGAGGCTGGCGATTACTTACAGACTTTTCAAATACATAAATGTCAGTCATGTGCAGGCAATGCAATGGGAGATGGACGGATTGGCGGCGGCTGGGGCCGAGCAGACACACAGGATGTGCAATATTAGTACACGACACTACTCCAATTGACATTTATTTGAGTCAATCGCCTTTTGTTTACAGTCGTCACTGTGACGCAAGTTCGCACAAAACTAAAAAAAGCAGGTCTCATTTCTTTCTTTTTTTCATTCTTCTAAAAAGGGCGCGCGGTAGTAAAAAAGCAATAAACCCAACTGAAAAGGGAACAATATCTTTCTAGAGCAACGAATCAGATCAAAGAATAAAGATTTGGCAGAAGTGTGATGTATAGAATTCAAATCTGAATGTTGGAGTGATTTTTGAAAATTAGATTTATTTTAAATTTATTTATTTATTTCTTATTTATTCTCCATTTGATACAGTCATGACATGAATACAGAAAAAAAAAAAAAAAAAAAAAAAAAAAAAACTACAGAAAAAGTACAGAAAAAGATTTAAAAAAAGAGAGTGTAAATTTTCACGCTTTTCAAACTTTTGGAAGTTTGTTGGGCAAAATATTTGGAGAAGATAAATCATTATATAACAATATATTATACTAATAGAATGTCAATTGTCACCAAAAAACAAGTTGTCAGGCAGGTTGCCTATATCATGTGATTGAAATATTTTGAAAAAGGTGTTAATTTTTCAAATTTTTATATCCACAATACAATTAGCGATAAGGCCGATAAGCTACTTGTTATGCCTATACAAGCTCAATGCTAATTTGAAGGTCAAATTCAATTATTTTGTTTTGTAATTTGACTTGAAATAATTTTTAGGAAAAATTCTTTTTACCTTGCAGATTGAAAAATAATACTTACAAACTTACAAACATCTATTTGCAAAGTCATGCACTAATGGGAAACTATCTTAAATAATTAAAATTACAATTATTTAATTGTAAGATTTAAATTAATAATATTATTATTATAATTATTTTAGTTATTTATATTTTAAAAGGTTTTAAAAAATTTAAGAAATATTTTTTCCTAATGAATATCACACCTCTGTGATTTATTAAAAATTTTCTTCATTCATGTAATTCAGCATACGTATTTCAATCAAAGCGTTTAATCGTTTGAATTATGACCAAAAAGAATATGTCTTTGGTTGAAAAGAAACTTTGAATGTTTCCTTGGTCTTAAAAGAGCTGGAAGGGCTTGCGGCACGCTGAGGGCTTTTAAAAATCAATTGGTTGCGGAATTTGCCGGCGTACGGCTCAAAATCACGCGCATGATGCGAATATATAAAAATTACCCGCAGTTGTGATGGCAGCCGATCGCAGCAGGACACAAACAGCTCTCGGGGACTCACAAAAAGCTTTAGCGAAGACGTCATTCGCATACGATTAAGTTCACCTCAGGTCGCCTCAGGTACTTTCGAGCTCGTCCATCTCCATTTTTCCTGATCTGAACTGATTTACATCGGCATTGTAAATATAGCGCCGCCGCCACCACTAACGAAGCGACGCGCGGTTGATTTGCCATCCGTTAGTCTGTAAGCCGAGCTTGTGCTGTGTGTATTGAACGTGTGTGTGTATTTTTATGTCTTCACCGTCATCTTTTGCGGTCTGAAATGAATCTTGCGTTCAAGCTCAGAGCTGTTATTTTTCATTTGCACTCTCTGTATGGAGAGTTTTAATTTGAAAAAAAAAAAGAAGAAGTTGTCTGCATGCATAATTAATCAATCGCTATCTCCAACTTGAGGATATAAATTGCCGCGCGCGTTCTTTCAGAAAAAGGGCATAAAACAAGAGTATTTATCTTTTTGTTTGAAAATAATAAACAACTGATAGATTTAAGTAAAAGCGAATAATTGTTTTCGATTTCGAATGTGCGTTTATCTAAAGGGAGTTGAAAACTAATCAATTACCAGTTACGTCGCAAAGGAGTGCACGCAACTATACAACACGTGTCCTTTTAAAGCAATAATGCGTTTCAAATCGTATATTGTATAATTATATATCTACGCGTTCTACTTATTAAACTTAGATTCTAATTTTAGGATAAAGCAATCAAGAAAGTCAAACAAGTGCGAACGTTTTTGGAATATCAATAAGAGTGCAATGACGCACGAGCGTGCTGGGTGTATAACAGTACACAGCATTCTAGGAAAATTCGTGTAAAAAACTGCCGTGTTAAAATTGGCTCATACAGAGACACTCTGTCAGTGTCAAGAAATTGATTATCTATAGAGATAACCATTTTTAATTTTTTTAAAGTGCGATTTTAAAGTGATTCTTAACCCCTCTACGTTAATATTATACAATAAAAATTTAAGCCTTTTAATATAAATCATTGTCAGTCTTGCATCAATTCTCAGAGTGATTTGCAAGTCACTTCGATACGTCTTAATCGTGATCTGTGACGACTGCAAATAATAAAAAAGTCTCATAACAAAAGGTTCTCACAATAAATAGCATCGCACAATCGCGCGCTATTTCAAAATAGCTGCTTCGTTCCGATTGATATTAATCAAGGCAAGTATTGTTGCCGCTTTTCAAAAGATCGAGATCACCACGCAAAATACATTATCTCAACACCCTAAAATCCTTCAAATAACACAGCAAATTACAGAGTCAGTTGGAGCATCAAGGAGATTTACTCCATTGTGCATTGTATTCAATTTAGACAACGTAGTGTACACACCAGTCAGATTAACGTCACTTTGAATTCAATGCTCTCTCATTGCCGTCGTGACGAGCCGCACCCTTTTCCCGCCCATTTTTGAATTCAAACCAAGCGCAGCACAAAAAATATCTTTTTAAATAACGTAAATACTTCACAGATTGCTTTTTCCGTGAATTTTCCTTCTCTTAATTTTAAAAATCAGATTTTTGACTTCCTCAATTATAGGAAACCGGAGTTCCTGAGGAATCGGGGCGTCGAGGGGTCCTGGAATATTGATTGGAGCAGCTGACGACCAAAACAGGCCAAGAAGATGGCCGCCTGACAACAGAGCCGAGCTGAACTTGGAGTGAGAGAGCGCGGCCCCATGGGCACTAGTCAGTCCACCTCTGTGGCCGCCCCCCGGCTCCTGAGGGAGAACACGGGACTCTCTAGCAGCAGCGAACCTCTCAACCAAAGGTACGCCCGCATGAATTGTTTCTAAGGTCGCGTGTTACAGGGCTGAAGTGGCCCTTTAAACCTTTTAGGTTGAAGGGACTTCAGGGGTTTTCTGAGCCTCAGGTGTGCCAAATGAAGTTTATAGATAGGTTTCCGGAATCAGGGCTTTGCGAGGAATCGAATGTAGTACGTTTTAATAGGGATAATGTCCAAATTGACCTGCATGAGCAGGTGGTATGCATTGCTATGCTAAGGACGTCTGTGTAGGGCTCGCGTAATTGGGCAATAGGCACTGGGATATGCCCTGAAAAGTCGGCGCAAAGTGCTCATCCTTTAATCAGTAGGGCTCCCTCATTTTATTTCGGCCGAACCTTTCAGAGGCAGTCATTAAACTGGCAAATCTTTGTTCTGGAAGCGGCAATGACCTCTGATTTGTTTATATCTGATATGAAATTACGATGCGGAGTCGTAAGGCACCCGAGTTTTAGTTTTCAGTCAAGTGTTTATTGTTTGCAACTGTTGAAGTAAACAGGAAGATCAAACTCTTTCATTGAAATGCGGATAATTGAAGATTAAATCTTAACAACTTAAGTCTTAAGCCAATTAGAAATGCAAAATGGCGGGTTTGGCCCCAGCAGAGTCCATATAGGAAGGGAACAGAGTATTATAGTGCATAAAAATGTTCACATGAGATTTTATTTATTTATATTGAGGAATAAATTGTATTTATATTTTTATATTTTATTGTTTAATTTCGTGAATTAAAAATAAATAATTGCAACTATATTTTATGTAAATTTTGTATTGTATAATTATTTTTAATTTGGAAAAAGTTAATGATGTGTTCAATAATAATAATAATCTTACAATGATATATAACTACTTTTTTTCAGAAAAAAAAACAATAAATTTTATGCTAAATGCATGTTTTATCAGAATGTCTCTTGAAGGAAATTTAATTTAAATGTATCACATTTATATGCTCTTATTGTTAGTTTTATTTGAAGGGGCTTATTGCTGTCGCCTAATTAGAAAAAAAACGTTGCTATTTTTCAGGAAAAAAACTCGCGGATCTTCAAGCAGTTTGGCGACGCTGCGGCGCCGCCTGCTTCTTCGCCGTCGCCGCTCGTCCAAGTGTCCCGACCATGCCCGCCACATGCGCGACCTGCTGTCCGGTTGCTCGCTGGCTGAAGTGTCCGCCCTGTGCGAGCAGTACGAGGCGCTGGCCGCCCTGAAAGACCTCTCTGTGCAGGCCGATCTCGCGAGGCCGCCAGCCTCGGCCAAGAAACTCGACTTGGCCGCCCTGTTTGAGGCCCGAGTGGCCGCCGATGTTGAGCTTGTCTATGCCGGCGCCTGCTTCCCGGCGCACAGGGCCGTCTTGGCAGCCAGATGTCCCTACTTCAGACAGGTAAGTAATATTTTATATAATTCTAATATAACAATAATAATATATTTTTTAAATTGATTTATTATTTGTTGAGGAAAACATTAAATCTTTACGAGGATTTTAAAAATTTTAAGAAATAATATAGATTGATTTCATTATTCCATGTTGTTATTTTTTTTAACTGTGTGAGTTAATTTTCTCCCTCTGAATCCACGTTAAAATATCCTTTGAAAAATTTATTATTCAAGTTAAAAATTCATCATAGAAGTTTAATATTTGATGAAACTTGTATTTAAGTCTTTAATTAATTAAATAATAAACCAAAGAAAACTCCAAAATTAATTTGGTAAAATTAGCGCAGCGCAACTTTTTTTGACATGTGAGCAAGAACCCTGTTTATTGAGATTTTAAAATTTCATGACTTTAACTCAAGGATATCACACAACTATAAACATAAACATTTTTTATACAAAGAGTTGAACTTGACATATTATTAAAAAAATATGAAAGTAACAATAATAATTTATAATTTAAATGATCAATAAAAATATTAATAAATTTTTGTAAAATTATTTTGATAGCAAAGTAATATAAAAATTTGTATTTACTTTTTTTACATTTTCCAATTTTAAAAATAAACAGCTTACTTCATTAAAATAAAATATCAGCATATCAATGATTCATTATTACAATCTTACTGATTTTTGTTTCAGGTTTTGGGGCGATTTCCTGGGCACGGAGCAAGAATAGGGCTGGAACTGCGCACTCCCGGCGTTGATGCACCCCTCTTCGGAGCCCTGCTCAAACTTCTGTACACTGGCGAATTAGCCCCTCATCAGCATGACAGACCCCTTTTGGCCCGGTTAGCCGATGAGTTCGGTGGCGCCCCCAACCCTCTCGAACAGGTACCATTTTCAAAAATTTTGTTATCCTAAATTTGTGCTAAAGTGAATTTTTACTCAGGATCTGCGATATTTGTTGGAGACTGGTGACTTTGCAGACGCCATGTTGGTGTTCACAAAGGGCAACGGTTCCTCCAGCAGCAGCTCCAGCTCAGGACACTCAGAGTATGGCTTTAGCTCTCTGGGCACCCTCGAGCTGCCCTGCCACAAGGCGGTGCTCGCTGCAAGGAGTCCATTCTTCAGAAATCTCGTACAACGAAGAAATAGGTAAAGTAAAAAATAAGTCAATTTTAGAAATAAATACTTAGAGGATTTTCTTTTCAAGTAAAGTTATTTGAAAGTTCTGAGTTTTTAGTGAAGGTTTTGTGACCTAGATTAGGCTGGGCCAATTAAAAGTAATGATCATCATAAAAATTAAAAAGATGATTGTAAGCATTCTTTCAAAATTTAAACCTTGAAGTAATTTTAGGTCAAAATTGTATCTTTAAACTTGCTCTTGATAAGATTTTCATTATTTCAAGCCAAATCCCAGTTTCAAAAAGTGTTTTTTGCTTAGAATTTCATGATTTAAATTTTTCTTATTTTTGCAGGGGCGAAGAGCTCCAGCCAGAACGTGCAGGATTGAATCTGGCAACCCGGATAGTTTTGGATGAGTCGGTGATTCCTCAGAGATTTGCCCGAGTCCTCCTGCACGCTGTCTACCTGGACGTGGTTGACCTCGGTTTAGTGCACAGGCCACTGGAAGGCGGTCCCTCTGCTCTGGAGGACGCCATGGAGCTGTACCAGATCGGTCGATTCCTTGAGCTGGACATTTTGTCTCAGGGCTGCGAAGACCTGATCTTGGAAATGCTGGCGCCCCAAAACTTGGCCATCGTGTTGGCCTGGGGTGCGCGGCCGTACGGCTCTGCCTGGGTCTACAGACAGGCGGTCAACTACCTAAGGGACGAATTTCAGCCTATCAGCCAGTCTGGCGTTTTGCTCCAACTCAGTGCCGAGCACCTCAGGGAGGCGCTCTCTTCAGACTTCCTTCAGGTATTGATTTTATTCGAACGGTGTGCATAAATTTTTCAAATCTAATTCATTTCATTCAATTTATAATTCTTACAAGTTCCTTAGCATTTTATAGCATCGTTTTCTTCAATTTTGAAATTCGTTTTTTTTTATAAATCAATACTCAACAAATGTAACAAAATGTCTAAAATAAAATAATTTTAAACATCATTTCGTACTTATTATAATTTGTTATTTTGGCGGTTTTATGAATTTTTAATGTTTTATAGTTAAAGATTTAAAATATTCTTATTTGGACACATTTTCTTTAAATAGTTTTACAGCAAAAAAAATTACTCTCAAGCAGGGTTTCTGAGCATGAGCATTTTCGTCTGCTCAACTAGTTTTGCTCATGAGCATGCTCAATTTTTGGGTGCTCAACTTTGTCTGCTCATGAGCATGCTCACTTTTCGGGTGCTCAACTACGTCTGCTCATGAGCATGCTCACTTTTTGGGTGCTCAACTTAGTCTGCTCATGAGCATGCTCACCTCGGAGGGTGCTCAATTGCATTTGCTCATGAGCATGCTCACTTTCAGGGTGCTCACTTGCATGTGCTCAATGCTCTTGCTCAATGGACCTTTGCTCAAGGCTGCTCATGAGCAAATTTTGCTCAATCTTGCTCATGCTCAATTTATATGAGGAGACCAAAAATATCATAAAATTAAAACAATAAAATAATAAGATAATTATTAAATGATTGATCTAATTTGACTTTAATTATGATTTTAAAGGTGGTATTTAAATCCAAAATTAAATAGAGAAAATTAAAATTTTAAATAGTCAAATGTATAATAAGTAAAATGGGGAATGTTTTATCTTTTTCTAGTCGCAATGTAATTAATTTGTAATTGGCTCTAAATACTTGGATTATTTGGTCCATTGAAAAGGAAGGAATGCCAGGAGCACATAATAATAAAGGTGGTTGAGCGGAACTATATAGTAGAGGACTAGAGGGGAAGCCGGGAGAGGGTGGCTGCGGCAAGCGGTGCGGCGGCTGAAGGCCACTGAAGTTTTTAAGGGTATGGGGAAAATGTATTGGAGACGATACATAAGCGCCTTACGCTGGAGTTTCTTGGTCTCACTATGAATTTATGATCTCCTATTTATTGCAGCGACGAAAATACATAGGAGCAGATGAAGATATTATTGAGCAAACAGTTCTGCTCATGAGCATGCTCAAATTTTGGGTGCTCAACTTTGTCTGCTCATGAGCATGCTCACTTTTTGGGTGCTCAACTACATCTGCTCATGAGCATGCTCACTTTCCGGGTGCTCAACTTAGTCTGCTCATGAGCATGCTCACCTTGGAGGGTGCTCAATCGCATTTGCTCATGAGCATGCTCACTTGCAGGGTGCTCACTTGCATGTGCTCAATGCTCATGCTCAAGATACCCTTGCTCAACGCTGCTCATGAGCAAAATTTTGCTCAACCTTGCTCATGAGCAGCTCATGCTCAGATTCCCTGCTCTCAAGTGAAATTAAATTTATTTTCTACAATGCCTTGTGTCATTTCAGGCGTCTGAATTGGAAGTCCTGCAGGCAGTGCTGAAATGGGGTGAGCACCAGTTGGTGCGGCGGATGGAAGACCGGGAGCCGAATTTGCTCAGCCACACTGCCCACAGCGTGGCGCGGAAGGGTGTGAAGAAAAGGGACCTATCAGGCAAGTTTTTCCCTAAGAAAAGCGTAAAACCTCCTTGAACTTATGAGGCCTCTTTTCAAAGTAGACGTGGAGCTGCGTGAAATTTTATCTCCCCTGCTTCCGCTGGTGCGAATGGACCACGTGTTGCCGGCGCATGCTGAGACTTTGGCGCACGCCGTCCGTCGGGGGTTGTTGCCGACGCCGCCCAGCCACATGTTGGGTGGAGACAGGGATGCCGTGCGCATCCACGCCTGGATCAGGTCCACCTCGGGCTGTGCGCAGGGTGTGTGGATGCGTCCTCGCCTCTTCATGCCCTACTACGAGGAGGCCAAGGCAGTGAGTTCATATAATTATTTTGCTTCTGATTGTTTAATATTTTTTTTTACCTTTTAAATAATAATTAAAAGAAGATAAAGGAAGCAGTTTTTTTTATGAAGATAGGTATTTTTAACAATTGTTAAAATATTTATTTTTATAAGTGTCTCTCGAATCATAAATTTGAAATTGCAAAAAAAAAATCAAATTTTATTTCATATTAATTACACTACCAGTTAAATGGAAGAGGATGGAATAGAGCTACATTCAAAATTCAAAGCATTTGCATTTGCAAAGAATTTATTGGACAAAATTATGAGATAAAATTTGCAGAATAAATATAAATGGATAAAAATTTGTTAAATAAAATTTTAAAAAAACCTGCAAAAATACCAATTTTTATGTAGTTTATTTTATTTATAACTTTGATTTTTATATTTACTCAATAAAAATAATAACAGGATTATAATCATATCACATTTTTAAATTTAAATTTATTAAATCTATGGTTTTGATTTCATCATTTCTCAATTTTATGATTTCAGGTGTTGGAGGAACATTTCAGCCAAGCTGTGGACGTCGTCCGGGCTGCCGTGCGCCGGCCGGACGACATCCCGGACACCCTGTACATGGTGGACGAGCGGCGGAACATGGAGGCGGCCGGAGCAAATCCACCGCCGCCCCTGCCGGACGCGGCCACCCTCGGACAAATGGTGAAGCGCGAGCAGAAGATGCGGCAAAGTCCGCTGGTGCTGCGCGCGCTCAGCCTGCCCCTCACCTCGCGTCACCTGGTGCTCGGCCAGGTGCGTCTTCGCGTCGTGCGCGAGTTCAACCTGCCCGACGCCACAGCGCAGCTGCTCGAGGTTAGTTGAACAATAAAATTACACTTGATCAATCTTTTGGGCAGTTTGTCCTTTTTCTAAATACAAACAAATCTTTTGATTTTTTCTAGAGCAGCCTTTTTTAATTAATTGTTTATTATTTGGCCACTGTTTCTAGTGAAACAGATTTCCTTTTTAAGAAAATAATCTTTTATTGAAATAGTAACAAAAAAATAAAATCGTGAAAGAAATTAACATAGACTTTTCCTTGTTGAGAAATTAATATCTTTTTCCATTCAAAAAATCGATTGAAACAATTTCTCTTTAGATAAATTTAAATAAAGTATTTTATAATTAAATTTTTAAACGTTTTTTTCTGTCCATAAAATATTTTTGTACACGACATCTGCCTTAATAAACTTCGATGAGGTAAATTGCAACGTCTCTAATCACAGATATTAATGGTCCTATCAAATTATGTCACTTAAATAATCCTTGAATTGACTTACACATTGTCTCACCAATCTCTGGCCAGCTGATACAAGGATAGAATTTTATTAACTTCAATTTGCTTTAATAGTGCTCACAAAAGTACACAAAAAGAATTTAACTTATTGAAATTCATGCTTTTAATGTTTCAAATTGATCACTTAACTATTTTGATTACCCTATTTCTTCCAATAACAGTTTTGAAAATAACCAGCTTTTTTGCACAATAAGCAGCTGACGTCCTCGAGACGCCTCAAGCACGTCATTTAAGGGCCATAAATCCCAAATTGCCAGATTATCTGCAGCTGATAATTGTTTGTTTTGCAGTCAGACTGGCACAGAAATCCAGTTAAGACTGCTGCTTTCGCATTAGCAGACGGTTTTCTTTATCTGAAATGAAATTAATCGCTTTTCCTTAAGAAAACCTCCAGAGCGCCTTTCTCCGTACATAATGACTTAATCGGCACACCTTGATCAATCCGCAACAAACTAGTCAATTAGTGTCAAGGGTCTAACTAAACGATTGATCGATGCAATTTATCTATTTGTTTTTAATGAAAAGCGACTTCCGGCCTCTCAACCAGACTGAATTTTTATTTGCAGAACGCGAGCGGACTGAAGGACCAAGAAGAGGCAGCTCGGCGTCGGGGGCCTTTCGCGCGGCCGCTCTCGGCCTCACAGGAACACCTGCTCTACTCGCGGCGGCGGCCAGAGGCGGACGTGGGCGCGGATGGCCACCTGAGCGAGGTGATGCCCGACGTGGCCATGGCCACGTCCAGCTTCGGCCAACTGGAGCTCGAGGAGAGCGAAATCGAACTCGACCTCGGCGACGGCTATTGCCAGCAGCGCTTCTTCCACTACTGAGAGACAGACCGCCCCCGCCGCCCCCACTGCCTCCATCTCATCTCACTTGATGCATTTAACTTATTTGTAAATAAACACGAGCAGAACACACAAACACTGTTTTCTATAAAATTATAAAAAAAATGGTGTTTTCTTTCAAAAGATCAATGACCTTAATTGCAAGTTGTTTAATTGAGATAATCTCCAAAGAATCATAGTTTTGTTTACATATTTTTCTAAGTACAAGAAATAATTATGAATGGGAAAATGAATTACCGCCCAATTAAAAGTATATAAATATGGCTAATTTATGCAGTCATATTTTACACCCAAAATTTTTCATCAGCCGTCGTCTAGCTTCAGATTCCAAAAATCTAACATTTTGATAAATGAAATGTCAGTTCAGAAAAAGCCAAATTTTTCTTCCTGAGCAAAATATTTTACTTTTTAATTATTTATTCAGATCAAAAAGATCTAGCATGGAGAGATAAATAATCCCTGGGGGAAGAGGCTCAACAATTAATTTCAATCAAAATTTGATTTAGGAAAGCATTTATTGCTAAAAAAAATTTACATGATTGCTCTGAAATTTTATAAAAAAGTCCAACATAGATTTTTAACTACCATCAAATGTAATTTAATGCTTTTGATTATACTAATTGTAAGTAATTGACAAATTTGAAAGGTTTCTGTTGAAATCAGAGGATTTCTTTTTTACACACCTAAAAACAATAATTGCAAAATTATGAATGAGAATGAATAAGAAAATATTTTAAAGCTTAGCTGATGATACATTTAACCACAAAAAAACTGACTATGACAAAATCGGGACATTAGTAACAAAAAACCATATCATGAGGCAAACAAAAAAGCAACATTGATTGATTACATAATTTCCTGATGTCCTAAGTGGCGTGTGTTATTATTTATGGCTTTGAACTTGTTGGGTTAAAGAGTATAATACCGATCATTATAACTGGATCTGTCCAGTTCTCCATGCGCCATTTGTTTGTGCAGCTGAGTCTGATCAAAGTCTCGCGTCGAGATCAAAACAAACTATTTTAATTAGGAGCAAGTTATGCAAAAAAAAATCAGATGATAAAATGGATAAAATAAGACGCAACTTGGTTGAATAATCATGAATATTGGGGTTACGAACTCGTGATGTAAATGAGAATCCAGTTTAAAATTCTTTGGTTTCTTATAGTCAAAATTAAAAGGTTTTATTTTAAAATATTTCAGCGTACAAAAATTCACAGCTTAAACGCGCGAGATATGAGATGAACGCTTAGAAAAATCAACAATATAAGCAGCGGTCGCGTAAACGTAACCAAAATACTGCATGGAAATTTGTCGAACGCACTCTTGATTGTGCTAAATATGTATAGTGATTAAGGGTCACTTTCTTCTTTAAAATATTTCACTTATATATTCACGTGCCCTGGAGATTTTTTTTACGAAAAATAAATTATCACAAAAGCAGCTTTTTCAGTACATATTGAGGCAGCGCAGCTTTTTCGTCGGCACTCGTTTCGAGTATTCCGTTTCGCTGGGTGGCCGCCGATCCTCTTCGGCCGCGTGGGCCGGCCTGGCAAGGGGGAGTCTTTTATAGAGGACGGCGCCAAAGGGCCGCCGCCTCCGAATTTCCGCCTCCAGCTGCAGCAAGGGTGCGTCGGTGTGGGGGCAGTGCTCTCGGACAAACTTTGCCAGGTTGAGCACGTAGTCAGCGTTGTGGCCGCTGAAACCGGCGGCCGCGCAGATCTGCTCGGCCATCTCGACGGCCGTGGCCTCTCCAAGCCACATGGCGTTGTCCGGCGTGGCCACGTAGACCAAAGCGGCCGCCGTAAGCTGCTCGGCCGCCGGCGCCGTCCACCGTCCGAACCCAGTGGCCCGCCATTCAGGGGCCAATGGCCCGCTGGCCGCCTGTGGCCGCCACACCGCCGAAAAGTGCGTTGCGTAGCCGCCGAGAAGACATTCGCGTTGCGCCAAGTAAGATACGGCCGCCTCCCCGCGCAGCAGGTACGCGCGGCCCCAAACTATGCCGTTGGGATGCTCTTCCAGGGTTGCTACTCGGCCAGGCTGAAACAAAAGTGAAATAATTTTTTTTATCTATAATTTTGAAATTCTCATCATTAAATTAGAATGAGTTTCTTGCGTTAATTTAATCATTATTTCAATAATTTGCTATATATTTTTTTACAGAGAACTCTCAGATTTTGATTATACTATAAAAAAGAATTGAAAACGAATAAAACCGACCCCTGATAAATAATGTTGTGTCATTTTGTAAAGAAATTATTGAAATTATTATATACTTAATTATTTGTATTTTCCATTAATAAACATTTGGCGTGAAATATTCACAATAAGATCGCAAAATGATCAAATTTTGATGATTTGGGGGATTTAATGAAAGTACTTGATGTGATTAAATTACATTACAATAGAAATATTACGTTGATAAATATAAAAAATAAACAATCTATTTTGTTTAACGCGTGAACACATGCTTTAACATTTTTTTCTTGTATCAGTTGTATCCTAGGAATATTATTCAATCCAAAGCGAGAGAGTTGCAGCAGCAATAAAGACTGTTTTTGTTTCCTTAACTATTTAGGACTAGTGATATGATGACTATGGTGACTATGATAGTGTGGGTTTACCGCGGCGGCCGAGTCTCTTTTGATGTCGGGCGTTATAGCAGATATCTGCTAGTTGTAAACCCTTTCTTCTCTTTTTTTCCAAATTAAAAATTTTTGTATTGCCCGAGAAGAATAAAATTTATTTAATAATAATGACTGGGAACAAGTTTTAATAATTGAAGTGAAAAATTATTTGTATGAAGTGAAACGGAAAGGTCATTGGTGTCTTTTGCAAAAACAGGTTGAAGCAGAAAATCTTTCAAGATCATTGTCAGTTAAGCGATTTAAGAATTATAATACATATTCCATGGTTATATTGAAGTGTGTAATAAAAGCTAGTTTTAAGAAAATTAATTGTCCTTTACTTTTATGTAGAAATTTAATAATATTATTTTTATTTTAAATTATTATTAATTTTAAACTTTTATACAATATTATCTGATTTGAATTATTTTTTTTACATATTTTTGCAATTATTTTTACATAATTATGTTGAATATTCGCAAGTAAAAGTTTTTACAATTATAATACATAATTAATTTATTAGTTTTGCACCTGATCTTGTGGGAAGCATTAAATATTTGTAAAGAGACTCTCCTCCTCGATGTCTGTCTCCTTTTATTATGACATATTAATGATAATGATTGGCAAAATGCAAATACTAAAACTGATGTATGCTGTCTATTTCGTATAAAAAATATTGCAATATTTTTATTCATTTTCAATTTCCATAAATTACAATGAAATATTCACAGTTAAAATCTGATTTAGTTGTTAAATTGAGGGGATATAATGAGATTACTTGATGTGATTAAATTACAAAGATAAAAATAAACGATGAACGATGCCCAATTTAATAAAAAATAAAAATAAAATGGTCTATGTTGTCAAACGCACGTACGCATGTTTTATCTTTTTTCTTGTGTCTTAGGTATATTCAATTAAAGCCCAAGCGAGAAAGTTCTGGCAGCAATAAAGAAGGTTATTTTTAAGAAAGTTAAAAAAAAACGCCAAGTTCTCTGCTTGCGTCTGCCTGTTCAATGACCCTTTTCATTCATCTACTGCGAAACGCACGTTGAGCAATTATGCAGACGAATTCGGCAGAAAATAATTAAAATTGCAAATTGCTCATAGGCAAAAAAAGGAGTTTAGTAATACCTGGTCTTTGGTTCCTCTGTGGTGCGTGTTGCCCTGGGCAAAGGTGCGTCGGAAGCCCTTGATGAAGCCGATGTGGGCCTGCTCGAAATCGAAGCCAGGATCCCAGCAGAGGCTGCCGTAGCCAAAAACCCACAGGCCCTGGGAGCTCATTTCGACCCAGCGGCTGATCGGCCTGAAACACCAATAATTTCCGAGAATTAAAAACAGATCTCTACGGCTTCCTGTTTCTGTATTTATGTGTATCATATTGTATGTGTTTTGCTTAATGCAAATCAGGCTGTAAAGTTATTAGTAAATCGGTCGCATGTGTTGCAGAGCGCTCTGGTCATTACCATCCACGAGACTCGCAGAAATATGTATTTATTCTCTGCGGCAAGAAAGACTAGTTGCCTTTTGAGGCAAAAGGACGACAAGAAGTGTTTTCATATGACTCTAAAGTAGATTCATGCTTCGTTTATTATTTTAAAATGTTTTGAGGATATACAAAATTGCTCTCAACTTATCTATGATTGCTTCTACATAATTATTCTATTATTGAATTTTATAAATATAATATTTGTATTGATTCTCTCACATTCATAATTTTCAATTCAATCATTTATGTAAAAGTGTTTAGTAGCAAAACGTATACAAATTTTGATTTTATAAATTTTTAATGTCAAATTTTTTCAGATTCAAAGATCAAAATTATACCATAAAAATTTTAAAAATAAAAATTAAATTGATAAAATATTTAAAAATTTAATTTTTGTTTTTTAATAATCATCAAAAATAATTTTTTTAATATATTATATTATTTATTTATTTTAATGTGTATAATTTAGCTTTAACTTGCTGTTTCTACTTTTACATTGTACGATTCACGGTTTACAGTAAAAGCTTTGAATAGCATCTAAAATAAATTGAGTGAAAGCAATATTATGAACAATTAAATAGAACAATTTGCAACCGTGCACAATAAATTGAAGCGTTTTTATTAGCATTAATTTTTTGTTCTAATTTTCAAAAAGCTGATGAAAGTTTTGCCGTAAATTTGACATTATGCGTTATGCAAAAATATTTTGCTTAGCATTTATCTGATAATCAGCTCTTTCCTCACTTTCTGCCCCTCGGCGGGATTTTTGTTATTCAAACAAACGTGCCAACATTAGCTCAACCATGAATTACGCGAAACTGAAAAGACTCCACTGTAGATAAATCAATTTCAAAGAATTTTTATAGAAAAAAAGTATGAGTGGTCGACCACAGCAATACAGTGGCGAGGAAAATGTAGCTCGGCTGCTGCGGCCATGCTTTTCGTTATTGATCTGCGTTCCCCACTATATATGGAGCATGCACTGTGAGCGTGATGTGGCAGATGAATGGAATGAAATTCGCTCTCTCGCCTCGTGTGTCTATCTCGGTGCACCACTCAATCGACCTCTCGGATCAATTTCGCACCGCCGATTACATCAAAAACAATTTCAATTGACCAACAGAAAGGAAGAATAAACCCGACCATGATGCATAAAGGATCGTGCCACTGGGGCAATTATGTATGATAGCAAAGGAAAAGGAAGAGACGCAGTTAACCGACCCAACCGCACGGCGCACATTCTTAATTTGGACGCAGGCGATTCTCTGTTCTATTATTTCTCTCGGGGAAATAAAAGGAGACGCACAGTGAAATTGGCAGAGACGCACGTGAGTTGTTTTCGCGACGAGAGCGAAATTTCGCTGGGCAAAAACAAAAACAAGCCACAATTAAAGTAGATGAAAGTAAGGTGACTTGGTTGGCTTCTGGGAAAACGTGAAATTTGTACCGAAATAAATTCAGCTCGTGGTTAAGAAAATACTGGTGAAATTCAGGAAGTTGTAAAAAATGATAAGGAGTGCAAAAATAGCAGTTTAGTTTATGACAACAAATACAATTATATAAACACGAGTGAATAAAATTAACGAATCAAACGAATATGACTGAAAAATCCTTGGAAATTTGCACTTTCTAAATTGAAATAGAAATCATTATATTTTTGTATTTTCAACTCTGAACCTAAAGATATCTGTATTTAATTAATTTAAATTAGCTTCAAAGGTTGACAAATTGAAAAAATAAGAAATAAAAGTTTGCAATTACTGCAAAAACCCTTTAGACAAAGAGGTTGCTTTATAATTTTAGTGCAAAAGGAGGAAAATTCTACAGTTCCGCACCGAATCAATAACAAGAGTATGGCGAACACCCCACGTGTCCTCCACGCCCTATTCGGAAAAAGATCGCGGTCATCGGTGCTAAAATCCGCGGTAGATAAACGAGAATAGTGCAAATTGATAATAGAACTCACTCGAACGTTTGAAGGCGGTGCAGGAAGAGTCTAGGAGAGAAAAAGCTCGGCGCTATCTGAGTCTCATGTTGGCGTGGCCAGCAGACGGAGGCGACTGAGCGCGGCCGCGAGTGAGACGAAAACGGCTGATGAAACCCGCGGTAGCGTTTCGTCGGTCTGGCGGCGGCAGCGACGAGTGCGCACCGCTCCACCATAAAGAAAGAAAGACTGGTGCGTCGTCTATCGGGGTCAGTGCCACTCACGCGGTTTGCTCGCAGCAACAAAGCGAGCAGAAGGGTTGTCGCCTCGCACAAAAACAAAATAAGATAAATATATAAGAAGGGCTCTAATCTGCAATTATCGCCTCTCGGTGCGCGCTCTTGTTTGTGTCTCTGCAATGCGGCGGAAACGAGACTGCGGCAGCAATTTATGTGTCTGCCGCTTTTTGTTGTTGTTGTTTGTTGGTTGGTGAAGCTCCACTCTTTCTCTCTCCACCACTAGCTTCTTCTGAATTGAATAACGCTTTTGCGAAATCGCAATGTTTGGATGCTGCATTCAGTGCATCACCCAAGTCGAGTCTTTTTTGCATCAGAATTCAGACTCAAGGATAATTCGCTCGTTTCGGCACCATTGTTTGTTTTCGCTGCTCTTGCTGGCGCTGGCTCATTGCTCGCCGCCGATCCTATAAATAAACTGCGTACAGATTTGCATTTGTATGTGTGAATATTATTGCTCTCTCTGTCCGCGCGAGCCGCGCGCACTGCTCTATGTGTATAATTCTGGTAATACCACTCTGCGCTTCACCATTCATTATAAACCGCTTTCAACGCAGCCTTTCGATTATTTGAGAAAGTAACGGAATTTTTCAACGACTGCAAATTACGATCTTTCTTACACCAGCAATCATTTGGCTACGGACTTATGGACTAATTTTGCAAAAAAAAAAAATGAACGCACTTCACTATACTGAACTCTGTGACTGACCTCTGGAAGTGGATCAAATTAATTAATAGAATAAAACTCTGTTTTAGCTAATTTTGTGTTCAAAAATTCCATTAGCTTATCTCAGCAGTCTGAATTTTTTCTTCAAGTAAACTTTTTTTAATTTAAAGATTTAATTTTTACAAAAATCTGCCTGCATTCAAATGTGTTCATTTAAAGTGGCATTGATAATTTACACTGATTGTCACTTGTCAGACTCTGATTATTGATTTTCGTTTCAATTGAAGGCCGCCACGTGCTGATTCATCACTTTGAAGTAGCGGCAATCCCAAGGCTTCTTCGCATTATTTTAACATGTAACATATAATCTGATTGGCTGTGATTGTTTTCTCTATTTAAAATAAACTTTTTAGGTCTTGGAACGAGTTTGAATAATGAAACCAAAATAATAGTAATATTAAAATTTTTTGAAATTCTCCGATTGTGAAGGGAAAGTATATATCTTCCAGCAGGGGCAAGCGGGGGTTTTCCAGTCGTTTAGTTTTATCGGAAAGTATGGCTTTTTCTCATTCTATGACTGTGCAATCTCTTTATTGCTTTGCACAAAATCGCTCAAATACCTCGGCGTTGTTGCAACTATATCTCTAATCTCAAAAGACTTCTTCTTATTTAGACATTAAGACATTAATGTGTGTCTGATTGGCGGGGATTATTATTTTTGCAAAAGAAGAAGTCATAGAAAAAAGCAGGAAATCTCTCAAAATCTCATTTTTCGTTAGTTCAAGTATTTTATTTTATTTTAATATATTATATATATCTGTGTTTCTTTAAAAATGCACCGAAAAAGTTAAATTTAGGAAATTTTATTTTTTTAGTTATGAAAACCTTTATTGATAATATATTTATCTTTTATCTTTAACATAAGATTTACATTTTTTAAATATTTATGTTATTTCAATTAATATTTCATTTATTGTATTTATTATTTATTATATTTATTATATTTGTTGCCATTATATTCACACGTTGAATATTAACTAGTAAATATTTTTTAAATTGAATTACTTTATTATATTTATTATCTTCACACTTATGCATTGTGAATATGGAAGATATTAATATTGATGTCTGATTGATATCCTGGTGCAGCGGACCATTCATTAATTTATTAAATCACTTTAATGACTCTAATAATATGGAACATAAAAAATTATTTTGGAAAAAATTATTTTCTTCGTCAAATATATATATTTTTTTATTTGAATAATTTTTTAGGAGAGTATAAAGCTTTTCTCATTCTACTGACTGTGCAAGCTCAGTATTTATTTTGCACGAAATTGCTCAAATAACTCGGTGTTGTCGCAATTTCCCTCGGTCCGCCGATCAAAGAGACAAAGCGAGCCGCGTGATCTGACCGCGTTGGCAGGCGCGCTTCAGAAAATGTTGTGCGAGGGTGCGATTAGCCGGGCTGGGCTGATGCATGATAAATGTCAAAGGGCTTTTAACTTTTGAAACACGTCTTCGGCGCGGCGATTTGTGAGCTTTGTGTGTTTTTGTCTGATGCGGCGATTTGCGAAAAAATGCGCAGTAATTGTCGGACGACAAAAATATACCCGCGAGAGACGGTCGCACACCTGCGATGAAAGCGAAACGAGAGCGTCGGAGGGGCGATTTACTTTTGCACACTTTCGCCACCGGGTTGTCTCTCTCGCTAGTTGGACTTGGGTGCAGCCACGGAGCGGGACGTTTATGTACGGCGGGTTGCGAAATCACGCCGCCGCTGACTCGTGCTGCTGCTCCGTGAACTTTGCGGCGACGCTCGAAATAAGAATGAGGAAACACACTAGAAACGACTCGCACTTTTTTCACTGGTGCCAGATTGGAAAAAGTATTTTTATATAAGCAAGCGCAATTGCCAAAAATGCCAACATAAAAAAAACACCAACTTTTTTAGTGAAATGTAAAACTATATAAAAAAACCCAAATAGATTATAAGATTGGAGATTGGAGCTTGCCTACTAAAAGCTCAAAAAAGGGCACAGGCCGACACTTTGTCTATGCTCGACCTTCCTTTCCCCAGCAAAACTAAAATCTAGAATTTCATTAGTGCGTATAAATTAAATTTATTGAAATTATTTTTTAAGCTATTTAAATAAATTGAGATTTTTTATTCTTGCAAATTGAAAGTGTCAAACTGTCAATCGTCACAAGAATTCAATTTATTGTTTCAGAGCAAACTGATATAGCACAATTACAATTAGTTCGTAATATCATATACATATACTTCATAAAAATATATATTTAAATTTGCAGCTGTAAATATTAAATACTGAGGAAATCTTTTAAAATAATATATTGCATATCTGATGCAGCGATCCAGCGTCTGTATATCATTGTTGAATTATTGTAAATTTAATTACTACTTATTCAGAGCAGTAATCTAATTAAAATTTTTCTTATCACATTTTAATTTAATGGGAATTCTAAATTGATTAAAACATTATAAAATCGTATTAAAAATGATTATGATATAAAAAAACATTTTAGTAAAAATGTATCAATAAATATACTGGCGGCAAACTGGTGAAAAAATAATAAATTATAGAATTGGGTTTTCTTTTTCAAACATCTGTTCTCGATTTGTCAACTCTTTGATATGTTTTCAGGACCATCAACCATGTCAATCTCAAATAAAAACATGTTAATTACCACCAATAAAAATAATCGCCAATAATATTGTGTCACCACAATATTTTTGGAATGAGGCTCCGAATGGGAACTTTGCACTTTTTATCCATTTTTTTATACATCACAGAACTACAGTTACAAAACTACATATTATTAAAAGAACTTATATGTTTCCTATTATCATGGAGACGAGATTCCCTCTTTCCGAGAAGAACGAGCACACCCACTTATATGTAATAACGTAAAAATTTGGCGTAAGCCGATTCTGTATTTGAAAGAGCCCCCCAGCTTGAGCATAGCATCCTTGAACATTTGCCAAAAAATGGTCACGTGACTCCACGCGAAGATGAATCAAGGATCCTGGTGAATTACCTTGTAAATAATTGGAGCAGGATCAAGATGAAGGATGGAGCACTTACGCGTCGGTGGGTTGCGTTAGAGAGGCGAATTATTGCGCTGCGATTAAGAATGAAATATCAATTCTGCTGCTTGAACAAAGTAAAGCACTTTAAACATACTGAACACAAAGTTGAACACTTCCGCTGCTATGCTGCCATTTATAGGAGAGCAATAAAATTATGGTGCGGTCTTTAACGGTTTCAATAATAATTTTTTTCATCATATTAGGAATCATTAAAGTGTTTAAAAATTATAATATCCAGACGATATAATATGATATAAAAATGGACTAAATTTCAAAAAAATTCCTGAAATTAGATGTATTACATTTAGTTATGCCATCAAAAGTTCTTTTTTAAATTTAGGTCTTGTTTATAACGATTGAATTTTACTTTTTTTGTTATTCTTTTTGGAGTTTTCATTTCTGAATGATTTAAAGAAAAAACAAGACGTCCATGCCTTAATGACGAGAATGCCGCAACCTATTACTTTTAAATTATTTAATCGCTCCTTTTTGAAAGATTTTTATTTCACAATGAATTTTTAAAAAAGACGTCTATGCCTTAATGAAGTGCCTGATAACGAGTAGGCTGCAACTTTTTCTTTTAAATCGTTTAGTCGCACTTTTTTGAAAGTTTTTTATTTCACAATGAATTTTTAAAAAAGACTTCTATGCCTTAATGAAGTGCCTGATAACGAGTAGGCTGCAACTTTTTCTTTTAAATCGTTTAGTCGCACTTTTTTGAAAGTTTTTTATTTCACAATGAATTTTTAAAAAAGACTTCTATGCCTTAATGAAGTGCCTGATAACGAGTAGGCTGCAACTTTTTCTTTTAAATCGTTTAGTCGCACTTTTTTGAAAGTTTTTTATTTCACAATGAATTTTTAAAAAAGACGTCTATGCCTTAATGAAGTGCCTGATAACGAGTAGGCTGCAACTTTTTCTTTTAAATCGTTTAGTCGCACTTTTTTGAAAGTTTTTAATTTCAATATGAATTTTTAAAAAAGACGTCTATGCCTTAATGAAGTGCCTGATAACGAGTAGGCTGCAACTTTTACTTTTAAATCGTTTAGTCGCACTTTTTTGAAAGTTTTTTATTTCACAATGAATTATTAAAAAAGACGTCTATGCCTTAATGAAGTGCCTGATAACGAGTAGGCTGCAACTTTTTCTTTTAAATCGTTTAGTCGCACTTTTTTGAAAGTTTTTTATTTCACAATGAATTTTTAAAAAAGACGTCTATGCCTTAATGAAGTGCTTGATAACGAGTAGGCTGCAACTTTTTCTTTTAAATCGTTTAGTCGCACTTTTTTGAAAGTTTTTTATTTCACAATGAATTTTTAAAAAAGACGTCTATGCCTTAATGAAGTGCCTGATAACGA